ACTCTCAAAGTCTGACTCTTCTTCTTCCCCTTTCACTTCTTCTTCCTCTTCTTCTTCCTCCCCCTTGTCACCCACTTCATCTTGGCCCCAAATACAAAAAGTTGGCGTGCGACGGGGACCGCCACACAATTTACATACACATCCTCAAGCACCACCACCACCACCACCACCCGCTTTTCCCCTCAAATTTCGCGGTCCTTTTAGCGGTTTCAGTCGAGATTTTTTTGCAAATTCAACTTTGACTCCCTCCCCCATCATTTAGCATAGAAATCGAATGCTGCTCGTGAAATATGATCCGAGTCCGCGAAAGTCGGGCGGCCTAATTGCTCGCTCCCTCCAAAATGCGCGCTCTTCTCGAAATCCGGCCCCCAAAACACGGAAATTTCGAGGGATTCGGATGAGAAATTGGATTGAACAATTGATGGGCGCCGCTGGTTGGTTGACGCGCTCCGATAAATTGGTTTCTCATTTTCCCGCCTCAACTGATTTATGAGCTCGATTTGACCATTTTTTGTTGTTGGTGGAAAACAACGAGAAACGCTCAAATTTTCGAAATTTCGGAGAGCGGTTCATTTTTTCGTCGATGCACCTGATTTGACGACAATTTGCACAAAAGTTCGGACTCTATCCACTTTTGGAGGAAATTAATGCGTTTTTGCGTTTTTCCAACATTGCCCTTGATTTGATGAGATTTTTCACGAAAAAGGCGAATTTTGGCGTTCAAAGCGCAACATTCAGGTGATTTTGCAACGAATCTCTATGAGTTTCGCAGAATTTTCGCGAAATGCGTCAAAAACTGTCAAATTTTGCTGTTTTTAGATCGATATTTGCAGGAAACCACCGGAAAGTGTGCACTTTTTCGCCAAGCTGCCTCATTTTACGACATTTTGTCAATTTTTCAACGAAAATTGTAAAAATGCGCACGCTTTCCGCGAAATTTCGAACAAACCTGCCGCTGAAAATTTTGAATTTTGTCGGCAAGGCATCAGATGTTATGGGGCTATTCAGCGTATGTTTGTTTTCCGTTTTTTTCGTTTTTTTACATCGCTGAATTGGATTTTTTGACGTAAAAAAACGAAAAAAAACGGAAAACAATCATTTTTTTCACAGCCTGAATAACCCCATTACGAAAATTTGCAAGAGTCGCCGATTTTTGCAGATATTTCATCGAAAAATCAGTGGTTTCGCATGAAAACGACAAAAAGATCGTCGGCCTTTATGAGGTTGCGTGCGCGCGTATGTGACTCAATGCTCCGCGGCCGACAATATGATTTGTGGAACAAAGTCGGAGCCCTTCCGTCTCGCTCTCTTCCCCTTTTCGCCTCGTGCTCCGTGAGCCGCCGCCGCCGGAGCTCATCTTACTTTTGGCCGTGATCCTAAGCTGCTCCGAGAGCTCCAAGAGCCCATTTTTTTTCGCCGGCGCTGGAAATGTTCCAGGGCTCGCGGAGCACATCGCCAATAACGCCAACATGGCCCGGCTATTCGTATACTCAATTTCTAGAACTATTCATCTCGAATGTAAGTTAACGTTTTTGTTGAGCAACGAAATCGGACCCAAATGTTTTTCCCCACTTTTCTTCTTCTTCCTCCTCTTGTCTAGACCGCCCACAGTAATCCCGAATCCCGAATCATTATGCGAAGAGCTCAAAATGAGTGGAAAAACAATTAGGCGCCCTAATTCTTCGTCTCTTTTGACTCTTTCGGCGGGGAGAGTGATTCAAATGCGCGCGCGACCGCATGACGGGCGCCTCCAAATCGAGTTACTCGCCGAGCCACACAGCTCCGCTTTTTTCAAGGGATTATGGGTCAAAAGTATTCCGTGATGGGTCTCGAGTGGAAGAAGAAGAAGTGGTGGGGCTATGGGGCATCGGAAGTTTTTTTTTGGGAGGGTTTAGTATTGCGACTTTTCTACAGTTTCTGCTCACTAGAAATGCGTTTTTTTAATTTGCAAACCAAAACGCGATAAGAAATGTGTGAGAGGGCGGTCAAAAGTGAGAAGCGAGAAGTTGTGTGAGTGTGAACAGCATTTCGGAGCCCTCCGGAAGAGCGTCGGCTCGTTTCGCGTCCTTTCTTCCACACCATTTTCGTATCTTCCCCCCGGGCCAACGCCTCCCCCCCCCCCTTTTTTCCTCGTTTTTCCTCAAAACGAGACGGCGTCGTCGTCGTCGTGTCGTCTTCTCTGACAATTCGATTATCGGCGGTCCCTTCTTTTCTCCGTCTCCCACACATATCATCATCATCATCATCATCATCATCATCAACACCAGCTTCCGAAAAGAAAAGAAAACGGGAAAAGAAGCCCGGCCCCTCGTCGCGCCGGCCGGCTCACAAATTTCTCGTCTCCCCTGTTTTCTTTTTGCGGGTTCTCGTCCATTTTTATTCCGAAAAAAAAAACGATGAACTGTGCGCACTGCTATCGTCTTCGCAGCCACCAAAATCATCAGCAATCGGTGCTGCGCGTGGATCCCGAGTCTGATTATTTTGAGGTGAACGGTGCCGGCAGTACGGTAAGCGCCTTTTTCGGGGATTAGGCGTGAAACTTGACGACTGATTGCGTATAATGTGCTAGATTCTACAGTAATCGTTCTAAACTTCAATGCACCCAAACTTGACGACACTTTCCTTGAAAGTAAACGAACCCTAGTACTTTGCTTACTTCAAACTCTATTACTTGGTGCACACGACGACCAAAAGTGTAGAAAGGGGCGTGGCCTAATCTGAGACGCGTTTTCTGAAAATTGCCGCAATTTCAGCACACTTTTCCGATATTTTTGTGTTTGATATCGACAAGAGAAGACATTAAAGCGAGAAAACATTGCAATTTTCGTGAAAACGCCTTTTTGGCATATTTCGCAATACGCCCTCCGCGGCCAATCGTCGCCGCAATTTCGGAATTTTCATACCGGCCCATCTGGATAGTTTTGAGACAAAGTGAGTGTCGGAGGTGATTAAGCACGTTAATACAAGTATTTTGAGCGCTCAAACGGCAAAAAGTATCGGCGAATGACTGAAATTCGCGCATTTTCAGCACAAAACTTGAAAATCGATTGAATTGATTCATTCTCTGAATGAAACCTGCTCGTTTTAAGCTCAAAAAGTGCGCGATGATTAAATTAACAAAGTTATGCAACTAAATCGTCGAAACCCGTACAAATTTTGGGTAATTTTTTACGAAAAACCTGAAAAATGGGGTTAAATTTCGAATTTCGCGCCCCAAAATTTTGATAAACCGTGCACGCTAGGCCACGCCCCTTTCTACGTTTTTGGTCGTCGTGGTGCATCAAACTTTACCAAATAATGCGTACAATACCCATAACTCTACGACACGTTTTCAGATGGAAGGCGGTTCCGGATGGACCGAATCGCTCGAGAAGGACTTTGACAAAGCGTTCGTCTCGCTGGACTTGCTGCTCGGCGAAGTGGACTCCGATCAGGTACTTCTTCTTCTCACTTTTCACCGTCCACTTTGAGTTGTGCACTTCTTTTCGTCTATCTAATGATCGTCAGGTTGAGATCACCTACGAGGGCCGTCAGAAGATGACGTCGTTGAGTGCGTGCTTCGCCCAAATGATGCACAAGTGTCAGTTCATGATGCACACGATCGGCAAGCAGGAGAAGGTGGGTAGTTGTTGCAAAACTTCCAGTAGCTCACGGCGCGGCTTTCGCAACATACACAGCCAAATGGTATGCATTTTTGCGCGTCGGTGTGGCTCTGCGTACAGTGCAATTTATGTTACGCGCAAAGTTCTTTTTTTTTAGTTTTTGATGAATTTTCTCCAAATATTCATCTTTTTAAAGCGTTTTTCTCCAGACTGAATAGCCCCATTACTTTCACTTACTTGCGCGTTTCTTTTCATCGCATCGACTTCTCTTCGCGTATTACTTCACCTGGAATCTGTAAAAAGGTCTAATTGAGTTAGAAAGTGGAGAAAAACGCTTTAAAGAGATGAATATTTGGAGAAAATTCATCAAAAACTAAAAAAAATGAACTTTGCGCGTAACATAAATTGCACTGTACGCAGAGAAACACCGGCGTGCCAAAATGCACAGACTGAGGATCAAACGTTTGGTGAACGTCGCAAAAGCCGCGCCGTGTAGCTGTTGTGAAAAAGTACTCGACCGTAACCGTTCAGGAGATGCTAGCGATGCGAAACGAGGTGATCGAGGCACGCGCGGCCCGACAAAGTATGGAAAAAGAGGTGGAGCAGTTGATGATCCAGGTGCACTCGCTCCAATGTCAACTTCATTCGAAGACGGCGCCACACGAGTCGGATATGATCAAAAAGAAATTGGTAAGTGAGGCACCGGGCTACAGCGTACACTACTTCTCCAGCGATTGTAGGAATCGCAACTGACGCAATTCCGTTCGGAACTCATGCAAGGCCTGAGCACCGTGTGCGAGCTTGAAATGGCGCGGAAAGAGTGCGATCGCTCGAAAAAAACCATTCAGGCACTCGAGACCGAGGTGTTCGGCGCCCGATTGGCGGCCAAGTACCTCGACAAGGTAGGAGTTGTGTAATTGTTGCATCACTGCGCTACCGTATTTTGTAGGAACTCGCGGGACGGATACAGCAGATCCAGCTGTTGGGCCGGAATATGCGCGGAGTGGAGCACGATCGATTGTGGAATCAGTTGGAGGCCGAGATCCATTTGCACAGGCACAAGACTGTCATCAGGGCCTGCAGGTGAGTGGGCCTAGCCTTAGAAACCCTGGAGAAATGCTAGACACCATCCAAAAAAAATTACAAATTCTGTCGTTTCGATCGTCGCCACATTCCCACCCGAAATCCGCTTCTTCTCCCCCCACTCACTCACTCACTCATCATGATACTCATCCTCTCTCTTCTCGACTCTTCAGAGGACGCGGTAACACGAAGGGATTAGCGGCGCCACTTCGTCACAATTTCAAGAGTCTTCGGAAGCGAAACGGAGTGGGAAAGAGCCGCAAAGTGGTGTTGTCGAAGCATCCGCACGAGGGACTCGGCATCTCCATTACGGTACGGCTAAGGGGAGACCTGTTAGATAATAAATGAGTCTTGCAGGGAGGATCCGAGCACGCGCTGCCGATCGTGATCTCGGAAATCCAGCCGGGCCAACCGGCCGATCGATGCGGACAAGTGTTCGTGGGCGACGCGATTCTCTCGGTGAACGGATACGATTTGCGGACGGTCAAGCATCAGGAGGCCGTCGATATTCTGAGCGCACAGGTCCAGCAAGGCGACCTCGACCTCGAACTCGTCTTTGTTTGTCCCGATGAGGACAGCGACGATGACGGCACGGTGACGATTGAGCACAGCGATGGATCCATGTGAGTCTGGGTGCGATGATAGAGAAGCGAGAAAGCAAAAATGATTTTACCTCATTGACGGTCGAACCAAAACCATCCCCTAGATTTTTGTTCGCGCACGCAACTGCGCCACACGCCCAATCTCTGACGCTTGCTCCCAAGGCATACACATTATCGCTGAATGGCGCGGCCGGACGGAGACCTCCAAATCTAGAACTTTTTTCAGCTACAATCTGTACAACATCGAGGAGCCCACTTCGTCGCGCTCTTCTTCGAACAATTCGGACGAATCGCGAAGCACGTGACGTGGCAAAACGACAATTTTTAACTGTCTTTTACCGGTTTCCCCTTGTTTTTTTTGCCCCCTCCCCTTCCCCCCAGCCCCGCTTTTTTGTATATACGCGTGACATTTCCCACATTATTGCCAACGCTTCTTTCGTCTGCTTCTCTCTGTTTTCTAGTCTTTTGATGAAGAAAAAAAAAGAGATTCCACATCCATTCATTCATTCATTCATCCGTTTGAATATCGATCGAAATGAGCTGCGAGCAACGCATGAACCGTCTCTCCGCCTCGTTCAATTTCGCCATGACACGTGCATTGGCCGCCGAGACCAAGGACGACTGGATCACCCATCTGAAGGCCATGTCGAATGTGTTCACGCAGGTTGGTACCACTGGGACCATAGAGTTGGAGCGGGTCGGCCAGGATTCACGAGTCAAAGTGCACAGTTGCCTGGCCGAACTCTCTCCCTGGTGGCCTAGTTTCCCCAGCAGATTCCAACCTATTTGCAGGCGTGCACGGCGATGGTGACCGAAGAGGCGGCGAAGACGGAGGCGCTGAGAGAGCGCGACGACACGCTCGCCGCAATGACGGATCTGAAGGCGAAAGCGGACAGCCACGACGACGTGATCCATCAGTTGCACTTGCTGCTCGCCGCGCAGAGCCGCAACTCGACCGACCACACTTCCGTCGTCATTTTCGACAAAATGGTGCCGTCCACTCTCCCCTTTGGCGAAAAAAATTTTTGCGTGCCGCGGCTCTCAGTGTCGATTTACGAGACACGGTTTTTCAACTGAAATCGATGTTTTGCCGAGTTTTTGGGATTATGCACAGTTTTTCCTCAAAACTTTCGCCTCAGGTCGGTTTATATGACCGATAGCGACAAAATGATCACAGAGTGCTCGTGTAAAAGTGAAAATTCGAAGAGAAATTTCGTTTTTTTTTTAATTTGGCTTGAAAAAGCGAACTTTCCGAAGTATTGAGAGAACAGTTGCTGCTCGCGATTGTTCAACAGACAAAGGCAGTCATTTTGCGCACAAAGACGGCCCATAAAATGCAAAAACGACTGAGAAATTGAAATTCACAGAAAAATGAAAAAATGCGCGCTTTTTTGTTGGCAAAACGCTAATTTAAGGTCACAGCTGTCATTAACAATTCGGAAATTCTCTGTTTTACTTTATTTTTCCAATTTTCGGATGAAATTTCGGGTTTTCGGAGAAAAAATCCGCGGAAATTTCAACGACACTCCGTTTTAACACGTGTGTTCATTCAGAACTCCCGCCATAAAAATTTGAATTTATTTTCGAAGGGCGCTACGCACCGATTCAAAATTTTCGTTTGCCGCCTTTACGCCGGCGTACGCCCATTGGCTGCGTGTCGCCCCTGTGCAAACACCGTTCTAGATATTTTGCGTACTTGGCACCAGATACTACGCAAATTTTAGGCCAGCTGTTTATTTATTCAAATTAGAGAGTGCGAGATTGAAGAGACGCCGACGATGTTCGGTAGGGCGCGCTTGCATGCGCGTAACAGTTCGAACGCTCGTGTTTTAACGCGGCGCTCAATTTAGCATTAGCTGTTTGGGGGAGACAGTGGCGCTTTGATTGAAACGTGAATTTTTCAGTGCGACGAGGTGCGCCAGAACATGCAAGACATCCAGCATTACCGTTATCTCGAGGCGCAGCTCAGCGTGGAGAAGCGGCGAAACGAACGGATGCTGCTGCACATCAACGAGCTGTCGAAGAAGAATGTGATGCATCTGATGGCCACACGCTTCTACGCGAGGGTACGGACTAGCAAAAGCTAGGCCATCATCATTCTCCATGGATGTTACAGGAGTTGGCGGCGATGCGACAATTGATGGATCTGGTGCACAACGCGGCCACCATCGACTCGGCCGTCAAATCGAAGCTCTGGGACGAGATTGAGGCCGAGAACCGTCTTCTCCGTCTTAATACGTTGTGGCTCATCAACCGGTAAGTTTCTATCGCTTTTTTTTCCGGACCCCACGGTCTCCAGTGCTGACAATATGGGCGTGGCCTCGGCTAAATGGCGTTTTCATGAATTGAGCACGTTTTTTCTGATTTTTGTGGTCAACGACGATGAAAAATGATTGTTCGACATGAAAACACACTAATTCTCAGAATTAATGACGTTTTGGCGCATTTTTCGCCGACTTTGCTTTTTCGCCTTCTCATTTTGCGCTTTCTTGACCGTTTTCCGACAGAATTGGTTTTAAGAATGATAAATCACGTAAATACAAGCATTTTGAGCGCTCGAACCGCGAAAACTACCGAAAAACAACTGAAATTCACGCAGTTTTAGCGAAACACCTTCAAACGGATAAATGTGATTTGCGACTTGACCAAATTTGACGCTCTTGCGCTTAAAAAATTCGTAATAGCCTATACAATCGGTCTGTCGAGAGACAAATGAGAAATTATTAATTTTTCGTGGCTAATCTGGCAAAAAACACAAATTTTGCTGTTAAAATTTGAATTTCGCGCCAAGCTATCGCTCTATTGGGCGGGGCGCATTGTCAGCTCTGAGGAGACCGTGCATCTCCAATGTTTTTGTAGCATCAACTCGGCGGACCAACGCGACGCCGCCTTTGCAAGCGGAGACATGTGGCACGAGCAGCCGCGCCTCGTGATTTTGACGCGAGAGCACATCAACCAGGGGCTCGGGCTCGAGATTACGGTACGTGAACGTTGTCTGACGAACGACGGTGCCAATCGGTTTAGGGTGGTTGTGACGAGTTCCGTCCGGTGCTTGTCACCGGAAAATTGAGCAAATCGATGGCCGACGACGATCAACTGATGCTCGACGATCGCATTCTCGCCATCGACGGAACCTTTGTGACCAACACGACTTCTCACGCAGAAGTCATGGAGATGTTGGAGAATGAGGTGAGAGAATAGAGAATGCGACAATATCCATTGTGAAATGAGGTCTGGAAAATGTTTTTTAAAGTCTTCAAGTCTAGTCGTCTACTTTTGTAGTTGAGAAATTTTCTGTACGACCATTTCTACGAGTACTGGCACTGAAAAGCGATGGTTTTGAGCAGTCCCAACTTTCAAGAGCTACAGTACTCCACAGAGTGATTGTACGAAAAAGTTGTCAACTGCAAAATGAAAGTACAAGAGATGAACGTTATTTTTGTAGTTGACAACATTTTCGCACAACCACTCCCAAGCCTACTGTAGCTCTTGGAAGTTAGGACTAGAACTATTTCGAGATTTCATCGTTTCAAAACGAGATAAAGGGGCTTGGGAGGCGGTATTAAAGCAGAAAATGTTCGTGACGAGACTTAAGCAAGCGAGATTTTCCATATTTTGCAGTCGTCCAAGGACTTTCTCGCCCTCATCGTCTCGCAGTTCAACACGGCCAAGTACCAGTTGGCCCACGAGGACCATCGTCTTCCCGCCAACACTCGCAACGAATCGGCGACGCTGTGCTCGGCGAGCACCGTCTGGGATTAATCCCCCCCCCCCCGGTCCCACTTGACCACCGCCGCACGCCCGACGGTCCCACTTGATCATGTCTCTTTTCGCGCCGTCACGTCACTTTATCGTCTTGTTTGTCTCTCTTTTTTCCGCCTTTTCGATGCTTGTTCTTTTCGATTCTCCCCCTTTGTGTGATGTGCCGACGCCGCCGGCCGTTTTCTTTGAAATGAAATGAAATGAAATAAAATGCAGTAAGATTTGGGTCCTTTTCTCTCTCTCTCTCTCTCTCTCTCTCTTCCTTTGCAGCTGCCTCTCTCAGATATAAAACCCAATAAAATTAGAGTGTCCCTCTTCTTCTTTCTCTTTTTCTTTCTCTCTCTCTCTCTCCCTCTCTCGGCTGGTTTTATAGGTCTTCTTTCCTTCTGTCCCCCCCCCCCATTCCTTTACCCCATTCCTCTTTTTCATTCGTTTCCCCCTACACACACACACCCTTTTTTTAGCCTTTTTGAGGATCTGGAAACGCGTCAGGGCACTGAAATTGCGTCAAAGCGCCTGGAAAACAGTTTGCTATAAGTTTAGTTGGAAAAAATCGGGATCGAATGGCGCCAAGATACTGAAAATGCGTCAAAGACTAGAAACGCTTGAATTTCCATTGTTTCCAGTCGAATTTCGTCAAAAAACTCTGGATTTCTTGGTTTTTTACTCATTTCCCAGGAATTTTGCTTCAGAATCTCATTAAAAAAACGTGTCTAACCTTCAATTTTTTTAAAAAGAAAAGTGTAGGGTAGTGAATTGCAAAAACGTGTCACTAATTAGTCTCTCTCCGGCGCTTTCTTTTCATCCTTTCTTATCATATCACTCCTTCTTCTTCTTCTTCTTCTTCCACTTCTTCTCTCTCTCTCTCTCTTTTTCGGCACCTCCTTTTTTCGCGAAAATGTTCAAAAAGAGCGGCCGCCAAAAGAGGGAAACGATACGGCCGCCAAAGGAAAGAAGAAGAAGAAGATTTTCGTTTTGAAACCCTCGAAGGGAAGAAGAAGAAGAAGAAGAAGAAGAAGAAGAAGAGAGAGAGAAAATAATAAATGAGGCGGCGGCCGGGGCGGGGCGGCGAACATCAAAGGAAAAGAGCGACGGCGCCCCCCTCGCCTCGTTTCCCGGCCGGCCAGGCCAGTCAGTCACTCTCACAGACCGCCCGATGCATTCCCTCTCTCTCTCTCTCTCTCTCTCTCTCTCTCTTTCTTCTGTACTACGTACTCATCGACTCTTTCTTCTTCTTCTTCTTCTTCTTCTTCTTCACTCACTTCCTTCCTTCCTTCCTTCCTTCCCCCTCTGCGTTTCTGATATTATCATTCTATCAGCAGCGATGCTCTCTCTCTCTCTCTCTCTTTTTGAAAATCTGAAACTATAATAATAATATAATGATGTCAACACTATTGTAGGACACTTTTTTTTTGCACATCTTTGAGCACCCGTACCTTGAGAACCAATAAGAATTTCAAAAAGTTGACAACAGAAAATAAGTGGCAAATTTTGTGCTCTACAACTTTTAAATTAAACATTCCACTCCAAAATGTCTCATTCTTGAGTTATGACACTTTTTGTGAACAGCCGCCACAAACGATATAGTGAAGTTTCAATTTCTGCAATTCTTTCGAAACAAATCGTATTTGTTGCAAGAAAAATGCGTAAAAGAACTGTCAAATACTCTTTTGTGTTATCTTGTCTCCGATCGCCCTTAACTTTACTCAAAACCGATCGATCCGCGAACATTTTCTGATGAATTGTGAGGTTATCTGCTCGATACCTTTCTTTCGAAACAGTATATCTTTGCTGCGGGTGGAGATATCAAAAAGTAATCAACTAATATATTTTTTATTATAAAATTTTGTACATTTTGTCAGTTGACCTCTTTTTGATATCTCTACACACAGCTGAGATATGCCGTTTTTAAATGTCACATTCAATTCAGACTTCATTTTCAGTGCAGTTCTGGCCTAGTTTCAGCCATTTTTCCATCTTTTGTACATTTCTGACTTTGCCATACCTCCCTTACATGACCGAACTTTTCAATTTGAGTGTATGGAAGGCGCACACGTCGGCTGGGCCCGCAGTCTCGAGGCGGTCCTCTCGGATCGGGCGGCTCTCGACGCGTTCCAAGAGTGGCTCATGGAATACTCATCGCCCCAAGTACGTACCCTTTTTTTTTTTTTTTTTTTTTTTTTTTGATAGAAGAAGAACACCACATTTTGCAGTACCTCGACTTGTACTTTGCGATCCGCGCCTACGAACGAATGGTGTTGGAGGCAAAACCGGAGGTAACTAACTAGCTTCGGGCTAGTTGCAAGCGCGCTCCACTGCAATGGCACTACGGTAAGCAATTCGGTTCACTGAGCGGTGTTTGTGCACACAAATCGAATTAAATGACGACAAAATCGAAGAAATTATTTGAAAAAGCGAAGAAGACATGCTTGAAAGTGGAAAAAAGGTGAAAAGAAAGTAGGTGAGGGCATGAGAACGAAACGAAAGAAAAAAAATGTATGGGAACAACGTTATGAATCGAATTCATCGAATTGAGCACTTTTCTGTGAAAATATTTGATCATGAAGTGAAAAAACTTTGAAAAAAAAGAAAACCCTTTCGAAAACACGTGTTTTCTTTTTTTTTTGACCAGGGAACCCAAAAATTTTTTGATTTTTTTGTGAAATGTTTTTGTGACTGTTTGAATTGTCTCTTATTGCCTCATACACTGGTGAAATGCTGCCTCTCAAAAATGCCAATAAACTAAAACGGCGTGCAGTTGAAGTTGTGGCCGTGGCCTAGCGCCAATGGCCTAGAAATATGCGCTTCTCGGCCATTTTATTTTTTCCGCTTTTTTATCGGTTTTTTTCCAAAAATTCACGGTTTCTCCCATTTTTCAGTTGATTGACATTTGTTCGGCACTTACTTATTTTTTCACTGCTAAAAAATTGTTTTTATTCAGTCGATATGAAGTGCCAAAATGGGAGAAACCGTGAATTTTTGGAAAAAAAACCGGTAAAAAAGCGGAAAAAATAAAATGGCCGAAAAGCGCATATATTTTTATATATTTTTCGGCCATTGGCGCTAGGCCACGGCCACAACGTCAACTGCATGCCGTTTCGTTCATTGGCATTTTTGAGAGGCAGCATTTCACCAGTGTATGAGTGGCAATAAGAGACAATTCAAACAGTCACAAAAAAATTTCACAAAAAAATCAAAAAATTTTTGGGTTCCCTGGTCCTGTAAAATGCTTTGTGTGCAAACACCGCTCAGTGAACCGAATTGCTTACCGTAGTACCATTGGCCGGCCATTTGCCCATCCCTTGATTCAGTGCAAAAATGGATGTGTGCGTTTGCAGAAAAGTCAACTGGCCAAGTCGATCTACTCGAAGTTTCTATCGTCGCGAAGCGGCAACTGTGAAGCGATTCCGTCGAAATATCGAGCGCCCGTAAGTGTGATTTGTCCTGCCGCGTCCAAAGTCTCGGAAACGCCGCAAATCTCGCGGATTTTGCGGTCTAAAAAGTCGGCAGAAATTTGCGGAAAATCCGGGGTGCGCACAGCTGAACGAGTGTTACCGTACACCATAAAACTACGGTATTTTTTTGAAAATTTACCCAAGAAATTTGAAAAAAATTGCAAATATTGTCGAGAAATTTAAATTTTTTTCAAAAAAATACCGTTGAAAAATTTACCCAAGAAATTTGAATAAATTGCAAATATTTTCGAGAAATTTAAATTTTTTTCAAAAAAATACCGTTGAAAAATTTACCCAAGAAATTTGAATAAATTGCAAATATTTTTCGAGAAATTTAAATTTTTTTCAAAAAAAATACCGTTGAAAAATTTACCCAAGAAATTTGAAAAAAATTGCAAATATTGTCGAGAAATTTAAATTTTTTTCAAAAAAATACCGTTGAAAATTTACCCAAAAAAATTTGAAAAAAATTACAAATTTTTTTCGAGAAATTTAAATTTTTTTCAAAAAAAATACCGTTGAAAAATTTACCCAAAAAAATTTGAAAAAAATTACAAATTTTTTTCGAGAAATTTAAATTTTTTTCAAAAAAAATACCGTTGAAAATGAAAAATTTACCCAAGAAATTTGCAAAATTGCAAATATTCTCGAGAAATTTAAATTTTTTTCAAAAAAAATACCCTAGTTTTTTTGGTGTACGGTAACACTCGTTCAGCTGTGTGCGCACCCCGGATTTCTCGCAATTTTCTGCCGACTTTTGACTGCAAAATGCGCGAGATTTGCGGGTTTTCCGAGACTTTGGACGCGGCATTCGCAATCGACGATAAAAGCGACAATATTGGGCCGCAGATTGGCGAAAAATTGCGACGAGCCGGAGACGTCGACAATCGAGCATTCGGACACTGTTCCTCGTTCGTCGTCGACTTTTTGCGGAGGCAACACGAAGCGTTTTTGGGATCCGACGAGTTTATCGACGCGTTCAACAAGGTGAGCATTTGACAGCGACGACCCCCTGAATGACATGCGTTTTGTGTTGGAAATACTGTATTGCAGGGCTCGGCAATTGGCCTGGACTTTTGGCGCACTTGCAATGATCCGATCGGACCCAAACTTTGCAGGATTGGTGGACTTGGATTGAGGGCCATTGGGACCAAGTTTCAGCCTGATTGGATCGTCGGGTCCCGAGATGTGTGGATTATTGGCCGATTTTTTTTTGTAACCCTCATATCTCGGGACCAGATGATCCGATCGGGCTGAAACTTGGTCCCAATGGCCCTCAATACATGTCCAAGCAGCCTGCAAAGTTTGGGCCCGATCGGATCAGTGCAAGTGGTTCAAAAGTCCAGGTCAAGGACCGGCCTGCTGTATCGTCAAAGTTGTCATACTTCTGACTATTGTTGAGCGGAATTCCGTCTTCCGTGGATTTTTTTGTTCCGTCTTCCGTCTTCCGGGAGAAAAATTTCTTCCGTCTTCCGTTTTCTGTGTTCCGTAAAAAATTTTTCTTCCGTCTGCCGTCTTCCGTCTTCCGTTTTCCGTGTTCCGTAAAAAATTTTTTCCCGTCTGCCGTCTTCCGTCTTCCGGGATTTTTTCTTCTTAATTTTTTCTTCTTTCTTCTTCTTCTTGGATTTTTTTGTTCCGTCTTCCGTCTTCCGGGAAAAAAATTTCTTCCGTCTTCCGTTTTCCGTGTTCCGTAAAAAAATTTTCTTCCGTCTGCCGTCTTCCGTGAGAAAAATTTTCTTCCGTCTTCCGTGAGAAAAATTTTCTTCCGTCTTCCGGATTTCAAAATTCCATTTCCGCTCAACTCTGCAAAGCGTTCGGGTTTCCATTCGTTTTCCATCAGTTGTATTAAGAACCCTGACCAACCATCGGCGCTCCGCCCCCTTCTTCTTGCCCACCGTAATCCTCGGTTGCAGATGACGCATGCCGAGCAGAACGCCGCTCATCACAACACGGCGGAACGTCGCAAATCGTCATCGTCGGCGACGAACACACATCGGCGAAGTGCGGCACAGACGGCCACACAACTGACCGCCGAGGCGCTGCTCAAATCGAAACACGACAGACACACGAAACTCGGCGAGACGTAAGTGTTCACATTTTTATGCGCAAATTACGCGATTTCGGTTCAGAAAACTCGAGAAAATGTATCCGCCGACACGTCAGCCGTACGTCTGCAATGCCACCACTTCGCACAACGACTCGGCCGTCAGTTCGTCGTTTTCCGCCGGGGACGCGCCGAGTTGTTCGCACCGCGCTCATAATACCCGGTTGGTTAGTCGTGCACCATTCGGAGCACGTTTTTTCGGTGGCAGCTTTCAAATTTCTATGCCAGGCTACCAGGGCGGGCGCCACGGCGACGAAAAGTCGAGAAAGGGGCGTGGCCTAATCTGAGACGCGTTTTCTGAAAATTTCCGCCATTTTTGTGTTGGATATCGACGAAAGAAGACATTAAAAAGAGAGAAAACATTGAAATTTTTGTGAAAACGCCGCGTTTGAGACGTTTTTGGCATATTTCGCAATACGCTCTCCGCGGCCAATCGCCGCCGCAATTTCGGAATTTTCATACCGGCCGATCTGGATAGTTTTGAGACAAAGTGAGTGTCGGAAGTGATTAAGCACGTTAATACAAGTATTTTAAGCGTTCAAACGGCAAAAAGTATCGGCGAATGACTGAAATTCGCGCATTTTCAGCAAAAAACTTGAAAATCGATAAAAATTGATTTATTCTCCCAATGAAACCTGCTCGTTTTAAGCTCAAAAAGTGCGCAATGATTAGTTTAACAAAGGTATGCAACTAAATCGTCGAAATCGTACTAGATTTGGGTAATTTTTGACGAAAAACATTAAAAATAGGGGGTTAAATTTCAAATTTCGCGCCAAAATGGCTAGGCCACGCCCCTTTCTACAGGGCGCAGAATCAAACTAAAAGTTGGCTTTAACAGTTCAGGCGAACACTGCAAAAATTCCAGACACTTTTCAATGTATGTTGTTGATAGATAACGCAGTGAACTTTGCAGACTGCGTCACGTGCGCGAGGAGCAAGCGCGCGAGAACACTGGCACGTTCACAGTGCCACGTGTCGAGAAAGAGCATCGCTCGACGGAAGGCCAACAATTCGAGCATTCTTCTGAGCACGGAAGAAAAATATTCGCCATCGAGATCACCAAAAAATTGCTCCGCCACATGGACAAGGTGAAACTGGCGGACGAGATGGAGAAGCACATTAACGATATTCAAGAGTGCCGGTATACGGTACGTTCGCCTTGAAGACGACGACGACGACAATATCAGGAAGTGCCCTACTGTTTTCAGACGATCGACATGGTCAACGGGACCGAGGACAACTACAGTAAGATTGACGAGGACGAGGAGTTGGACGACTATTTGAAGATGAAAATGACGAACGACAACGATTCGCAGAAGGGCTCGGCGGCGCGCTCCCCGAAAGCGAATGCCGAGAAGAAGGGGAACACGTCGGGAAGCTCGAAAAACAGTGAGTAAAAGTTACTGTAAAAGAGGGAAAATCCGAGGTTCCCATGCGTATCAGGATTACCGAACCTTGTGAGTGAGACACATCTGTTCCGTCCAAGGATCCCATGAACGGATTAGGCTCCTTGCCTTACTGACTAACCGGCCGGTTCGGCCGACAAATTGATGGATCGTCTTGGGAAAAAGGAGAAAAAAAAGAAAACTAGCGCGTCGGTTTCGAACCTGCGACCTCGGGATTGAACGGCAAAACGGTAAACGACTGAGCTACATAGCCGCAGCTTCTATTGAAACAAATTGCGTAGATGAACGCGCGGAAAGCGGGACGAGAAGGGTTTCGGTGACGTGACAAATTTGACGTTTTTGAAAGAGAATACAAAAAAATTACGGGCCGGCCCGGCCGAAAATTTGCTGGCCCGGTCGGCCCGGCTCAAAAGGCGCGAATTCAAATTTTTGGGGGAAATCTATTTTTTTGTTTTTTTTGCGGGGATCAAAATTAAAACTTTTTGCTTTGATGCCAATAAAAACTATTTTTGAGAACTACATTTCTTTTTTATGCTCGATACTTGCAAAATTCGTTAGTTCTACGAAAAACAAACATTTTATTTAATCAATAGTTCAAAATTTGGATTCCCGCTTTTTGAACCGGGCCGACCGGGCCGGGCCGGGCCGGACCGCAACATTCAAGTGATTTTTTCGCGAAATGCGTCAAAAACTGTCAAATTTTGCTGTTTTTAGATCGATATTTGCAGGAAACCACCGGAAAGTGTGCACTTTTTCGCCAAGCTGCCACATTTTACGAATGTTTGTCAATTTTTCAACGAAAATTGTAAAAACGCGCGAAATTTCGAACAAACCTGCTGAAAAGTGTCGGCAAGGCATCAGATGTTATGAGGCTATTCAGAGTATGTTTGTTTTCCTTTTTTTTTCGTTTTTTTACATCGCTGAATTGGATTTTTTGACGTAAAACAACGAAAAAAAACGGAAAAAAATCATTTTTTTTCACAGTCTGCATAACCCCATTACGAAAATTTGCAAGAGTCGCCGATTTTTGCAGATATTTCATCGAAAAATCAGTGGTTTCGCATGAAAACGACAAAAAGATCGTCGGTCTTTATGAGGTTGCGTGCGCGCGTATGTGACTCAATGCTCCGCGGCCGACAATATGATTTGTGGAACAAAGTCGGAGCCCTTCCGTCTCGCTCTCTTCCCCTTTCGCCTCGTGCTCCGTGAGCCGCCGCCGGAGCTCATCTTACTTTTGGCCGTGATCCTAAGCTGCTCCGAGAGCTCCAAGAGCCCATTTTTTTTCGCCGGCGCTGGAAATGTTCCAGGGCTCGCGGAGCACATCGCCAATAACGCCAACATGGCCCGGCTATTCGTATACTCAATTTCTAGAACTATTCATCTCGAATGTAAGTTAACGTTTTTGTTGAGCAACGAAATCGGACCCAAATGTTTTTCCCCACTTTTCTTCTTCTTGTTCCTCCTCTTGTCTAGACCGCCCACAGTAATCCCGAATCCCGAATCCCGAATCCCGAATCATTATGCGAAGAGCTCAAAATGAGTGGAAAAACAATTAGGCGCCCTAATTCTTCGTCTCTTTTGACTCTTTCGGCGGGGAGAGTGATTCAAATGCGCGCGCGACCGCATGACGGGCGCCTCCAAATCGAGTTACTCGCCGAGCCACACAGCTCCGCTTTTTTCAAGGGATTATGGGTCAAAAGTATTCCGTGATGGGTCTCGAGTGGAAGAAGAAGAAGTGGTGGGGCTATGGGGCAGAGATGTTGGGAATTCCGTGTTCCGTGTTCCGTGTTCCGTGTTCCGCGTTTTTTTGCAATATTTTTTCCGTGTTCCGTGTTCCGTAAAAAAAAAAAATTTCCGTGTTCCGTGTTCCGTGTTCCGTAGAAATAAGTTTTTTCCGTTTTCCGTGTTCCGTGTTCCGTATAAACTATGTTTTCCGCGGAAAAATTCGATCACAAATTTTATGACGTTTTGTGGTCAAAATTTGAAAATGTTCGGATTCGGACCATATTCGTGAAAAGTGGATTCCATTTTCAGTCGTTTTTTTACTGTAGTTGTTTACTGTTGTGTTGTTGGTTTTGTTATTTTTTTATGAAATTTTTCAGTAAAACTTTCACATGAGTCAAACAGCTGCCTTGTCAGTCAGATAATCGAATTAAACAAAGCATTATTTTAAAAAAAATCACTGGAATTCTCTTGAAAACGCTTTTTTCCGTGTTCCGTAAAAAAAAAAAATTTCCGTGTTCCGTGTTCCGTGTTCCGTAGAAATAAGTTTTTTCCGTTTTCCGTGTTCCGTGTTCCGTAAAACAAAAAAATTTCCGTTTTCCGTGTTCCGTGTTCCGTAGAAAAAAAAATTTTCCGTTTTCCGTGTTCCGTGTTCCGTAGAGTAAAATTTTTATTCCCAACATCTCTGCTATGGGGCATCGGAAGTTTGTTTTGGGGGGTTTAGTATTGCGACTTTTCTACAGTTTCTGCTCACTAGAATTGCGTGTTTTAATTTGCAAACCAAAACGCGATAAGAAATGTCTGAGAGGGCGGTCAAAAGTGAGAAGCGAGAAGTTGTGTGAGTGTGAACAGCATTTCGGAGCCCCTTCCGGAAGAGCGTCGGCTCGTTTCGCGTCCTTTCTTCCACACCATTTTCGTATCTTCCCCCCGGGCCAACGCCCCCCCCCCTTTTCCTCGTTTTTCCTCAAAACGAGACGGCGTCGTCGTCGTCGTCGTGTCGTCTTCTCTGACAATTCGATTATCGGCGGTCCCTTCTTTTCTCCGTCTCCCACACATATCATCATCATCATCATCATCATCATCATCATCAACACCAGCTTCCGAAAAGAAAAGAAAACGGGAAAAGAAGCCCGGCCCCTCGTCGCGCCGGCCGGCTCACAAATTTCTCGTCCCCTCTGTTTTCTTTTTGCGGGTTCTCGTCCATTTTTATTCCGAAAAAAAAACGATGAACTGTGCGCACTGCTATCGTCTTCGCAGCCACCAAAATTATCAGCAATCGGTGCTGCGCGTGGATCCCGAGTCTGATTATTTTGAGGTGAACGGTGCCGGCAGTACGGTAAGCGCCTTTTTCGGGGATTAGGCGTGAAACTTGACGACTGATTGCGTATAATGTGCTAGATTCTACAGTAATTCTTCTAAACTTCAATGCACCAAACTTGACGACACTTTACTTGAAAGTAAAGGAACCCTAGTACTTTGCTTACTTCAAACTCTATTACTTGGTGCACACGACGACCAAAAGTGTAGAAAGGGGCGTGGCCTAATCTGAGACGCGTTTTCTGAAAATTGCCGCAATCTCAGCACTTTTTCGATATTTTTGTGTTTGATATCGACGAAAGAAGAGACATTAATGAGAAAAAACATTGAAATTTTCGTGAAAACGCCTTTTTGGCATATTTCGCAATACGCTCTCCGCGGCCAATCGCCGCCGCAATTAATTCCGGAATTTTCATACCGGCCGATGTGGATAGTTTTGAGACGAAGTGAGTGGCGGAAGTGATTAAGCACGTTAAAACAAGTATTTTAAGCGTTCAAACGGCAAAAAGTATCGGCGAATGCCTGAAATTCGCGCATTTTCAGCATAAAACTTGAAAATCGATTGAATTGATTCATTCTCTGAATGAAACCTGCTCGTTTTAAGCTCAAAAAGTGCGCGATGATTAAATTAACAAAGTTATGCAACTAAATCGTCGAAACCCGTACAAATTTTGGGTAATTTTTTACGAAAAACCTGAAAAATGGGGTTAAATTTCGAATTTCGCGCCCCAAAATTTTGTTAAACCATGCACGCTAGGCCCCACGCCCCTTTCTACGTTTTTGGTCGTCGTGGTGCATCAAACTTCATCAAATAATGCGTACAATACCCATAACTCTACGACACGTTTTCAGATGGAAGGCGGTTCCGGATGGACCGAATCGCTCGAGAAGGACTTTGACAAAGCGTTCGTGTCGCTGGACTTGCTGCTCGGCGAAGTCGACTCCGATCAGGTACTTCTTCTTCTCACTTTTCACCGTCCACTTTGAGTTGTGCACTTCTTTTCGTCTATCTAATGATCGTCAGGTTGAGATCACCTACGAGGGCCGTCAAAAGATGACGTCGTTGAGTGCGTGCTTCGCCCAAATGATGCACAAGTGTCAGTTCATGATGCACACGATCGGCAAGCAGGAGAAGGTGGGTAGTTGTTGCAAAACTTCCGGTAGGTGTTGTGAAAAAATACTCGACCGTTCAGGAGATGCTAGCGATGCGAAACGAGGTGATCGAGGCACGCGCGGCCCGACAAAGTATGGAAAAAGAGGTGGAGCAGTTGATGATCCAGGTGCACTCGCTCCAATGTCAACTTCATTCGAAGACGGCGCCACACGAGTCGGATATGATCAAAAAGAAATTGGTAAGTGAGGCACCGGGCTACAGCCTACAGTACTTCTCCAGCGATTGTAGGAATCGCAACTGACGCAATTCCGTTCGGAACTCATGCAAGGCCTGAGCACCGTGTGCGAGCTGGAAATGGCGCGGAAAGAGTGCGATCGCTCGAAAAAAACCATTCAGGCACTCGAGACCGAGGTGTTCGGCGCCCGATTGGCGGCCAAGTACCTCGACAAGGTAGGAGTTGTGTAGTTGTTGCATCACTGCGCTACCGTATTTTGTAGGAACTCGCGGGACGGATACAGCAGATCCAGCTGTTGGGCCGGAATATGCGCGGAGTGGAGCACGATCGATTGTGGAATCAGTTGGAGGCCGAGATCCATTTGCACAGGCACAAGACTGTCATCAGGGCTTGCAGGTGAGTGGGCCAAGCCTTAAAAACCCTGGAGAAATGCTAGACAACATTCAAAAAATTACAAATTCTGTCGTTTCGATTGTCGCCACATTCCCACCCGAAATCCGCTTCTTCTCCCCCCACTCACTCACTCACTCATCATGATACTCATCCTCTCCCTTCTCGACTCTTCAGAGGACGCGGTAACACGAAGGGATTAGCGGCGCCACTTCGTCACAATTTCAAGGGTCTTCGGAAGCGAAACGGAGTGGGAAAGAGCCGCAAAGTGGTGTTGTCGAAGCATCCGCACGAGGGACTCGGCATCTCCATTACGGTATGGCTAAGGGGAGGGGAGGGATCTAGTTTGACAAACGTTGGCTCGTGCTATTGAAAGAGCCCATATTCGTCATTCTTGAGGCTTATAGTTCCATCAAAAATAATAGTTCTGAAAAGAGCATAGGAGCTGGACCTGTTAGATAATAAATGAGTCTTGCAGGGAGGATCCGAGCACGCGCTGCCGATCGTGATCTCGGAAATCCAGCCGGGCCAACCGGCCGATCGATGCGGACAAGTGTTCGTGGGCGACGCGATTCTCTCGGTGAACGGATACGATTTGCGGACGGTCAAGCATCAGGAGGCCGTCGATATTCTGAGCGCACAGGTCCAGCAAGGCGACCTCGACCTCGAACTCGTCTTTGTTTGTCCCGATGAGGACAGCGACGATGACGGCACGGTGACGATTGAGCACAGCGATGGATCCATGTGAGTCTGGGTGCGATGATAGAGAAGTGAGAAAGCAAAAATGTTTCTACCTCATTGGCGGTCGAACCAAAACCATCCCCTAGATTACTGTTCGCGCACGCAATCACTGCGCCACACGCCCAATCTCTGATCAGCGTCGACGCTTGATCCCAAGGCGTACACATTATCGCTGAATGGCGCGCCCGGACGGAGTCCTCCAAATCTAGAACTTTTTTCAGCTACAATCTGTACAACATCGAGGAGCCCACTTCGTCGCGCTCTTCTTCGAACAATTCGGACGAATCGCGAAGCACGTGACGTGGCAAAACGACAATTTTTTTAACTGTCTTTTACCGGTTTCCCCTTTTTTTGCCCCTCCCTTCCCCCAGCCCCGCTTTTTTTGTATATTCGCGTGACATTTCCCACATTATTGCCAACGCTTCTTTCGTCTGCTTCTCTCTGTTTTCTAGTCTTTTGATGAAGAAAAAAAGAGATTCCACATCCATTCATTCATCCGTTTGAATATCGATCGAAATGAGCTGCGAGCAACGCATGAACCGTCTCTCCGCCTCATTCAATTTCGCCATGACACGTGCGTTGGCCGCCGAGACCAAGGACGACTGGATCACCCATCTGAAGGCCATGTCGAATGTGTTCACGCAGGTTGGTACCACTGGGACCATAGAGTTGGAGCGGGTCGGCCAGGATTCACTAGTCAAAGTGCACAGTTCCCTGGCCTAACTCTCTCCCTGATGGCCTAGATTTCCAGCAGATCCCAACCTATTTCCAGGCGTGCACGGCGATGGTGACCGAAGAGGCGGCGAAGACGGAGGCGCTGAGAGAGCGCGACGACACGCTCGCCGCAATGGCGGATCTGAAGGCGAAAGCGGACAGCCACGACGACGTGATCCATCAGTTGCACTTGCTGCTCGCCGCGCAGAGCCGCAACTCGACCGACCTCACTTCCGTCGTCATTTTCGACAAAATGGTGCCGTCCACTCTCCCCTTTGGCGAAAAAAATTTTTACGTGCCGCGGCTCTCAGTGCCGATTTACGAGACACGGATTTTCAACTGAAATCGATGTTTTGCCGAGCTTTTGGGATTATGCACAGTTTTTCCTCAAAACTTTCGCCTCACGTCGGTTTATATGACCGATAGCTACAAAATGATCACAGAGTTCTCGTGTAAAAGTGAAAATTCGAAGAGAAATTTCGTTTTTTTTAAATTTGGCTTGAAAAAACGAACTTTCCGAAGTTTTGAGAGAACAGTTGCTGCTCGCGATTGTTCAGCAGACAAAGGCGGTCATTTTGAGCACAAAGACGGCCCATAAAACGCAAAAATGACTGAGTAATTGAAATTCACAGAAAAATGAAAAAATGCGCGCTTTTTTGTGGCCGAAACGATAATTTAATGTCACAGCTGTCATTAAAAATTCTGAAATTCTGTGTTTTACTTTATTTTTCCAATTTTCGGATGAAATTTCGGGTTTTCGGAGAAAAAATCCCCGGAAATTTCAACGATACTCCGTTTTAACGCGGCGCTCAATTTAGCATTAGCTGTTTGGGGGAGACAGTGGCGCTTTGATTGAAACGTGAATTTTTCAGTGCGACGAGGTGCGCCAGAACATGCAAGACATCCAGCATTACCGTTATCTCGAGGCGCAGCTCAGCGTGGAGAAGCGGCGAAACGAACGGCTGCTGCTGCACATCAACGAGCTGTCGAAGAAGAATGTGATGCATCTGATGGCCACACGCTTCTACGCGAGGGTACGGACTAGGAAAAGCTAGGCCATCATCCTCAATGCGTGTTACAGGAGTTGGCGGCGATGCGACAATTGATGGATCTGGTGCACAACGCGGCCACCATCGACTCGGCCGTCAAATCGAAGCTCTGGGACGAGATTGAGGCCGAGAACCGTCTTCTCCGCCTCAATACGTTGTGGCTCATCAACCGGTAAGTTTCTATCGCTTTTTTTCTGATTTTTGCCGTTAAAAGCGATGAAAAATGATTGTTCGACATGAAAACACGCTAATTCTCAGAATTAATGACGTTTTGGCGCATTTTTCGCCGACTTTGCTTTTTCGCCTTCTCATTTTGCGCTTTCTTGACCGTTTTCCGACAGAATTGGTTTTGAGAATGATGAATCACGTAAATACAAGCATTTTGAGCGCTCGAACCGCGAAAACTACCGAAAAGCAACTGAAATTCACGCAGTTTTAGCGAAAAACCTTCAAACGGATAAATGTGATTTGCGACTTGACCAAATTTAACGCTCTTGCGCTTAAAAAATTCGTAATAGCCTATACAATCGGTCTATCGAGTGGCAAATGAGAAATTATCGATTTTTCGTGGCTAATCTGGCAAAAAACACAAATTTTGCTGTTAAAATTTGAATTTCGCGCCAATTTATCGCTCTATTCGGCGGGGCGCATTGTCAGCTCTGAGGAGACCGTGCATCCCCAATGTTTTTGTAGCATCAACTCGGCGGACCAACGCGACGCCGCCTTTGCAAGCGGAGACATGTGGCACGAGCAGCCGCGCCTCGTGATTTTGACGCGAGAGCACATCAACCAGGGGCTCGGGCTCGAGATTACGGTACCTGAACGTTGTCTGACGAACGACGGCGCCAATCGGTTTAGGGTGGTTGTGACGAGTTCCGTCCGGTGCTTGTCACCGGAAAATTGAGCAAATCGATGGCCGACGACGATCAACTGATGCTCGACGATCGCATTCTCGCCATCGACGGAACCTTTGTGACCAACACGACTTCTCACGCGGAAGTTATGGAGATGTTGGAGAATGAGGTGAGAGAATAGAGAATGCGACAATATCCATTGTGAAATGAGGTCTGGAAAATGTTTTGCAGAGTCTTCAAGTCACTTTTGTAGTTGAGAACTTTTTCTGTACGGCCATTTCTATGAGTCCCAACTTTCAAGAGCTACAGTACTCCACAGAGTGATTGTACAAAAAAGTTGTCAAGTGCAAAATGAAAGTACAAGAGATGAACGTTATTTTCGCAGTTCACAACATTTTCGCACAACCACTCCCAAGCCTACTGTAGCTCTTGGAAGTTGAGACTAGCACACACACACATTTTGCAGTCATCCAAGGACTTTCTCGCCCTCATCGTCTCGCAGTTCAACACGGCCAAGTACCAGTTGGCCCACGAGGACCATCGTCTTCCCGCCAACACTGGCAACGAATCGGCGACGCTGTGCTCGGCGAGCACCGTCTGGGATTAATCCCCCCCCCCCCCGGTCCCACTTGACCAAACCGCACGCCCGACGGTCCCACTTGATCATCTCTTTTCGCGCCGTCACGTCACTTTATCGTCTTGTTTGTCTCTTTTTTTTCCGCCTTTTCGATGCTTGTTCTTTTCGATTCTCCCCCTTTGTGTGATGTGCCGACGCCGCCGGCCGTTTTCTTTGAAATGAAATGAAATGAAATAAAATGCAGTAAGATTTGGGTCCTTTTCTCTCTCTCTCTCTCTCTTCCTTTGCAGCTGCCTCTCTCAGATATAAAACCCAATAAAATTAGAGTGTCCCTCTTCTTCTTTCTCTTTTTCTTTCTCTCTCTCTCTCTCTCTCTCTCTCGGCTGGTTTTATAGGTCTTCTTTCCTTCTGTCCCCCCCATTCCTTTACCCCTTTCCTCTTTTTCATTCGTTTCCCCTACGCACACACACACCCCCTTTTTTTAGCCTTTTTGAGGATCTGGAAACGCGTCAGGGCACTGAAATTGCGTCAAAGCGCCTGGAAAACAGTTTGCTATACGTTTAGTTGCGAAAAATGGGAATCGAATGGCGCCAAGGCACTGAAAATGCGTCAAAGACTAGAAACGCTTGAATTTTCATTGTTTCCAGTCGAATTTCGTCAAAAATCTCTGGATTTCTTGGTTTTTTACTCATTTCCCAGGAATTTTGCTTCAGAATCTCATTAAAAAAACGTGTTCAAATTTCTCAAAAAGAAAAGTGTAGGGTAGTGAATTGCAAAAACGTGTCACTAATTAGTCTCTCTCCGGCGCTTTCTTTTCATCTTTTCTTATCATATCACTCCTTCTTCTTCTTCTTCTTCTTCTTCCACTTCTTCTCTCTCTCTCTCTCTTTTTCGGCACCTCCTTTTTTCGCGAAAATGTTCAAAAAGAGCGGCCGCCAAAAGAGGGAAACGATACGGCCGCCAAAGGAAAGAAGAAGAAGAAGGAGAAGAAGAAGAAGAAGATTTTCGTTTTGAAACCCTCGAAGGGAAGAAGAAGAAGAAGAAGAAGAAGAAGAAGAGAGAAAATAATAAATGAGGCGGCGGCCGGGGCGGGGCGGCGAACATCAAAGGAAAAGAGCGACGGCGCCCCCCTCGCCTCGTTTCCCGGCCGGCCAGGCCAGTCAGTCAGTCCGTCACACTCTCACAGACCGCCCGATGCATTCCCTCTCTCTCTCTCTCTCTCTCTCTCTCTCTCTCTCTCTTTCTTCTGTACTACGTACTCATCGACTCTTTCTTCTTCTTCTTTTTCTTCTTCTTCTTCACTCACTTCCTTCCTTCCCCCTCTGCGTTTCTGATATTATCATTCTATCAGCAGCGATGCTCTCTCTCTCTCTCTCTCTTTCTCTTTTTGAAAATCTGAAACTATAATAATAATATAATGATGTCAACACTATTGTAGGACACTTTTTTTTTTGCACATCTTTGAGCACCCGTACCTTGAGAACCAATACGAATTTCAAAATGTTGACAACAGAAAATATGTGGCAAATTTTGTGCTCTACAACTTTCAAATTGAACATTCTATTCCAAAATGTCTCATTCTTGAGTTATGACACTTTTTGTGAACAGCCGCCACAAACTATATAGTTAAGTTTCAATTTCTGCAATTCTTTCGAAACAAATCGTATCTGTTGCAAGAAAACGGCGTAAAAGAACCGTCAAATACTCTTGTCTGTTATCTTGTCTCCCATCGCCCTTAACTTTACTCAAAACCGATCGATCCGCGAACATTTTCTGACGAATTGTGAGGTTATCTGCTCGATACCTTTCTTTCGAAACAGTATATCTCTGCTGCGGGTGGAGATATCGAAAAGTGGTCAACTAATATATTTTTTATTGTAAAATTTTGTACATTTTGTCAGTTGACCTCTTTTTGATATCTCTACTCACAGCTGAGCTACGTAGTTTTTAAATGTCACATTCAATTCAGACTTCATTTTCAGTGCAGTTCTGACCTAGTTTCAGCCATTTTTCCATCTTTTGTACATTTCTGACTTTGCTATCACCTACACGACCGAACTTTTCAATTTGAGTGTATGGAAGGCGCACACGTCGGCTGGGCCCGCAGTCTCGAGGCGGTCCTCTCGGATCGGGCGGCTCTCGACGCGTTCCAAGAGTGGCTCATGGAATACTCATCGCCCCAAGTACGTACCCTTTTTTTTTTTGATAGAAGAAGAACACCACATTTTGCAGTACCTCGACTTGTACTTTGCGATTCGCGCCTACGAACGAATGGTGTTGGAGGCAAAACCGGAGGTAACTAACTAGTTTCGGGCAGGTTGCAAGCGCGCTCCACTGCAATGGCACTACGGTAAGCAATTCGGTTCACTGAGCGGTGTTTGCACACAAAGCATTTTAAATAAAGAAAAAATCGAAGAAATTATTTTAAAATGAGAAGAAGACATGCTTGAAAGTAGAAAAAAGGTGAAAAGAAAGTAAGTGAATTAAATTTCGATGAAATGAAAGCTGACAAATTTCGAAAATTAGCAGAAGTGGAGAGAAAAATAAAAGAAAACGACAGAATTAACGAGAACGAGATGCATGAGAACGAAACGAAAGAAAAAAAATGTATGGGAACAACGTTATGAATCGAATTCATCGAATTGAGCATTTTTCTGTGAAAATATTTGATCATGAAGTGAAAAAACATAGAAAAAAAAGAAAACCCTTTCGAAAACACGTTTTTTCTTTATTTAAAATGCTTTGTGTGCAAACACCGCTCAGTGAACCGAATTGCTTACCGTAGTACCATTGGCCCCGGCCATTTGCCCAGCCCTGGATTCAGAAGTGCAAAAAGTGATGTGTGTGCGTTTGCAGAAAAGTCAACTGGCCAAATCGATCTACTCGAAGTTTCTATCGTCGCGAAGCGGCAACTGTGAAGCGATTCCGTCGAAATATCGAGCGCCCGTAAGTGTGATTTGTTCTGCCGCGTCCAAAGTCTCGGAAACGCCGCAAATCTCGCGGATTTTGCGGTCCAAAATCGGCAGAAATTTGCGGAAAATCCGGGGTGCGCACAGCTGAACGAGTGTTACCGTACACCATAAAACTACGGTATTTTTTGAAAATTTACCCAAAAAATTTGAAAAATTGCAAATATTGTCGAGAAATTTAATTTTTTTCAAAAAATACCGTTGAAAATTTACACAAGAGATTTGAAAAATTGCAAATATTCTCGAGAAATTTAAATTTTTTCAACAAACACCGTTGAAAATTTACCCAAGAAATTTGAAAAATTTCAAATATTCTCGAGAAATTTAAATTTTTTTCAAAAAATACCGTTCAAAATTTACCCAAAAAATTTGAAAAATTACAAATTTTTCGAGAAATTTAAATTTTTTTCAAAAAAATACCGTTGAAAAATGAAAATTTACCCAAGAAATTTGCAAAATTGCAAATATTCTCGAGAAATTTAAATTTTTTTCAAAAAAATACCGTAGTTTTATGGTGTACGGTAACACTCGTTCAGCTGTGTGCGCACCCCGGATTTCTCGCAATTTTCTGCCGACTTTTGACTGCAAAATGCGCGAGATTTGCGGGTTTTCCGAGACTTTGGACGCGGCATTCGAAATCCTCGATAAAAGCGACAATATTGGGCCGCAGATTGGCGAAAAATTGCGACGAGCCGGAGACGTCGACAATCGAGCATTCGGACACTGTTCCTCGTTCGTCGTCGACTTTTTGCGGAGGCAACACGAAGCGTTTTTGGGATCCGACGAGTTTATCGACGCGTTCAACAAGGTGAGCATTTGACAGCGACGACCCCCTGAATGACATGCGTTTTACGTTGGAAATACTGTATTGCAGGGCTCGGCAATTGGCCTGGACTTTTGGCGCACTTGCAATGATCCGATCGGACCCAAACTTTGCAGGATTGGCGGACTTGGATTGAGGGCCATTGGGACCAAGTTTCAGCCTGATCGGATCGTCGGGTCCCGAGATATGTCGATTATTGACCGATTTTTTTTTGTAATCCTCATATCTCGGGACCAGAGGATCCGATCGGGCTGAAACTTGGTCCCAATGACCCTCAATACATGTCCAAACAGCCTGCAAAGTTTGGGCCCGATCGGATCAGTGCAAGTGGTTCAAAAGTCCAGGTCAAGGGCCGGCCTGCTGTATCGTCAAAGTTGTCATACTTCTGACTATTGTTGAGCGGAATTCCGTCTTCCGTCTTCCGTCTTCCGGGAGAAAAATTTCTTCCGTCTTCCGTTTTCCGTGTTCCGTAAAAAATTTTTCTTCCGTCTTCCGTTTTCCGTGTTCCGTAAAAAATTTTTTCCCGTCTGCCGTCTTCCGTCTTCCGGGATTTTTTCTTCTTAATTTTTTCTTCTTTCTTCTTCTTCTTGGATTTTTTTGTTCCGTCTTCCGTCTTCCGGGAGAAAAATTTCTTCCGTCTGCCGTCTTCCGTGCGAAAAATTTTCTTCCGTCTTCCGTTTTCCGTCTTCCGGATTTCAAAATTGTATTTCCGCTCAACTCTGCAAAGCTTTCGGGTCGGGTTTCCATTCGTTTTCCATCCGTTCTATTAAGATCCCTGACCAACCATCGGCGCTCCGCCCCCTTCTTCTTGCCCACCGTAATCCTCGGTTGCAGATGACGCATGCCGAGCAGAACGCCGCTCATCACAACACGATGGAACGTCGCAAATCGTCATCGTCGGCGACGAACACACATCGGCGGAGTGCGGCGCAGACGGCCACACAACTGACCGCCGAAGCGCTGCTCAAATCGAAACACGACAGACACACGAAACTCGGCGAGACGTAAGTGTTCACATTTTTATGCGCAAAAATTACGCGATTTCGGTTCAGAAAACTCGAGAAAATGTATCCGCCGACACGTCAGCCGTACGTCTGCAATGCCACCACTTCGCACAACGACTCGGCCGTCAGTTCGTCGTTTTCCGCCGGGGACGCGCCGAGTTGTTCGCACCGCGCTCATAATACCCGGTTGGTTAGTCGTGCACCATTCTGAGCACGTTTTTTCGGTGGCAAAATTGAGGAAAACGTTCGGAATTCTCTCGTAGCTTTCAAATTTTACAAATATGCCAGGCTACCAGGGCGCCAAGGCGGCCAAAAGTGTAGAAAGGGGCGTGGCCTAATCTGAGACGCGTTTTCTGAAAATTGCCGCCATTTTTGTGTTTGATATCGACGAAAGAAGACATTAAAAAGAGAGAAAAGATTGAAATTTTTGTGAAAACGCCGCGTTTGAGACGTTTTTGGCATATTTCGCAATACGCCCTCCGCGGCCAATCGCCGCCGCAATTTCGGAATTTTCATACCGGCCCATTTGGATAGTTTTGAGACGAAATGAGTGTCGGAAGTGATTAAGCACGTTAATACACGTATTTTAAGCGTTCAAACGGCAAAAAGTATCGGCGAATGACTGAAATTCGCGCATTTTCAGCAAAAAACTTGAAAGTCGATAAAAATTGATTTATTCTCCCAATGAAACCTGCTCGTTTTAAGCTCAAAAAGTGCGCGGCGATTAGTTTAACAAAGTTATGCAATTAAATCGTCAAAATCGTACTAGATTTGGGTAATTTTTGACGAAAAACATGAAAAATAGGGGGGTTAAATTTCGAATTTCGCGCCAAAATGGCTAGGTCACGCCCCTTTCTACACGGGGGGTAGAATCAAACTAAAAGTTGGCTTTAACAGTTCAGGCGAACACTGCAAAAATTCCAGACACTTTTCAATGTATGTTGTTGATAGATAACGCAGTGAACTTTGCAGACTGCGTCACGTGCGCGAGGAGCAAGCGCGCGAGAACACTGGCACGTTCACAGTGCCACGTGTCGAGAAAGAGCATCGCTCGACGGAAGGCCAACAATTCGAGCATTCTTCTGAGCACGGAAGAAAAATATTCGCCATCGAGATCACCAAAAAATTGCTCCGCCACATGGACAAGGTGAAACTGGCGGACGAGATGGAGAAGCACATTAACGATATTCAAGAGTGCCGGTATACGGTACGTTCGCCTTGAAGACGACGACGACGACAATATCAGGAAGTGCCCTACTGTTTTCAGACGATCGACATGGTCAACGGGACCGAGGACAACTACAGTAAGATTGACGAGGACGAGGAGTTGGACGACTATTTGAAGATGAAAAATGACGAACGACAACGATTCGCAGAAGGGCTCGGCGGCGCGCTCCCCGAAAGCGAATGCCGAGAAGAAGGGGAACACGTCGGGAAGCTCGAAAAAAACAGTGAGTAAAAAGTTACTGTAAAAGAGGGAAAATCCGAGGTTCCCATGCGTATCAGGATTACCGAACCTTGTGAGTGAGACACATCTGTTCCGTCCAAGGATCCCATGAACGGATTAGGCTCCTTGCCTTACTGACTAACCGGCCGGTTCGGCCGACAAATTGATGGATCGTCTTGGGAAAAAGGAGAAAAAAAAGAAAACTAGCGCGTCGGTTTCGAACCTGCGACCTCGGGATTGAACGGCAAAACGGTAAACGACTGAGCTACATAGCCGCAGCTTCTATTGAAACAAATTGCGTAGATGAACGCGCGGAAAGCGGGACGAGAAGGGTTTCGGTGACGTGACAAATTTGACGTTTTTGAAAGAGAATACAAAAATTACGGGCCGGCCCGGCCGAAAATTTGCTGGCCCGGTCGGCCCGGCTCAAAAGGCGCGAATTCAAATTTTTGGGGGAAATCTATTTTTTCGTTTTTTTTTTGCGGGGATCAAAATTAAAACTTTTGCTTTGATGCCAATAAAAACTATTTTTGAGAACTACATTTCTTTTTTATGCTCGATACTTGCAAAATTCGTTAGTTCTACGAAAAACAAACATTTTATTTAATCAATAGTTCAAAATTTGGATTCCCGCTTTTTGAACCGGGCCGACCGGGCCGGGCCGGACCGTGGCAACTCTGATAAAAACAAACTTGTTCCTCAGAAACGATCGGAAAACTTAGTTTTTAGTTCACTTTGCAACCAGACGTTTCGCAACCGATAAATCAAGTTGATAACAAAGCATTTTAACGAAAATACGAAAAAAAAACGATTGCAAGTGAAAAAATGCGCTAAAAATATTGATTTTTGAATTTTGCAGCCACGCTGTCGCCGAGAGAATCGCCCCGAGAAGTGCTGCTCCACAACACGATTCGCGCGCGCAAACCCTCGAACTTCCACTCGATCAAAGAGTTTTCGGTGGACTTGCTGCCGCCGAAATCACAGCCACGTCACCACCAGATCGACCGGATGTCCCACTCGATGATCGGCCCGTCCGGCTCCTCCTACTCGGCCGGCTCGTCCACTTTCAGCCGCGCCGACTCGTTCGCGCCGTCGCCGATGAAATCGTGGAGTCACTACGGAGTGGCGGGCAGCAGCAGCAAGAGCAGTCAGATGTACGATTCGTCCGGAATCGGATCGATGGCGCCGTCCGCGTTCTCGGCCGCGTCGTCGATGGATTCGCGCGAGCAGCAACGCAGACATCACCATCGGAAGCCGGGCGTCATGAGCCAGTCGACGACGACGCCGCGGAAGCATCGCAGTGCGAAGGCGTCGTCGAATCTGATCACCATTTCTTATATCGGTAAGAATGCGCTTTTTTTGTGCGGCTCTCGATACGCTTCATTCAGTTGCAAATCGATTTTTTGTAATTTTTTCCAATACCATGTTAATTTTAGGATGCGACAAAGTGCCGGTAGTAGCACACGTGCCCAACGACGGTCCGATGACTTTGGAAGAGTTCAAACGACATTTCGCATTGCCCGCGGGACCGCAACAGTGAGTTTTCGCAACCAGGTTGCCAAATGTCCAGACTAAACAACATTTTTTGCAGATTATTTTTCAAAACAGAGTGCGAGGACGGCTCTGCGCCATTTCAACTTTTGCTCATCAAAGATGAACATCATCTTTTGCCAGTTTTTGAGGTGAAACAGTTTGCTCGAAGGTTTCTGAAAAAATCGATAATTTCAGGGTCGAATAGCTGCTGAACTTCGATAATCTTGCCAAGCGCACTGTTTGTACGGAAGACTTTTAAATTACAATTCAAGAATCAATACAGGTCGACAAAAATGATAATGATTTCGTGATCTTTTCCCGCCAGAATGTGTATAATAAATTATTCCTTTTTTTTCAAACGAAGAATTTATGTAAAAAAAGTGCAAATTCTATGGAATGAAACGATAAAAACGGAATGACGACACACACAATCTCAACAAAAATACGATTACGGTACGCTTCGAAAAAATGTGTTCTGGGCGAGCATGTGGATGACTCGAGTGTCCTTTTTCGGATTGCGCCGTCCATCTATGCACAGGTACATCGACCACAAGAGCACCATTAAAATCGAGATGATGACGTAGGCGAAACTGCAATTTTCGGGATTTTTTAAAGCTTTTTTCTGGAAATTGTCGTCAAATCGCGCGCAAAGCACGCAAACACCGTTCTACGTACAACGCCCACGATTTGACGACAATTTGAGCTTTAGCTCGATTATTTGAGACTTTTCAGCAAAAAACGGCGTACCTGACGTAGGAGACGACTTGCTCGCGTGTCCACGAGCCGAAAAACGACTGATCCGCACTTTTCTCATCCATTCATCCTTCTGAAATGCTGAAATTCGTGTTTTTGAGGTGAAATTTAGAATTTTGGAGGAAACAACGTTAGAAGCGACGAATTTTTGTAAAAAGCCTTTTAAATTGCTATAGCTTTAGCGAAGAAAATGCCAGAAATATACTATTCTTCACGAATTTCAGAAAAATGTCGCTAAAAATGATAATCTCTCTCGGATCCGCCCCTTTTTACACCAGACAATTGGCAGACGAAAATAGTGTCAAGTTGAGTGACATCTTCCGCCAGTCATCAGTTTTACTCGGAAAAAAAAGCAATGGAAAAAGGGGAAAATCACGTCAGCGCCGCCGGAAATGGCGATGGAAAAGTGACTGGGAATCGGGCGGAAACGGACCAAATTAGGAGCCGGTCGAACGAGCAGCTCGCCGCGAAAAGCTCTTTCTCCATGGCGAAAATTAGTTGCAGTCGAACGATTTTTCGCGAGGAAAACGAGATTTTTTGAGTCGCCTCCGTCGAGCCTCAAAAAGTGAGAAATACAAATGAGCGGTTAGCTCTTTCCACACTAGTATAATCTATTCGTTTCTCTTTTTCTCTCTTCGGCTCAACGAGGAGAAGGCGACGAAAAAAAAAGAAGTGACGGATGGACTTTGACGATGATGAATTAATTGAGGAGCGATCCGCAAGACTGAATTCGTTAACGGGCACAGATCCGAGATCTCTTTATTTTCTCCTCACAAAAGTGGCATCTTTTTGAGTGGAAAACGAGTGCTCATTGAGCGCTAAAGGGCCAAATACTGAATGCAACAAAGTAATATAAAAATCACCGGATTACCAATTCATAATAAGAGCTCGAGTGTTTTCCTATTTTCCTATTACCTAGACGTTTTTCTCCGGGGTAATCGGATACTTTGGCACCGTCTAAACAAGCGGTGGACCAGTAAATATAAATAGATTATAGGGAAAACAACACGATTTACTAGGCGGGAAGTATTTTTGGGTGATACAATAGGCCATACTGAATCGAAGCGTGTTGTCAAAAGTTGCAGAATAGTGTCAAGTCAAATTAGAGCTTGCCTTTGAAAATTTATATAAAATCAGGAAACACTATTTCGCAACCGTTAACAACACGTTTCGATTCTGCATAGCCTATTCGATCTTCTCACATTGTTAAGCAAAAATTTAAGCAAAAAATGAGCCGGGCGAGACGTTTGCTCTTGGTTTTCTCTCGCCTTCTCCTCGGTCTCTCGGATTAATTCATCACTTGTGTTGTGACAGATTTCTCTCGTCAGGACACCCCGCCGGGCGCCTTCCTCAACTCATTAGGATCGCCATTGTTCGTGGAATTCACTATAAAACGACAAAATTCAACAAAAAATCGACAGAAAAAATGCTATGTGGTTCGGCGGCGCGTCGTCGTCGGATCGTCGGAACAGTTGTTGATGTGATGCATTGCCGATCGAAACACCTTCAATTAAAACGATGAGTGTGCTTTGGAAAGAAAAAGACACACAGACACACACACACATGTGTGCGCGCTTTTAGTGCTTTTTGTCGTCGAAGAGAGAAATGTAGGTGTCTTTTTTATTATACACTTTCGAAAAGCGGGCAAAAAGATTTCATAATACTCGGGGGATCTAGGTTTAAAAAAAAAGCCAGTTTACCTCATTTCTCTCATCCGTCGCCGCGTTTTTCCGTTTTTCATTCGGTTTCCTGGCCAAAATGTCGATCTGAAATTTTCAAAAAATCCTGAGCATTTCGATATTTTTCCTCCGAACGCACGTTATTCCGAATGCATTTCTCCATGGTTTTTCCGTCGAAATAGTCGCGGAAAATGCGTCCGAGCTGCCATAGTTGCACCGAACTCGGCCGGAAACGTTCCGAACTGCAATACACATTTCTTTGGGGGGATCAGGAGAGAGGGGGACATTTGAAGAAAAGCGTACCTGATATATTTGCTGTAAGGCAACCGATAAGGGACGATTTTGTCGGCGATGCAGGCACTGGTACTGCTCGTCGCGGGCGAGGCATCGTTCGAAAGACACACGACGACTCCGTTCACGTTGGCGGGCACCACTTCCGGCACGAATCGCGTCGCTTTCGGAGAGATGTACAGCAGCGATTCTGAGGAGAAAAATGAGAAAAATTGAAGACGAGACCGGCCAGCCGAGGCCTGGACTTTTGTTTCATTTGCAATGATCTGATCGGGCCCAAGCCTTGCAGGATTTTTGAACTTGGATCGAAGTATATTGGGTCCGAGTTTCAAACCCATCGGATCATCCGCTCCCAAGATATGCGGATCAGAAGCCTGTAAAGTTTGGGTCCGCTTCGGAATAATGCAAGTGGGTCAAAATACAAAATCTCCAGGTTTCTAAAAATTCAGAACGACTACTCGCATCTTTTTGAACATATTTCGTGCTAAAATGAGCACATAAAGCGCCACTTTGAACTTCACTTTAAAAAAATATGTCAAATATGTTGGAAAAACCTTTTCTCTCGACCGCCTCGATTCTTCTGGATGTAATCGTCGGCGCGAACGGATGCGGTCGAAAATCGCCGCTTTTTGTGGGCGGTCCGTACTGGAATAGCAGATTTCTGGAGATTTCTCTATGTTTTCAAGCAAAAATCCATTTTTCCGGGGCACCTCTTGGCAATATCCACTAGCTGTGCGTCGGCTTGATAATTGACGAAATTAATCGAAAATGGCCGGTCCGAGAGCCAATTTTCGTCGTGTAGAGCTTGCATCTGACTGGAAATTGGGATAATTCTGGATTTGTTGACAAAAAATCTCAAATTTCTACCCAGTATACGTGGACTGTGAAGCGACCGAATAATCGCGTAAAAATCGACAATCGACAATGAAATTGCGCAATTTTTCGCTTTTCATCACATTTCGCCCGTAGTTTATGTCGATTTGGCGCCGGAAATCCGCGCCGTACAAGTCCAAGAGTGCGTGAAAATGACGGGCGTACACCATTTCGCCCGCCTTGGCGCGTAGTTCGTTTCGTGTCGAGACCTGCAAATTTTTGGGATTTTTCGTGTCGTAGTACTTTGGTTAACAAGAAATTACCGGTAAACTGTCATTTTCAGTCGAAGTATTGGATTTCGCTTGGAAATTCCTCAAATCCATGAGGTACGTGTACCGCTCTTCCCATCCCATTTCCATTAGAATTTTCCACGTCGCATCGTCGATGTTCAGACTTTTCAGCGCGTTTTCGCCGTAGATTTCTTTGAAAAGCTGTAATTTCGGTTTGAGTTTCTTGTTGTTTAAGAATTTTGCGATTTACTTCAATTTCTGACGCCACTTTGACAAAATGTGACTTTTGTGACGGTCTTTTCACTTTCACATGCATAAATTGTTTCGATGGGAGATAATCGGGCGATGAAGTCGACGGGACCGTCGTTTGGACCGCTTGACGCAATAATATCCGGGTTTTCAGCATTTCCGCGCTTAAAAAAGTGATATTAGTACTTTTTAGTGCTATTTTCCGATTTGTAGCGATAGAATTGACGGGAAATGCGCGTTCGTCTCAGTTTTTCGTCTGGAAAAATGGCAAAATTGAGGGATGTGCAAGTGCGCTCCAATGATAACCAATGTCTGACGCGCTCCTCGATTCACACGCTCTCTCGTCGCGATTTCCGCAGGAATTTGAAAAACAAACTTGAAATCGCTCAAATTCCATTTTCAGTTGCTTAAAATTTGCTTAAACTTTGCTAGCAAATGCCGAGTTCATACACTGTTCCGTTAAACCTCTTTTTTTCATTGCTATCCTCTTCAACACCACGATTCGAAGAACTTTAAGGCGCTCGCTAGAGTTTGGGGAGCAACGAGCGGCAAAGGGAACGTCAAGGGGCAGGCAAGGCCAAAACAAAAATACTTTATTGAACCTTAATCAATTCCGTGCAAGAGAAAGTGGCCAGAAAAACTAGAATTACATGAGAACGAGAGAAGAATTGTGCGGAGAGAGGGAGAGAGAGAGAGAGAGAGAGAGAGAGAAAAGTACGGAGAATCGACCCGGGGAAGAGAGAATTATTTCGGAAAAACAAAACAACAACAAAAGAACGTGTTGATATCAGAATTCAGCCGAGCAGATAGTTGGTCATGGCATTGTAGAGTTTGTCGAGGTCGTTGTCGGTTTGCAGAGGCCAAACCGGGATGGACAGCTGGAAAATTTTGATTTCCCGTCAAAATGCTCATAAACTCCATTTTTGAGCTAGCTTTATCGACTTTTTTAACAATTTCCTCAAAGAACGAGTCAAAGCTCCGCATTTTTCGTTAAATTATCGACTTTTCAGCTTCCTCGCCGAAAAACATTTCACGTTTCGTTAAAAAAATGATTTTTCGAGCGCAATTTAAATTTACATGAGAAAAACCCGGGAAAACTTTGAATTCCCCCACGAAAATCGGTTTTTCCGAGAGAAAACACCCAAAAACGAACCCTTTTGGCGGTGGCGGCGCTGTCGCTGGCGGTGACGCACACAAAACTGCACTTTTTGCCGTATCTCGTCTGAATCTTCTCGAAAATCGACTCTTTTCCCTGCTTCGACACCGAATACACGTTCTCGATGGGCACGGCGCCGCTGAGCCCGGAGAGCATGAGTTGGGCGGCGCCGAACACGACGCCGTCATTCGACAACACCACGTTCGCGTACTTGTCCGTCGATTCGGCCGATCGCTTCACCACGAGATCCATGCAGCGTTGTGCGCATTGCCAACGCTGTTGAAAGTTCGAAAGCCGCGAAATTTCGTGCGCCGAATGACACATTTCCGTCTCGCGCGCCGCCATTCCAATGTGATTCATTAGTTCTGCAGAGTTGCTTTTCAATTTTTCGTCTTAACAAAACACGACAAACCATAGTTGAAGACGTTCTGCTCCTGCTTGAAACCCTCATTTTGCGGCAATTTGCTCGACAGGTCCGTGTAGAACTGACGGAACGCCGAGTATTTGGGCGCGACGCGACGCATCACGTCCAGGCCGCGCAAATTGTCCATCGGTCCGCCGTCCATGGAGCCTTCTTCGACGACCGCATCGTCAATGTTTGTTACGTCGCCTTCGAGCACCTGCAAAACATTTCGTTCATTTAGCTGAATCGATAAAGTCCGCAACGCGACCGCTTCGCAACTGAAAAGACCACGCCCCTTTCTGCAAGTGCCGCACATGCTGTCAGTTAATTATTTTTCTTGGAAAATACACACAAATCAAAGCTACTCCTGTCGGAAATTAATTGCTTTCGAGTGTTTTATCACCATTTCGGCGTGAATTTCGAAATTTGACCCTATTTTTCATGTTTTTTTTTTTCAAAAATTACCCAAATTTTGTACGATTTCGACGATGTAATTGCATCACTTTGTTAAACTAATCATCGCGCACTTTTTGAGCTTAAAACGAGCAAGTTTCATTGGGAGAATAAATAAATTTAATCGATTTTCAATTTTTTTGCTGAAAATGCGCGAATTTCAGTCATTCGCCGATACTTTTTGCCGTTTGAACGCTTAAAATTCTTGTATTAACGTGCTTAATCACTTCCGACACTCACTTCGTCTCAAAACTATCCACATCGGCCGGTATGAAAATTCCGAAATTGCGGCGGCGATTGGCCGCGGAGGGCGTATTGCGAAATATGCCAAAAACGTGTTAAACGCGGCGTTTTCACGAAAATTTCAATGTTTTCTCTTTTTAATGTCGTTTTTCGTCAATATCAAGCACAAAAATGGCGGAAAAGTGCCAGAATTGCGGCAATTTTCAGAAAACGCGTCTCAGATTAGGCCACGCCCCTTTCTACACTTTTGGTCGCCGTAAGCTATGAAAAGTTCAAAGTCTCATTCAAGCCATATTCGGGATGAACAAGTCCAATAAAGTATGATTTTCAAAGCTAACCCAGAGAAAATGTACCTCATTGATATCGGAGAAACTGGTCAACGCGACGCTGTCCATAAGCTGTGAAATGCTGCTCGTGGCTCCGAGGTAGACGGGAAATCGTTGAGCGATAGAGGCCAAAAAGTTGCGCGAGAGGATGGTGATGTCCTCGAGGTCCCAAATGAAAACGCGCGCGTAGGTCTCGTCTCCCGGACTGCACGAGCCCGTTTTCTTCTTTTTCGGCTTCTGCTTCTTCTCCTTCAAATTGAAACCGCCGCCGGACGATGATGACGTGGCGCTGACTCCCGACGTGGCCGACTCTGTGAGACTTGCCGCATCGGTGCCGAGTACTGACGAGGCGACGCTCTGAAGGAGGATACGGTTAGGAAATGGAAGAGGATAGGGATTACGGTACCACATAGGCGGCCGCCGTGTTCAGTGGATTGTAGTACGGCGCGCGCGGGTAGTACGTGTTCTGATAGGCCGCCGCCGAGGTGTAATCCACCGGATACGCTCCTGCTGTAAGAAAACGGAGAGGATAAAGAGAAATGGATCCGTCAGGCCTACCAAAATACGATGGTGTTGCCGTGAGACTGTACGGAAATGCGGTGGTCTGAGCGCGGAGGTTCGACGCCATTTGCTCGTAGTAGCTGGCCGGATTCGAGGAAGTGTACATGGCGTATTGGGTACTCGTCGGATAGGAATTGTATTGGTACGGAGTGGTCACCGAGAGCGATGTCGTTGCGGAACTTTGACCTGCACAAAAGAGTGGGTTAGCGTAGTTGTTTATTAAACTCGTTGTATCTCAGCTATTTGTAGAGCTGTCAAAACGTTGTCAACTGTTAAAATGTACCAAATGAGTTGATGAACATTTTATTAGTTGAACACTTTTTGATATCTCCACCGGCAGCTGAGATAAATTGTCTTAACTGTTGAAGCAAATGAAAAACTGGAGCGAATCTTGGCACAAAACTAAACGTAAAATACTAACGGCACAAATTCTCAGGTAATTAGCGGCAAGCGAACAGCAAGTTGCTACGGGTAGCATGGGGTGAGCATGTGTCACGCACGGATCCGGCATGGCATCAGCATGGATAGGGCGTGCAACAGAAAAGAGTGGGATGGGAGGGAGGGAAGCAAGGTTTTTGAGCGGCACGGGAGCAGCAACGGTAGCAAGGAAGTGGCACGGAATCGGCACGCTTACAGCAATTTGCCGCGGAAAACGGCACGGATGCCCAATTCATGCGGCACTTTGCCGAAAATTACCTGAGAAGAGGCCCAAATCAGTCGAAATTGAAGAAACGGCAGATTAAGAGACAAATTCCCAAACGATAAAAATGCGATGAAAGGACGGAAGAAACAGACAATAGAGAGAGAAACGTCGTTGCCCACCCGTGTCGTCGACGATATAACAACAAATGTCGGCCATGTGTGTGCTCGGAGCACACACACACACGGATAGGCACCTCCCCGCCCACGAACGGACCGTGCAGGGGGTCAAGAAGAGAGAGAGAGAGAGAGAGAGAGAGAGAGAGAGAGAGAGAGAGAGAGAGAGAGTTTGGAGACGGAGGAGGCGGCAGACGGTCCGAGACGGTTACGCAATGGTCCCCCCCATGGATACGACGTACCGTAGGCCTCCGAGATTGAGACTATTTCGGTCGCGTCTTTCTCCACCGGCGCCGCCACGTTCTGCTGCGGAAGCGTCGTCCAGACGGTCGGCGAGTCCGACGTCGTCGTCATTCTGCAACCGAAATTCGCCTAGTCGCGCAAAGTGTCGGTTTTTTTGCGCTTTTTGACACTTTCACACTCACGCGGCACGTATGGCCTAACTTTTGCGATAAATCTAGGCCACTTACGAAAAATTGGCGACGGGATCCGGTGAAGTGCCGAGCAAGAATGCGGTTTTCAGCTTTTGACCCTGAAAACACTGAAATTCACAATACTAGATGCACTTTTTTGCCCCCCGTCTAGCATAAATATTGTGAGTATGCATCATGAACCCGCGGCGGATAACACTCAATTAGTCAGCAGGTGGGCACTTATGACACGCGCCTAAGAGCAGATGTTTTGGCAAGCACCGAAAATTACGCAGTTGCGAAATGCGGGTTTCAGACAGTTTTTGGGTACAAGTTGAGGTGCTTTGACGCCTTTTTCAAAGCCATATATCTAGGTACCGCAACGGGTTTCACGAAACTCGGAATTTCTATAAAATTCTTGTTGGAATGTGTTCCCCTACTCTATATGAGTACACTCCCAATTTTTTTTTCGAAAATTTTCGGTACATCCCGAGTTACACCACTCCAAAGTCGCCCTGTTTTCTCTCAGGTCGGCGGCCGAGGAGGGGGCGGAGTCTCACTAGCAAGTTTGCCGCACGCGTTTTTTATCCTTGTCTGGTGGACCAAACCAAAGAGTCAACATTTCGAATGAGCAGAAATGATGTTCTATGAAAGCAAGATAACTTTCGAGGTCAAAATTTTCGAACCCGGCACCTTTAGATTGCCGAGTGAGCACTTTCCCACTGCGCCAGCTGGGCGAAGGCGCGCCGGCCGCCAATGGCATAGAAAAGTTGGCTGCGCGCGGTCCACTTCTAGGTGTCAAATTAGTGTTTTTGCGTGCTCAAATCCAAAACTGTTACACTTTACAGTCACTTTTCAAAAAACGGAAACTAGATAGATGGAAAAGTTCGACATGGATCGGTCGGAAATTTGATGCTGAACCTGATTTTGGGAAAATTAGCCGCGTGTAAGGTACCTGTGACCCTCAAAACCCCCAAAAACTACAATTTCGGCCAAACTGGATCTACTCAAATGAACACAAATCTGGTCCTAGACCGTCTATTGCTCTGAAAATTTGTATTTGGGTTGTCAGAGAGTTTATCTATGAATTCCAAACATAAAAAAGTATGGTCATCGCTGAAATTTTTTCACAATTTTTTGTGCCAGTTTGAGGACCTGTAAAAAAAATCGGAAACTAGATTGTCTGATTCTGACTTAAAAAACGGATTCCCCATCCCTTAAACTGTTGGAATCACTTGAAAGTAGGCGCGTGTAGCCATAAATGTGGCCACACGGGCTCTCAGACTGACTTCCATTCTCGTTTTTGCCTTTTTTTGAGAAAATGGTGCGTTTTCGTGGGAAACGGAGTTGTTCATTAGATTCAGCATGGTCGATTGCATAAAGTAAAACTTTACGAGTATGGTACTTGGTCTGGGGACCTCGGTACAGGTCCTCAAACATGCGCGCGCGGAAATCAAGAGAAAATTCGTCAGGCCACGCCCCCTCCTTTGCGCCCCCTACATATATCAGTCAAAAAGTTGTTAGCTGACAAAGTCCAACAGAGTTGAGCGGAAGAACTCAACGAAAGAATTTTTATCTTTTTTAGAAAATTTTTTCATGGAATGTGATCAACTGACGAAATGTAGAGCAAAATGAACTCTGCCCATAGAAAAATAATTGTAAATTTAACGATTCATACAAAAAAGTTAAGGGCTAACCGAAGACGGAAAGACATTTTCACGCAACAACTCGAATAACTTTTTTGTATGAAAACCGAAATTTACAATTATTTTTCTATGAGCAGAGTTCATTTTGCTCTACATTTCGTCAGTTGATCACATTTCATGAAAAAATTTTCTAAAAAAGATAAAAATTCTTCCGTGTTGAGTTCTTCCGCTCAACTCTGAAGTCCAGCATGCAACTTGAGGAGCTCTCTGGATGGTCCCGCCCGTCCGCGCACTTCAAATTCAATTCCTCCTCCTCTCTTCCTGACCATTAGTCTAATTCGGAGGATCTCTGGAAACCGAAACCCGGCGGTCCACTCCATTTACATACTTACACAAACAATGCCATCTGTATTTGTTTGCCCGGCCCGTGAGCTCTAGGGTCCCCGGGTCCCCGGGTCCCGATGTAGTTGTACACGTGTTCGTTGTACACACCCCGACGACTGTCCGTCTGTCTGTGAGTGTACATACCGAGGTGATAAGTGTGTACGGCGGCGGCGGCGGAAAGAGGAGCGACACACAACGAGAAGCGCGCGCGCGAAAAGAACTTTCCCGACGACTGAGAGAACGAGGTGTCTGATTTCATAAAGTACTGACCGCCGCCGCCCGGGGCCCGGGCTCAAAAGAGACGCGAAAGACAGGTGCGGGGGACAGGTGCGAACCGTCCGGCGGACACTTTGCAACCAGGGGTGTGCGGAAAATTTTTTTCGGAAAATTTCGGAAAATCGGGTTTTCCGATTTTTTTTTTTCGGAAAATTTCGGAAAAATCGGAAAACTCACTTGTTCATTGGTTCAATAAAGTGTTTAAACAACGTTCTAATACAAAAAAATGCTTATTATGATTTGAAATCACTTGAGTGGGCGGAAGCCAAGCAATGGAATATTTTTTTGCAAAAAAGAAATTTTGTGATGCGCCTTTAAAAAGCATACGGTGGTTTCGGACAAATTGACCTTGAATCCACACTAATTTTCCGAAAATTTTGCCGAAAATTTTCGGAAAATTTCTCGGAAAATCGGAAAATTTCGGAAAATCGAAATATTTTCCGCACACCCCTGTTTGCAACTAGCAACGATGCCCCGTACTTTTGCATTTTGAGACGCACGGGGGCAGAAAGGGTCTGGCAAAACTATGACACAATATGATGATGACGGTAATCGAGTGACGTCATCGGGTATACGCAATACTCAAGTGCCCTCACTATACACTGGGGGTCTTGGCAAAATGTCTGCCACGTGAAATTTCAACCTGTCGCCCGTTCCGGAATTGTTTATGAATGGGGGAAGCGCGTGCAATGTTTATTCAATTTTAAACGAACATTTAGCCACACATCACCGCTCCCCCCCATCCCAAAATGATAAACTAACCTGTTGACGGGTGTCAAACTGACTCAATATTTCAACGAATGTCATTAGGCACTGATTTGGAAGGTTTTAGCGCTTCTAGACGATTTCTAGAAGTTCTAGAAACGTCAAACTTACGGTCTCCAGAGCCCTACAATGGAAATTGGCGCGAAATTCGAATTTTAACAGCAAAATTTGTATTTTTTGCCAGATTAGCCACGAAAAACCGATAATTTCTCATTTTTCTCTCGATAGACCGATTGTATAGGCTATTACGAATTTTTTCAGCGCAAGAGCGTCAAATTTGGTCAAGTCGCAGCTCACATTTATCCGTTTGAAGGTTTTTCGCTAAAACTGCGCGAATTTCAGTTGCTTTTCGGTAATTTTCGCGGTTCGAGCGCTCAAAATGCTTGTATTCACGTGATTTATCATTCTCAAAGCCAATTCTGCCGGAAAACGGTCAAGAAAGCGAAAAATGAGGCGGCGAAAAAGCGAAATCCGCCGAAAAATGCGCCAAAACGTCATTAATTCTGAGAATTAGTGTGTTTTCATGTCGAAAAATCGTTTTTCATCGTCGTTGACCACAAAAATCAGAAAAAACGTGCTCAATTCATGAAAACGCCCATATTGTCAGCTCTGGAGACCGTGTGCCAGCTTGGAACGCATAGAAAACTGTTCGATTCTTTGACTATGAGCTTCTTTTCCTCTTCCGCTTCTTCTTCTTCTTCTTCCTTCTCACACACAGACCCTGGCCCGCCCAAAACTTTCTCTAGTTTCACCATGACGACATTTGATACTACTCTCTCTCTCTCGCTCCGGGCGCCGCCCATAATACTTTCTTTCCATCTTCTCATTTTTACCCGCCGCCGCCCAACAACAATTTGTGTGCTCCTCTTAGAGTTTTGTACAAAAACGCACCTCGTTATCTGGTAGCATCCGGCTCTCGGACCACTTTGATGAAGAAGAAGAAGAAGAAGAAGATGAAGAAGGAGAAGAAGAAGAAGAAGAAGAAGGAGAAGAGAGAGAGGGGGAAGCTTGGGCCGATGGGGACCGAAATGAGTGCCCCGATGGAGCTTCTTCTTGTGCGAGGAGACCGCAGACACGCCGAGAGCGGCGGCTACCGTATGCCGGAGCCAAAGAGAAGAGCCAGCCCGCCCCGGGAAACAAGAAGAAGGGGAACGGGGTTAGGTTACTCGGAGAGCTTAAGCTTAAGCTTTTGCTCACTATGCTAAGCTGATTAAAATGTCGTTAACAAATGTGGTGAGGGACTGTTCTTTCGAAATAGTTTACCATGCACCAGAGTTGAGCGGAAGAACTCAACGCAAGAATTTTTATCTTTTTTAGAAAATTTTTTCATGCAATGTGATCAACTGACGAAATGTATAACAAATTGAACTCTGCTCATAGAAAAATAATTGTAAATTTAGCTTTTCATGCAAAAAAGTTATTCGAGTTGTTGCGTGAAAATGTCCTTCCGTCTTCGATTAGCCCTTAACTTTTTTGTATGAAAAGTTAAATTTACAATTATTTTTTTGTGAGCAGAGTTTAGTTTGCTATACATTTCGTCAGTTGATCACATTCCATGAAAAAATTTTCTAAAAAATATAAAAATTCTTCCGTTGAGTTCTTACGCTCAACTCTGGTTCGCCTTGTCACTTAAATTTTGGGCTTTTGCCATTCCATAATGCTAGGAGAGGCTAGAAAATGTTTTTGGATATTGCATGCTTGTAGGAAACCATTTTTGCTAGTTTTTTGGAAAAAACCTACCAAAGTAGTAAGAGTAGAACGTATTTTCTGAGCTCCAACTTCTAGAACCTAAAGGCTTTCCGCGATTGTTGTCTTATCATAAAAATTGTATAATTTTCGTGTGCATCCTACTCAAATTCGCATCTTTTTCCCGTTTTTTTGCTAAACTGGCAATTCGGCACCAAAACGTTTCATTCTCAAGCTGTATACAGCAGAGTTGAGCGGAAAAACTCAACGCACGAACACGGAAGAATTTTTATATTTTTTAGAAAATTTTTTCATGAAATGTGATCAACTGACGAAATGTAGAGCAAAGTGAACTCTGCTCATCGAAAAATAATTGTAAATTTAGCTTTTCATACAAAAAAGTTAAGGGCTAACCGAAGACGGAAGGACATTTTCACGCAACAACTCGAATAACTTTTTTGTATGAATCGCTAAATTTACAATTATTTTTCTATGAGCAGAGTTCACTTTGCTATACATTTCGTCAGTTGATCACATTTCATGAAAAAATTTTCTAAAAAAGATACAAATTCTTCCGTTGAGTTCTTCCGCTCAACTCTGCTGTATACCCTCACTTCTCTTCAAATTAACCCTTTTTTCATTTCCATACCCGATCGATATTTTATGTATATATATATATATATATATATATAGTACAACTTTTTCTCTCGCGCCTTTTCGTCATTTCATTTGCGTGCAAGAAGGCCGTCCGTCCGCTTCTGAAATCCGATAGTTTTGCTCCTCGCGCATTCTGACAGAGAGAGAGACAAGAGGCAGAGAGAGAGAATTAGAGAAATTGGGGTGGGAGGAGTACGGTAGTTGTTTGTTTTTCCCCTTTCCTCTCTTTTCATCTTTTGAGAAACGAAATGAGGAATGGGAATAGGGGGGTCTGTAAATAATGTAACGGTCACGGGTCCAAGGCGTTTTTTGATTCCAACTTTCAGAAAAGATGTTTTTATTTGAGAAACGAAAAGAAATATGCTTCAGATCATACATGTAAAGTACATTTTTTGAGAATAATGCGAAGGCGCGGTTACTTTATGTGTATCGCCCTTAGCTTTGATATTCTGGAATGATTTGTTTGTTCCGTCTTCCGTCTTCCGTAAATTTTTTTGTTCCGTCTTCCGTCTTCCGTCTTCCGGGATTTTTCCTCCTTACTGTAAAAGATTAATAGCTTTTCAGAAGCCATTCACTAAAGCCCCGAAGAACGCGAATTTCCACGGACAATGACCCAGATCCAACATTTTTGTTGCTTTAGTTATTTTTTCAAAAAAAAAACCGTAAAAAAAGGTTCTGCATTGACGATTTTTTTGTTCCGTCTTCCGTTTTCCGTCTTCCGTTTTCCGTCTTCCGTTTTCCGTCTTCCGTCTTCCGTCTTCCGTTTTCCGTCTTCCGTCTTCCGTTTTCCGTTTTCCGTCTTCCGTCTTCCGTCTTCCGTTTTCCGTGTTCCGCAAAAAAAATGCTTCTTCCGTCTTCCGGATTTCAAAATTCCATTTCCGCTCAACTCTGATACCCGGTAATCTACTAAAATTGCTCCCCAGACCACTACACTTGAGCACGCAACTGGAAATTTTTGGAATAGCCTCCCAATTTTTTTTTCATACATTAAGTAGGCGCCCAGTCTGCTTCTAAATGCGCGGGACGGGTGTCTGGAGAAAGTACTTCCGGGCGTTCTTGTTTTCAGATAAAAAATGAGCTGCCAGGACTCATTTAAAAAAATTGTAAATTTAGCTTTTCATACAAAAAAGTTATTCGAGTTGTTGCGTGAAAATGTCCTTCCGTCATCGGTTAGCCCTTAACTTTTTTGTATGAAAAGCTAAATTTACAATTATTTTTCTATGAGCAGAGTTCATTTTGCTCTACATTTCGTCAGTTGATCACATTCGATAAAAAAATTTTCTAAAAAAGATAAAAATTCTTCCGTGTTCTTCCGCTCAACTCTGGTGCCCAGTTTGCTTCCGAAAGCATACACTGGATGCTAAGCAGGGAATCGGTGCGAAATTTGACTCTAGACCGCTAGACTAGCAAAAATAGGCTGTAATACTCAGGTAATGCCGAATCCATGCGTGACACATGCTCACCCCATGCTGTTCACTTGCCGCTCGCGCGCGCCACCCTTGCCAAAAATTACCAGAGTACAGCTTTTCATTGTAAACGTTCTGAATTGAATAGAAGCTTACGTACCACACATTTTCGTGCGAAGAAGTCGGGAATAATTTGATTTATAGCAAGAACCCCAAGAATTTCGACAATAAAGTAACCAAAGGGGCAAGAAGAACAAATAAACAATGATATTCCAAAAAAAAACAAAAAATGTGTGTATCTTTACAAATAATTGGCGTTGCGCTGTGCGCCGGTGGCCTCGTTCCGGGCGTCTCCGTACGGATACTGGTCGCCCATCGACGGCGATCCGTGCTTGTTGTCCTTTGGAAAATCGCCGACCACTTGCCATTTCTCGCGGTTCTCCTCCTGATCGGCAATCGATTCGTAGTGGCACAAATGTCTAGAAATAAGAGAGTTACGCTCACAAAATCGGCCGTTTTTATAGATTGTTAGGTACTCAAGACGGTATATCTCAGCGGAGTGTTGAAATTGCAAAAAGTTGTCAACACAAAAATTGTAGCAATTTTTGTGCTCTACAACTTTGTAATTGACACTTTTACTGCAAAACCCCTCATTCTTGAGTTATGGCTTGTTTTCTTTGCTTACCTCTACGTACTCTGGTTTCATAGCAAATTTTACGCAGTTTTTGACAAAAGTAGGCAGAAAACTTACTTGTAGAGACGGTAGACAATGTAGATGAAGAAGATTTCAAGAAGGGCGACGAGCAGATAGATGACGATGATCATGATTCCGAGCAGGAAAGTCGCTGAAACGGATATCGATGTCGAATACATTCAAAACAATGTATATCAGCGGTCGGTGGAGATATCAAAAAGTTGTCAACTGATAAAATGTGCAAAATAATGTGACAAACATTTCATTAGTTGAACACTTTTTGATATCTCCACCGGCAGCTGAGATATACTGTTTCAAATAAACAATGCCAAAGTGTCGCCCTTCTATGCATTAAAGGTGGTGTCCAACGTGACATACAACATATTTTTAAAATAAACTTCGAAGTGGGGCATTCAGTTTCCCAAAGTCCCGAATTACGAAAAAAATTCCCCGATTTTTAAGATTTTTTCAAAAAAGTTAATGGTACCGAGAGAAGAGCTGGCCTAGATTTTTCTGGTCCCCCCGGATGGAATTCCCCTTTTTTCCGATTTTTTTCCGTTTTCGTGCAATTTTCTTAAATTTTCAATCGTTTTTTCACTAAACACACTTATTTGCAATATTTAAAAAAATTTATGATTTTTTCTGGCCCGTGACGCCAAAAAAATCGATAATCTGAAACTTTCAAAATTCAGCAAAATTCAGAAATTCAGCGACTTTTTGTAAAACTGAAAATAGAAAGTTTTGGATTTTTCGCATTACTTTGAAAAATATAACTTTCTGTAACTGGCAAAATTTAATTTAGACTCTGGAAATGATTAAGCGATCTCTTTCTATTTATTTTTCAGCGCGCAAACCGAGGATTGAGCGAAAAACCCGGAAAAACAACAAAAAAAAGTTTCAGATTATCGATTTTTTTGGCGTCACGGCACAGATAAAATTATAAATTTCTTTAAATATTGCAAATAAGTGTGTTCAGTGAAAAAACGATTGAAAATTTAAGAAATTTGCACGAAAACCGAAAAAGATCGAAAGAAAGGGGAATTCCATCCGGGGGGACTAGAAAAATCTGGGCCAGCTCTTCCATTTCGCCGTGCACCACTTCTCTCGGTACGACTAACTTTTTTGAAAAAAATCTTTAAAATCTGGGAATTTTTTTTTGTAATTCGGGACTTTGGGGAAGTGAATGGCCCACTTCGAAGTTTATTTTAAAAAGATGTTGTATGTCACGTTGGACACCACCTTTAACATTCTCCTCAACAGTTGAAAAACGCACAATCATCGCTCATATAATAGTTGCTGACGCCCAAAAGATTGCGAATTCCACGATACGCGCCGAACAGCAAAAGGATGGCCACGATCAGCGCCACCAGGATCAGAAAGATGACGAGAAAGATCTGGGCGCTGAGATGGGGAATCAGCCAGCGCGCGTTCTCCGATTTGATGGCGTAGACGAAGAGCGCGATGGCGATGAGGATGATGAAGACGGAGACGATTCCGAGCAGGAACCAGATGAGGTAGTTGGATCCGAATAGGTGGAAGTTACGGAACAGACCGTACACTGCCAGCGCGCACAGAATCAGCTCGACGACGGCGACGACGAGACCGGCCGTCTGTATTGATTTTTCGGGGGCAAATATTGTCGGTTTCAGCGTTGCTCACCTTCAAATTCGAGCACGGAATATAGGATTTTGCCATTTTCGAGTCGAATTGGGTGTCCCTGTGGTCCCTTGAATGAATGACGTCATCAACAATAATAAAAGACGGAGAGAATGTGTGCTCTCTTCTTCTTCTTCTTCTCTCTTTCTTTTCGCTGCCAGACGCGTGGCTCGTGATCAATGTTTTTTTTGTTGCCAGAGAAAACAGAAGAAAAGAGAGGAAAAATTGTCGAATTTGATCGATTTTCCGACAAAAACATTGGAACGGACTGGAAATTGGGGGGAAACAAGAAGAAGAAGAAGAAGAAGAAGAAGAAGAGACGAGTATTATCGGATTATTTGCTAATTGAGTAAAAGAAAAAGCAACTTGTAATGTAGCAAGAGACAAGAGCGAAGACTCGGTTGCAAAGTGTCCTGTTGCCAAACGTCTTCTACTAGACTCGACCGAATTGGTGTGAAACAGAGAGAGAGAGAGAGAGAGAGAGAGAGAGAAAGAATCAAACAAATGCGCGTAAATTCGCCTCCTTTCCAAGTCAAACCTCTCACAACTTTTATAGAAACTTGTATGAACTGAGCCATTGTGCAAACTTTCTCTCTCTCTCTTTCTCTCTCTCTCTCTCTCTCTCTCTCTCTCTCTCTTTCTCTCTCTCTTTGAAAGTGACCTAAAATCGTAGGAGGTGGTGGGAGCGATTGTAGGATGCGGATATTGTGAGGAGGAAGGAAGAGTGTAAGAAGTGATCAGCAGAACGCGAGGGAAGAGTGTAAAACAGCTCTCTCTCTCTCTTCGGGATCGCGAGAGAGAAAGAAAGAGAGAGAGAGAGAGAGAGAGAGAGAGAGAAAGAGAGAGCGATATTTCAATCACTTTTTGTCAAAGCTCACACTTTCGCGAGCTGGGAGCCACTTGGAGCAGGAGTTGAAGGCTGTGATGATGGAAAAAATGATTTATTTTGTTCGATATTGTGCGTATACAAACAGTTTTGACATTTCTAGACAATACGAGCAAAGCTTTGACTTTAGACTTATCGAACACACTTTATATTTCGTCTAAAGGGACCAAATAATGCGTCTACGGACAGTTTTAAAGTGATCGGGAGCTTGTAAATTACAGAGTTGAGCGGAAGAATTTTTATCTTTTTTAGAAAATTTTTTCATGAAATGTGATCAACTGACGAAATGTATAGCAAAGTGAACTGTGCTCATAGAAAAATAATTGTGAATTTAGCTTTTCATACAAAAAAGTTATTCGAGTTGTTGCGTGAAAATGTCCTTCCGTCTTCGGTTAGCTCTTAACTTTTTTGTATGAAAAGCTAAATTTACAATTATTTTTCTATGAGCAGAGTTGACTTTGCTCTACATTTCGTCAGTTGATCACATTTCATGAAAAAATTTTCTAAAAAAGATAAAAATTCTTCCGCTCAACTCTGGTTGTAATGTTGATTTTAAAGCATTTTGAAGAAGCAAGTTACAAGAATTCTAAATGGAATCAATATTATGCATAATCCGACGAGATCCTGACGGCTACGTAATTCTAAAAAGTTTCATAGTTGTACAAGTGCACCGCCCAGATCAATTTCGGTAAGTTCGGTGGATCGCATAAAACTAAAGTGTTTTCGAGTCAAGTAGTAGTAAGCGACGACGTCGTTCACGTTCAACACTGACATCACGTCGAAGTTGCCTCGTCTGAAATGATACGTAAATAATAAAAAGTGTGTCGTGCCCCCAGAAAAACGGCACCCACCCTCTGCGCAAAAGCTCCAAATCCGGGAAGCGGTGCTTGAACGCCAAATCGACGCGCTTCAGTGTCTTGCGTTTTCCGTGCTCCCACTGCTCCAAAAACGTCTTCAGTCCTTGCGGAGTTATTTTACACTTTTCCACTTTGATACTCTCGAATTTCATCGCAATCAGCTGAGCGTCCGTGATCTTCGAGCCGTTTTCGATGGATATTCCGGTCACGCGACGATACTGTAATATTTCGCAAGACGCCTCTTGTCTTTGAAGGCGCTTATCTCGAGAATTAATGACTATTTCAAAAAGGTGTCAACTGCAAAATTGTTGGAAATCGTGTGCTCTACAACTTTGTAATTGAACATTTCATCCCAAATCGCTTCATTTTCAAGTTACGCCCCCCCGATGTTTTGCCCACCTTCGACAAGTTCACATATTTGACGTTTCGCAGAAAGTTGACGAGTCGAATCTCGGGCAACGCGCGGAAAACCGTCTTCAAAAGCGTCGCGTTCACACGATTGTACAACGTGATCGCTTTGAATCGGCGCGCGTTCGGCACTTCGAGCACTTCGGCCAGCGTTCGAACGTTTTTGAAGTCAAAGTGAAAGGTGTGGAAGAAGGCGCGGAAGACGGTGAGCAGTTGACGGAGCAGGGCTCGCGAGTGGAGCACACACTTGGACGTGTGAATTTCGACACTTTGCGTGCCGGTTTTGCTGGAAAATGTGCAAGGTTTTTTGGGCGGCACGGGAGGAGCAAGGTTGAAGCAAGTGGCGAGCACGCAACCGGCACCCTTTCAGCAAGAAGCGGCAAATTGCCCGAAAATTACCAGAGTAGGGCTCAAATTCAATAAAACATGGTGTCATTTTTGTGTAGCAAAAAATAATGCTAAAATATTCTCTAGCCACCCTGAGGACGCGTGGTGCACATTACTTCCGCTTATCAATTTTCGCCTCAATGAGCAATGAAGCTTATTTTAAAGAATATGATAGGTAAACAATGATTCATGAGTCTTAGGGGGTCACAAATCAATAATAGTTTCTCAAAAAAGAGATTCTTAGGAGGTGCATAGGTTTGATGCGTTTCATAAGAATTTTCAGATATCTCACAGCCACCAAAATCGTCTACTGGAGCTATTTTTAAGGTCCTGTTCTTGGAATTTGGTCGCGAGCGATTATATATTCAATTTAATGGATGGCTATGAAACGTACCAGAGTTGAGCGGAAGAACTCAACGCAAGAACACGAAAGAATTTTTTTTATCTTTTTTAGAAAATTTTTTCATGAAATGTGATCAACTGACGAAATGTATAGCAAAGTGAATTCTGTGCATAGAAAAATAATTGTAAATTTAGCTTTTCATACAAAAAAGTTAAGGGCTAACTGAAGACGGAAGGACATTTTCACGCAACAACTCGAATAACTTTTTTGTATGAAACGTTAAATTTACAATTATTTTTCTATGAGTACAGTTCACTTTGCTATACATTTCGTCAGTTGATCACATTCCATGAAAAAATTTTCTAAAAAATATAAAAATTCTTTCGTTGAGTGGTCAACTAGAGAATGCGCACAACTCACAATCCACGAAACGTGCAGGACTTTGTCGTCATCAGAATCGGAACCTTCTTCACTTCCGCCTTCTTCTTTCGTTTCACACAAATGTGCAGTGCTGAAAATGAACGTCTCTGATTGTCCAGTCTGTGGGACCAGAGATGTTGGGAATAAAAATTTTACTCTACGGAACACGGAACACGGAAAACGGAAAATTTTTTTTTACGGAACACGGAACACGGAAAATTGTTTTTTTACGGAACACGGAAAAAAGTGTTTTCAAGAGAATTCCAGTGATTTTTTAAAAAAAAATGTTTTGTTTAATTCGATTATCTGACTGACAAGGCAGCTGTTTGACTCATGTGAAAGTTTTACTGAAAATTTCATAAAAATAACAAAACCAACAACACAACAGTAAACAACTACAGTAAAAAACGACTGAAAATGGAATCCACTTTTCACGAATATGGTCCGAATCCGAAAATTTTCAAATTTTGACCAAAGCAAAGCGGTTATTCGGAGCAGCATCGTTGCTGCTAAAACAAGGGGGAATTTGAAAAAAATAATGAGAAAAATAAAATTTTTGATCGAATTTTTCCGCGGAAAATATAGTTTATACGGAACACGGAACACGGAAAACGGAAAAAAAAACTTATTTCTACGGAACACGGAACACGGAAATTTTTACGGAACACGGAACACGGAAAAAATATTGAAAAAAAACGCGGAACACGGAACACGGAACACGGAAATTTTTACGGAACACGGAACACGGAACACGGAAAACGGAAAAAACTTATTTCTACGGAACACGGAACACGGAACACGGAATTCCCAACATCTCTGCGTGGGACCGTCGCCTACCATTCTTGTGGTGCTCGCCACGTCGGTACTTGCCGTCCGTGTTCTTTCTCCGCTCAACGACCGCAGTGATTTTGATATTTTGCTGGTTTCCCGTGATTGTCAGGTCGTTTACACCGAATTTCAGTTTGCGAGCCGCCTCCCGTTGCGCGGAACTTTCGAATGAGAGGCAGAAGCTGTGAAGAATTGAGTAGTTCAACTGTTAGGCACTCAGATTCGGGAACTTACACGTCTCTTGGCGTCCGAGACGACTCGGATGCGGACATTTCGATATTGTCGATCGGCTGAACACGTTTCCTATGATCTTAACCGGAAATACGAATGTGGGTGAAACGAAACACGGGGCGAGCTCGGCAACAAAAATCGGATTATCGAATGCACCTGACACGCCCCCTTACACTTGCCGCACACGAGGAAAAGTGTACGCACTGGGGCAAATGAGTCTTAGATATATCTTATAAATATGATAGGATATATATGATATATGTCTGCTGTTGTAGTAATCCGTTATGCGAATTTGTGGCAACGTTTATTCAAGACAATGTAACTCAGTTTTGTGGGGAGATATCAAAAAGTGGTCAACTGATAAAATGTACAATAGGTTTCGGTGAACAATTTGTCAGTTGACAACTTTTTGATATCTCCACGTACAGCCGAGTTATATCGTTTTGAAAAGTAGTGTTTACATGGTGCATCGTGTCTGGATGAAAAATGAGAGGAGAAACGCGCTCCAATGTACTTTTTGTGAATTGGTCCCTTGGTTGGTTTCATCTAATTTCTCAGATTTTTGATCGCTTCCACCAAGCAGGTAAATTAAGTCGAAAATAGAATTTTGGGGGGTAAGCGTATAAATAGCATAAGCGTGTAATTGGGTGCGGATTAGTGGCACCACGTGTGAGAAAATCGAGTAATTACGGCTCGCCAACTCGCGTCTGGCCACCGGATTTTCGATTTGTAGCGGAAAATTCAAATTTTCACTGATAAACTCGGAAAAGTCACTTGCTCACATTCTCGGCAAAAGTGGCGGTGGGCGCCGAGAAGATTACAACCCTGGGCGTGGCTGACGGTTGGCGCACGTGTGGCGCAGTGGTTCTGTTTTGCGTTGGGCGATCTGAAAGTCACGGGTTCGAAACCCAGTGGGCGGAAATCTCTTTTGCATTGATCAGATATCGATTGGAACTTTTTGGCCAGTAAAATATTGACTTTCAAACGATTTTTCTCAAGATTATAAACGTTTATTACCAAAAAAAAAGAAAAAAAGTCAAGTTTCGAAATAGAAAACTTTATCGGTGAGCACGTGCGCGCCGACGATTCCCGCTCGATTTTTCATCACAACCGGAGTGTCCATTTCTCTGAAAACCGCGTTTTTTCGGCTCAAAATGACTTTTTTTTTTAAATCGACGTACTCCTTCTTAAAATGTTTTCCCCGAAACAAGTCGAGTCTCTCGAACGGCCGCTCGAAAATCAAATACATTTTTTTGAGATTCCGTCTTCCGGCCGCCCACGAATTGACGATTTTCCGCAGATTTTCCGGCGCGACGTTGAATTTTCGAATGATAATCACTTGGAAGTTGAGCGTCATGAACAGGGCCTCGCCGATTTTGTTGCCATTGTCCAGTGAGATTTCCGTGATTTGTGGGTACTGCAAAATCGACTTTTCGACTTGTTTCGGCCAGTAAAACCCACATTTGAAACGTCGAAATACTTTGCGCTTTTCTCGAAATTGATCCTCTTCAACTTTTCCATTTTTCCAATCAATGCCTCGAGATAATCCGTCGTCCACACGGTGATATCTTTGAAAAGTGTCAACGCTTCGAACGAGCGGAACATTTTCGACTTTAAAATTGCCGAAAAGTTGTTGATGGGAAGAAGTTCCACACAAAAATGAAGATTGTGAGCAAAGGCGGGAAACGCACGGAACACATGGTCCAGAATTTGCGAGATTGTACGGATCGGCTGCTCGGTGTACAATTGCATGTGACTGCTGTTGTACTCTCTGAAAATGGGTGTCTACGTACCGAAAATTCAGTGATTTCTGCAAGTTCTATAGTTGCAAACGCAAATATCAGTAAGGCCTTGGAAAAAGGCTCATATCTCAAAAATGAAGAGTTTTGGTGTAAAATGTTCAACTACAAAATTGTAGAGCACGGAATTTTAGACATTTTCTCAGTTGACCACTTTTCGATACAACCAGCGCTTTTTGAGATATGTGCCTTCAAAAAAAAAACTAACTTTTCGCGGAACCAGGTGGACCACTTTTTGCACACGAGTCGATCCTCTTTGCATTCGACACGAAGGGGACTGATGGTGAGGTGAAATGCTTAAAAAACGTCGTTTTTCCATCATTTTCCAGTGTGGTACCTCTTTTATGGCGATCCTTGCCCGCTCGAAACGTGCTCCGCGACACATTCATCTTGCCGATGCACACCGAAATCTCCAGATGACCGCGATCGTCTCGAATGACGAGATCGGAAATGCCATAGTTTAGCTGTTGAACAGTCCACATTCGACCATTGTCCAGGGAATAAATGAATCTGAAAAAGTGCACATATCACGGTCTCCTCAGAGCTGACAATGATACATTGGCGCGAAATTCAAAAAATTCAAAAAACAGCAAAATTTGTGTTTTTTGCCAGATTAGCCACGAAAAATCGATAATTTCTCATTTGTCTCTCGATAGACCGATTGTATAGGCTATTACGAATTTTTTAAGCGCAAGAGCGTTAAATTTGGTCAAGTCGCAAATCACATTTATCCGTTTGAAGGTTTTTGGCTAAAACTGCGTGAATTTCAGTTGTTTTTCGGTAATTTTCGCAATTCGAGCGCTCAAAATGCTTGTATTTACGTGATTTATCATTCTCAAAACCAATTCTGTCTGCAAACGGTCAAGAAAGCGCAAAATGAGAAGGCGAAAAAGCAAAGTCGGCGAAAAATGCGCCAAACACGGAACCCCAGCATTCCAATGCGCAAGCGAGTTGTCAATGGGGCGCGCTTGCATCCACCGTCGACTCGGAGTTTCTTTTTTCAATTGAAACCCAGAATTCTTTCGTTTTTCTCTTAATAAACACATTCAAATTTTGTTCTTTGCGAACCGTAGGGCGATTGTCTGAGTTAAAAGCATCGATTTAAGCGCGAAACGGAGCAGATTCGTTCAGAATTGACCAAATTGAGGGATTTTGTCGAAAACTACTGAAAAAACGGAGTTTTAACGATCATTTGCCGAATCGAGCTCGGACACTCAACAAGGAGTTTATTGCGCATCTTTTAAGCGCTCAACCGTCGAAAAATATACAGAATTGAGATAATTGAGGCAAATTTTCGATTCTAAAAGGAAAAAAATTCTGTAATTTTCACATAAAACGTTTCGAAATTGATGACGAAGCAGTTAAAATTTTATTTTTTATTCATTTCTAATCATAATCATAGGTTTTGACACTGATTGGTTCTGAAAAGATGGGAATAATGCAAAAAAAAGGGAAAATTGAAATGAGAAACTCTACAACGACGCTCCGAAATTACGCGTCTCGCGCCTTGTTTAGCGCACGTGAATTGCGTGCCAAGGGAATTTTTTATTGGAAGGGGCTGGGGGGTTCCGTGCCAAAACGTCATTAATTCTGAGAATTAGTGTGTTTTCATGTCGCGCAATCATTTTTCATCGCTTTTGACCACAAAAATCATAGAAAACGTGCTCAATTCATGAAAATGCCATTTGGCCGCCGAGGCCACGCGCCCATATTGTCAGCTCTGGAGACCGTAAGAGAAAATGAAAAAGTACTTGAACTTACAGCTCTCTGGGCGATTTTCCAGATAAATACGCTTCGAATTGGCACCATTGAAGCGGGCGTCGTAGAGAACTCATGATCGCGTCTGGAAAAATTGAACGGGGGGGAAGAGAGACTGCGAATATCACGTAGACGGATCGCACACGAAGTTTTTCGTCCAGCACCCAATTATATTCGAGAAAAGATTCAATCTGTGCTCTTGCACGTCTTTTGACGGATCGGGTGTGATGAATATTTTGAGAGCAATTATATTTTTAAAAAAGTCTGTTGAATAGCATCGAAACTTGGGTGATGAGGTGTAAGAAATGTTGTGAGACTCGTTGAGGGCCCGCCACTGACATTTCAGAGCATGCACAGCAGAGTTGAGCGGAAATGGAATTTTGAAATCCGGAAGACGGAAGAACATTTTTTTACGGAACACGGAAAACGGAAGACGGAAGACGGACCAAAAAATCGTCAATTCAGAATTTTTTTATCCAGTTTTTTTTTTGAAAAAAAAATTTCTTTTACGGAACACGGAAGACGGAAGACGGAAGACGGAAGACGGAACAAAAAAATCGTCAATGCAGAATTTTTATCCGGTTTTTTTTTTGAAAAAAATAACTAAACAACAAAAATTTTTGAGTCTGGGCCATTGCCCATGGAAATTCGCGTTCTTCGGGGCTAGTAAATGGCTGGTGAAAAAGCTATTTCTTTTTTTATGGTAAGAACAAAAAAAATTCCGGAAGACGGAAGACGGAAAAAAATCTTTTTACGGAACACGGAAAAACGGAAGACGGAAGAGGGAACAAAAAAATCGTCAATTCAGAATTTTTTTCTCCTGTTTTTTTGAAAAAGCATTTTTTTACGGAACACGGAAAAACGGAAGACGGAAGACGGAAGACGGAACAAAAAAATCGTCAATGCAGAATTTTTTTCTCCGTTTTTTTGAAAAAAACATTTTTTTACGGAACACGGAAAACGGAAGACGCAAGACGGAATTAAAAAAATCGTCAATGCAGAATTTTTTTCCGGTTTTTTTGAAAAAAAAATTTTTTTTTACGGAACACGGAAAACGGAAGACGGAAGACGGAACAAAAAAATCGTCAATTCAGAATTTTTTTCCGGTTTTTTTTAAAAAAAAAATAACTAAAAAATTTTGAATCTGGGCCATTGCGCGTGGAAATTCGCGTTCTTCGGGGCTAGTAAATGGCTGCTGAAAAGCTATTACTCTTTTACGGTAAGAACAAAAAATTCCGGAAGACGGAAGACGGAAGAAATCGTTTTTACGGAACACGGAAAACGGAAGACGGAAGAGGGAACAAAAAAAATCGTCAATTCAGAATTTTTTCTCCGGTTTTTTTTTTTGAAATCCCGGAAGACGGAATTCCGCTCAACACTGATGCACAGCATTTCTCTGTGTCGGGCTCGAAGAAGTTTGTGCGAAATAGACGAATCCCTTTGAAAAGTCGCGTGTCTTTGAGAGTTGCACGAAAGGGGCGTGGTCTACGTTTCGTCTTCAAATCTAACAAGGGGGGACTCGAGGGATAAGGCGCTAATTGGAATGGAAGGTAGGCTGATTATACATGTGAGTAGGATGAAATGAATGGGTACGTTTCGGCGGGGGGGGGGAGGGAAAATGTGAGAGTAAGAAGGACAGAAATCTATGCGTAATTGCTTTGTTTAGTAATATTTGTCTTTCAATGGTTCATTGGTGCGACTTCATTGAATCCGAAGAAATTAGGCGTCAATCCTGAACTCACTTGATCATACATCGATTTGACGTTACGACCAACCTTGCCGAACATTTGCATCAATTCCCAATTCGGCACCATCCTGCTCAACTCCTCCAACTGTTCACGCGAAACATCCTTGAGCAATGTGAGCAGTTGGACACTCGAAAACTCGTAGTCGAACGAAAGTATCGTTTCGGCGAACAGATGCCACGTGTCGGCGATTCCCCAGTGAAGTTGGTGAATGAAAGCGGGGAACATGTCGATGAGGTACTCCAAAAGTATCGCCACACCTTCGAGAACGTCTGCGGTCTCCAGATTCCAACTGTCCTCGTCGATGCGTCTGTAACTCAAGAAGAAAAGTCGTGTATCACACAATTTTTTTGAAAATCCGGTCTTCAACTCACTGTCCATAAAATCCAACTGAATAGATCTCGAAAATGCCTTGACGATCGGTGAAGTCGGTCGCTTTTAGCCAGAAATTCAATGGCTCATCTCAAAAAACGAATGCTTTTCTATTATTATTATTATTATTCGCACCTAAAATTTGCCGAGAGTTTCCGTTATTATCGACCCACACTTTGAGGCAAATGCAAAAACTGTCGTCCTCTTCCCATTCCTCATAAATTGCCAATTTGGCTATTCCGTAGTTGAGCGCTCGGATTTCGGCTGTCGAATTGTTGAAGGATTCACGGAATCTGAAAACTGAACATTATATAGACACGCCGCAGACGTGCCGCAGACACGCCGCAGACGTGCCGCAGACGCGCCGCAGACGTGCCGCAGACGCGCCGCAGACGTGCCGCAGACGCGCCGCAGACGTGCCGCAGACGCGCCGCAGACGTGCCGCAGACGTGCCGCAGATAAAAACAAAAAAAGTGCTCACAACTGTCCGGGACCCCATGATTTCAGCTCATCGACTGATGGTTTCGAAAAAAACATTGATTTAACAGGGATTCCTGCAAAAAGAAAATGTTTTACGAATCTGAAAAGTTTAAGGAGAAAACTTGACGTCTAGTAGTGTGTTTTTGTAGGTGACCACTTTTTTCTAGGAGCACTCTTGAAAGTTGGCACGGAAACACAATAGTTGTGAGCAGTCCTAGGTTCCAAGCGCTACAGTACACTTGAAAATGGTTGTAGAGAAAAGTTGTCAACTACAAAAAGAAGCAGCACATCTAGTAGAGTATTTTTGTAGTTGACAACTATTTGATAGAACCACTCCCGGGGGTACTGTAGCTCTAGCACAAGGCTCTATGCGTCTTTAACTAATCCCCACTTCCAAAGGCTACAGTACTCCAGGGAGCAGTTTTACGAAAAAGTGGTCAACTAAAAAAATAGAGTACAAGACCAGATCTTTATTTTTGCAATTGACAACTTTTTTCTACAACCACTCCCTACGGTACTGTAACTCTTGAATGCTGGGACTGCCGAAAAGACCACCCACACTCACACACACACGCACCGAATTTCTAATTAGTCCAGCTCAGAGAATTTTAAATGTGAATTTGATCGAATATTTATGAAAATGTACATCTTTTTCTCGTCAAAATTGGAAAGAGTCTAAAAATAATAGGAAAACCGCTAAAGTACTGCAAAATCAGCCTGACTTTGGTTGGTTTGGCCCATTAAATCACATTTGCACGGAGGTTAGTTAATACGTTTTCTAGCCACCCATTGGTCAGATTGAGGTGACGTGTGTGCCACACGGATTACCGCACCCAGAAATAATAATATACGTTTCGAGGAGATTAGGGGAAACAACAACTCGAGACGGAAGGATTAGCCGTTCAGACATGACTTTTCAATCAGTGAGTGTCAACGCGTATTAGCAGGATATGGGCGGCGTAACCGATGATAATTCGGCGTCTCTCGTGACTGCTGCCGCCCCCAAAATCGCGCGCCGCATTGTCGGGTTTTAATTAAAAACGCGTCGGGGACCACCATGTTTACGAAACGAAAGGTGAAACGCCGACTTGTGAGGGAAATAAATGGACAATAAGTGGAGGTGACAGGCAAGATAGAAGAGGAGATGATTGTGGCGACTAATTGGATTATTTATTGAACACACTGTGAAACCGCTTAAATTCTTTGAACAGTTACCCTGTAACAGTGTTGAGCGGAGTTCCGTCTTCCGTCTTCCGTCTTCCGTCGATTTTTTCTACCGTCTTCCGGGATTTTTTTTCTTCCGTCTTCCGTCTTCCGTCAATTTTTTTCTTCCGTCTTCCGGGATTTTTTTCTTCCGTCTTCCGTTTTCAATATTTTTCTTCCGTCTTCCGTCTTCCGTCGATTTTTTCGTTCCGTCTTCCGGGATTTTTTTTTCTACCGTCTTCCGTTTTCAATATTTTTCTTCCGTCTTCCGTTTTCAATATTTTTCTTCCGTCTTCCGTTTTCAATATTTTTCTTCCGTCTTCCGTTTTCAATATTTTTCTTCCGTCTTCCGTCTGCCGTCTTCCGTCGATTTTTTTCTTCCGTCTTCCGTTTTCCGTGTTCCGTAAAAGATTTTTTGTTCCGTCTTCCGTCTTCCGTCTTCCGGATTTCAATATTCCATTTCCGCCCAACTCTGCCCTGCTGTAATCGACCACATTGACTCATTTTTCCGTACAACGCCCATTCTATGACCTTTTTGAGTTTCCCCAAGAGCCAAGTGGGACTCGATTTTTTGATACTCGATTTTTTGCAACCGCTACGTATCGAAACTTGTTTTCAGGTTGTCTTTTCCAAAACCAAGCCCACTTATTTGCTTCTTTTGTGAATTGTTTCGGCCAATTTATGAGATTTGGTTGAGCCCGCTGACTCATCCTTGATTTTAGACATTTTCAAACAATTTTCCTGACATACCTTTTTGTACATTTTCGACTGTACACACATTTCCGCAATTCGATTACAGTTCCCATCGACAAACCGTCGCGAAACCGCCAGTTTTTACGTTTCCCGCCCGTCCATAATAAAACCGCGCCCGCCCGCCCGCCCACGCATGGGAACACGGAGCCCCCTGTTCCCATCTCGCCCGTTCCCATTCGACTCTTCGACCATACAATGAGACGGTCGGCTTTTCTTCTTCTTCTTCCTCTTCTTCTTCCCCTCGTCACTTCTGATGACGTGGCGTCGACGTCTTCGACACGCGCCACTTCAGAATCCAAATCTGAACCGAGTACTCTTGTGGAGCAGGAGCATCCGCCTAAAGGACAAATAATCGCGCACGACGTGACGGGAGAAGCGATTCCGCCGGCGATGAAGGCGATTTCGAAGGCGTCGGGAGCGGAGCCGTCGCTCGGATTGCACGGAATCACCGAGCAACAGCTCAACCTTCGCTACTACAACTTCATCTGCTCCACTCATTTCCATCTGGATTGCAAGGTAATGTATCTCGGCCGTGTGTAGAGATATCACAAAGTTGTCAACTGATAAAATGTGCACCATTTTATGCTGAACATTTTATTAGTTGACAACTTTGCCATATCTCCAACGGCAGCTGAGATAAATCGTTTTTCAACTTTAACATTATTCCAGATCACCGAAACTCTGCAAATCTGCATGAAGGATCGGTACGTGGCGGTGCTCGGTCTTCCGTTGGCGTTCGAGTCCGGCTCGCCGGACCTGCTCACGCTGGGAAAGTGGATGAGACAGTGCGATCGAAACGATCAGGACATGAATCAGGACGCGATGCGCATCATCCGAAAGCGCATTCATTTGCAGAACGAGAACAACTGGGAGGGAGTGTTCCGCGCGGCTCGGTCTGCGGCTCCGATGCTCCTCGCCGTCTCTGTGATCACCGTCAACTTCTTGATTTTTTAATTCCTGATTTTTGGCTCATCTCTGTTACTCTTTAATAAATTTGGCTACGAAGAAGGGGGAAGGCCACAATACCATCCATTCAGATCGACGTATTTCAGTTGTGTGTAGAGATATCAAAAAGTTGTCAACTGCAAAAATGTACACGACATTTTGATAAACATTTTGTTAGTTGACAATTTGTTCGCATCTCCAACGGCTGCTGAGATATACGGTCTAGAATATTGCCATTCTAAACAAGTAGGGTCCCTTTTCCCGTCGCTAGAAATTTTTGAAAAATCCCGCGAAAATCGGTTTACCCCCTATCATTTTCGTTTCAAACAAAGCCAATTGGGCGAGCCGAAAAGGAAAAAAAAAGAAATCCGATTGAGCCAATTATTTGCCATTCTTTTTCTTTTCGGCGGATGAGCTGTCACGAGGAAGTTGGCGAGAAATGCAGTTATTCGCCCACGCGCACGTCTGCAAATCATCCCATGCGCCTTTAAAACCGCATCAGAATCAGTTTCCAGCTCAAAATCCCGGTTTTCCTAACGTTTCCGCATTCCGATGGGTCTCGACACGACAATTTTCGAAAAAGTTTGCTTATGCGCCTTTAATACCGTAGTACAGTTGAAAATTTGCTTCAAATCTGCTTCAAATCTCACTATTTCGGGTCTCGCCACGAAAAATGGCATCCGGCGTCGCGGCAAGACCTTGTGCTCGAATTGTGAACCTACAATATCTCAAATCCATCATTTCGGCCATTTTTTATGCCAACAACACCATTTTCCGCCGCTTTTCCCCCCGTCAAACTCATATCCATCAAAAGTAAGTTGAGAGGGGAATTCGGAATTCAGAAGAAGAAGAAGAAGAAGAAGAAGAAGAAGAGGAAGAGGAAGAAGAAGTATTCCCAGAAGACGTCGACGTCTTCTTCTTCTTCTTCTTCTTCTCCTCCTGCACTTCATTTCAGAGGGGGAAGAGGAAGAACAAAAGTTGACGCGAGATTTTGAAAGCGTTTTTTTTTCGTTTTTCGCGAATTCTTTTGGGAGAAAACGAATCCGATTTGCATACTTTCACCGCTTTTTTTGTGCCCGTCCACGTCATCCGGCGACGTTTCGCAACCGACGCGCATTATCGATTTTATGATGAATCTATTGATAGTTGAGACGTTTTTGATTGCGAAATGTCCGATGGATGCATTTCCACTTTTTTCTCCTCTCCAAACAACAAATTGGTCTCGAATTTGTCAAATTCGAAGACGTCTTCTCCTTCTTCTTCTCCTTCTTCTCCTTCTATTTTCCGAATGACGTCAGGTTGCTCGGAGCCGCCGAGGGGCTCATTTTTTGAAAAGAAAAGAGTATCGAATCACTGTTCTCGCACCAATGACGTCAAACACAAAGAGGAGAAAAGCGGGCGGCAAACGGTTGTGCGCACATTGTGTACTCGCAACGAATCTTCGGTTTTCAGTTCGAATTTCGTCGGCGGGACTCTAGGATTCGCTGAAAATTGTCGTGGAAGAGAACGTCGAGCCTACTACAGTAGTGTGCGCACCAGAGTTGAGCGGAAGAACTCAACGGAAAAATTTTTATCTTTTTTAGAAAATTTTTTCATGGAATGTGATCAACTGACGAAATGTATAGCAAAGTGAACTCTGCTCATAAAAAAGTAATTGTAAATTTAGCTTTTTATAAAAAAAAGTTATTCGAGTTGTTCGGTGAAAATGTCGTTCCGTCTTTGATTAGCCCTTAACTTTTTTGTATGAAAATCTAAATTTACAATTATTTTTCTATGCGCAGAGTTCACTTTGCTATACATTTCGTCAGTTGATCACATTTCATGAAAAAAATTTTTCTAAAAAAAGATAAAAAAAATTTTCCGTTTTTAAATTTTTTTAAATTTTTTTAATTTATACGGCAAAAATTGAGGGCAAAATGTTGACGCTTTTTTGAAGAATTAACAAAATTCAAAAAAATTTCTCAAAAGCACGTCCACGACCGCGAACATTTCTATAGAGCGCATTGGCCGCAGTTAATTTTTTTTTGTTCATACTTTTAGCAAAAATGTTCAAATTTACGCGAGAAAAAAAATGAGCGAAAAGCGGCGAATTCAACTCTGTCGTGCGCACTATTCGTATCGTAGCCTATAATTTAGTTGCCGGACACATTTTTTGAGAGCAAAAACGCTTCTTCAACCACATTTCTCACTTGAATTTGGAGCTGTTTTTCGGTGCGCCCTTAGTCAGGAGGAGGTACTCGAAGATTTTACTCGAAAACAGTGACTCACTTGTCACAACCTGACGTCACGCCTTCACAGCTTTCTCTCAAAGGAAAGTGCAGAGAATCGGTGGCCGTGGCCTAGCTTTCCCCACACTCAGCGCTGTGGCCTAACTCGGAAAAGTTAGTCCACGACGTCATCCCTCTCGAACACCCGCCCACGCGCCCCCCTTCCTCAGAAACTTTTTCTATTTTTGGGCAAATCCTGGCCGGTTGCCAAGAAGAAGAGGGACCCTCGTCTCCTCTCTTTTTTCGGCCGAAAAAGAAAAAGAAAGACGTCTTCTTTTATTTTTGCGAAAAAAAAAGAAGAAGAGAAGAAGAAGACGTCTTGCTCCTCTCCTTTTCCGCCTGAATTTGATTTCTTCCCCGCATCCGCTTCTTTCGAGGCCACGCCCACTTTTTTTTTGGCCACAAGCCGTCTCTCGCTTTCATTTGGAGAGCCCAACGGAGCTTCGGTCGGCGCCTCTTGTCCTCTGGGACTTTTAGTCGATCCACAATATCAGCTGTAACTTTTTGGGACCTTTTTGCGACCAACAAAGACCTGCTGCTCGGCTTTTCATTGTTTCTGGACCTAAAAACGAGGAAGAACGAGTATTTTCTGCAAATTGTCGTAGAATAGAGTGCACTGTCCGCAAACACGGTTCGGCCTACTGTAGTAGTCGTTTGGAGTGGCGAGTCCATCCGAACAAGCTATATTCCTAGCGTAGCCTATAATTTGCTTCTCACTCTCCGCCCCCGTGTATTTTTCGAAACGAAAACATTTTCTTCTTCTTCTTCTTCTTCTTCTTCCCCCGTTTCTCACACTTCTCTTATAGGCCCGAAACAAAAAATTTTAGAAAAATTCCACTGCAAACCGGCGGCGGCGGCGGCGGCTACCAATTACTGCTTTTCTATGTGAGAAAGTGAGCCGTCGTCACTAATTTCGAGCCGTTTCTTCCCACTCCCACTCCCACTCTCTCTCTCTCTCTCTTCCTGTTTTCTTCTTCTTCTTTCCCTTTCAATTCTTGCCAGAAATTCCGACCCACGTGTTTCTTCAACAGCCTGTATCTCAAGAACGAAAAGTTGTAGAAAAAAGTGATCAACTGAAAAGTTGTAGAGAATTTCATCGGGAACAACTTTCTAGTTGACGACAATTTTCTAGAAACATTCTCCTTCGAGTTACGGGCGTCACAGTATGCACTATTGCATTCTGTGAATATCGGTTCGAATATTTGCGAGTGCGTTTGAATTCCGCAAAAAAAGAAGAGGCGTGCGAACCTGAAATCGGATCCGAGAATCGCAGAGAAAAAAACGGGGGAGAATAGGATCCTAATTGAATGCGGAGAGAATACGTGCCTCGTCTCTTTTTTCAAGTTTTCTTTTTCTCCACTGCGCGAGATTTCAACCGCTTTTTCGTGGACGTTTCGCAACCGAGCAGACTGTTGTCAGTTCGAGTTGCAAAGTGAAATTGCTTGTCTCATTTCTCACGTAACCTTATGGGGAAAACGTGTTGTTTTTTTTTGATAAGAAACTTGGGAAAAATGAAATCATTGCTCGCTACTACTACTAACCCTCCTCCAACTGACTTCTTCTTCTTCTTCATCTCCCTCTCCACTACTACTACTAACCAGCGGGTCTGTTTGTTTTTCGAATTAAACGAAACACGTTAGTTGTTCTTGTGCGCAAATTTGCAAACGTGACACACGTTTGACGTATTTTGAGTTGCCCGCACAATATTCGATTCGGAACTTGCGATCTTTCACGGACCGTCCACACTGACACCTCTTTTTGTCATTTTCATTGATCCAGTGCGTCGGAGTGCCGACTGGAAGCGGCAAATTGCTGTAAGGGTGCCGATTCCGTGCCTGCTACGCGCTCAACCCTTGCTACTTCCTTGCCACAACCACCCTGCTACCGTTGCTGCTCCCGTGCCGCTTAAAAACCTTGCTTCCCTCCAGAGTTGAGCGGAAGAGCTCAACGCAAGAACACGGAAGAATTTTTATCTTTTTTAGAAAATTTTTTCATGAAATGTGATCAACTGACGAAATGTAGAGCAACGTGAACTCTGCTCATAGAAAAATAATTGTAAATTTAGCTATTCATACAAAAAAGTTAAGGGCTAACCGAAGATGGAAGGACATTTTCACGCAACAACTCGAATAACTTTTTTGTATGAAAAGTTAAATTTACAATTATTTTTCTATGCGCAGAGTTCACTTTGCTCTACATTTCGTCAGTTGATCACATTTCATGAAAAAATTTTCTAAAAAAGATAAAAATTCTTCCGTTGAGTTTTCCCGCTCAACTCTTGTCGGAGCCCTGTGAACGCGTAAAAGTGCGTGTGTTGACGTGGGCGGCTTCTCGGAAAACTCCAAAATATTGTCGCCATGAGCTCAAAAACCAGCACGTCTCGAGGTGGACCAAATGTAACTACAAAGTGTGGTCTCACTCGAAATTCTGATGCGGAAAGCTAAAACTTTCTTGATTTCTTGCATCTTACTCACTTTTCCCTGTCTGTGTTCGACCCTTTTGAATATTATGAATTTCCACGCTCACACACGCCCACGAGTTCCTTGCTTGTCTCTCTTCTTCGCTCTTTTTTCGCCCAAAAATTCCATCCGAATTATTCATCGACGGGACGGGCGAGAGAGTGCGCGAAACGGAGAGACGCAGACAGTCGTGTGAGATTTTTGGATGGATGGACGGCGAGGCTCAGCCAGCCAGACACCGCTCGCTGGAAATCCGCTTGAAATCGCGCGAAATCACGCAGTATTGTGTTCGTTTTCTGTGATATTATCAAAGCACATCTTTGCGTTTTATCAACTTTCGCCACCGCCCGCCGCACATTTTTGCATTGATCTCTGGAATCTTGGAAAATTTGTATCTTTTTTAGACAATTTTTTCATGGAATCTGATCAACTGACGAAATGTAGAGCAAAGTGAACTGTGCTCATCGAAAAATAATTGTAAATTTAGCTTTTCATACAAAAAAGTTACGGGCCTAGCAGACGACGAAAGGACATTTTCACCGAACAACTCGAATAACTTTTTGGTATGAAACGTTAAATTTGCAATTATTTTTCTATGCGCGGAGTTCACTTTGCTCTACATTTCGTCAGTTGATCACATTTCATGAAAAAATTTTCTAAAAAACATACAAATTCTTCCGCTCAACTCTGGTTTGCAGTAGTGCGTCAACGCAGATATTTGCGTCGTTTTCGCCCCCCGTCTCAAACAATCTCCAACAATCCGTACAACTTTCAGTGCAAATCATGACGACGTCCTCCTCGTCCTCGCTCTCTTCGGCGTCCGATTCGTCGGGCGCCGCCGGCGGCGTCAAACTGATCATTTTCGACAAGGACGGCACTCTTTTGGACTTTCACAAAATGTGGATGCCGTACGCCGTCACGACGGTCCGTCTTCTCGAGTCGGCGACGAAGATGCGCGTCGGCGCCGCCGTCTACAAGACGCTCGGAGTGGATCCGGTGGCCGGGAAGGTTAGTTGGCCCCCGAAATCTTTGATCACCGGATGATTGTATCACCATTTGTTTTGTTTTTTTTTTTCGCCCCTCGCCCGATCCCCCCAGGGACCACGAACTTTGAACTTTATGGCTCGGAGCCAAAACTGACATCATTTTTTGAGTCGCCCAGGGAATTTGATAGCCTCCGCTTTTTGAGGAGGTCTTGACGCGAAAATCTGCGCGAAAAAGAGACGATTTATCAACGCTGGTTTCAGGTTTCGATGGGCGCGCTCGCCGAAAAAACGCTGACCGGCATCCGCGAGGACATTTCGTTGACTCTTCAAGTAGGGACCACTTTAGACCGCCCACCTTTTTAATTTTTTTTTTCTCTATAGACTTTTGGCATCAACCCGACCGAGGCGGACGCGATCGTTCAGGGATGCGTTCCGGAGGCGTCGCCCGGAGAAATGGCGCCCGTCTGCGACATGCCCGCCCTTTTCACCACGCTCAAGGCGATGGGCATCAAGATTGCCGTGTGCACCGCCGATTCGAGGTGAGCGCGAGCTCAAAAATGAAGTACAGTACAGTCTAGTACTGTACTTTTCTGGCTCTTGGAAGTTTGCACTCGTTTCTAACTAGTCAGGGTGGGGCGCGCGAGCGGCAAGCGAACAGCATGTGTCACGCACGTATCCGGCATGGCATCAGCATGGAAAGGGCGTGCCACAGAAAAGAGATGGGAGGGAAGCAATGCCGCGTCCAAAGTCTCGCAAAACCCGCAAATCTCGCGGACTTTGAAGTCCAAAGTCGGCAGAAATTTGCGGGAAATACGGGGTGCGCACTGCTGAACGAGTGTTACCGTATACCATAAAACTACAGTATTTTTTTGAAAAATTTACCCAAGAAATTTGAAAAAAATTTTTAAATAGTGTCGAGAAAAGTTAAATTTTTTTCAAAAAAATACCGTTGAAAAATTTACCCCAAAAAAATTGGAAACATTTCAAATATTGTCGAGAAATGTTAAATTTTTTTCAAAAAAATACCGTTGAAAAATTTACCCAAAAAAATTGGAAAAAAATTTCAAATATTGTCGAGAAATTTAAATTTTTTTTAAAATACCGTTTAAAAACTTACCCAAGAAATTTGAAAAAAATTGCAAATAGTGTCGAGAAATGTTAAATTTTTTTCAAAAAAATACCGTTGAAAAATTTACCCAAAAAAATTGGAAAAATTTTTCAAATATTGTCGAGAAATGTTAAATTTTTTTCAAAAAAATACCGTTTAAAAACTTACCCAAGAAATTTGAAAAAAATTGCAAATATTGTTGAGAAATTAAACTTTTTGAAAATTTACCCAAGAAATTTGAAAAAAATTTCAAATATTGTCGAAACATTTAAATTTTTTTCAAAAAAAATACCGTAGTTTTTATGGTGTACGGTAACACTCGTTCAGCTGTGCGGGGTTGTGGCAAGGAAGTAGCAACGGTAGCAGCGCGTAGCAGGCACGGAATCGGCACCCTTACAGTAATTTGCCGCGAAAAACGGCACGGATGCCGATTAATGCGGCAACTTGCCGAAAATTACCCGAGTTCTCTATTGCAGAGCGGCCACAATCGACCAGATGAACAAGATGGGCGTGACGCGCTTCCTCGACGACATTGTCTGCGGCAACGACGTTGGAATCGTGCCGAAGCCGTCGCCGCACTGCGCCATCCAGATCTGCAAACGTCTGAACGTGGATCTGAAGGAGGCGCTGATGGTCGGCGACACGATCGCCGATCTCAAAATGGGCAAGGTGGCCGGACTGCGCGCGTCGGTGGCCGTCATGACCGGAGTGGGCACTCGCGACACGCTCGCACAGTACTCGGACTATTTTGTGAGTTTTGCGGCGAGCGAGAACCACACAACAACTATTATCAATTCAATTGCAGCTCGACGACGTTAGCGAGCTGCCGAATCTGATCACGAAGACGATGAGCGACGACACGAAACGCGGATGAATATTGTCGAACTGTTTTTGCGCGCCACGCCCTCCAATAAATAATGCACGATAACTATTGGCTTCCCGTTCACTTTGTAAATAGTTTTCTCTCCCTCTCTCTCTCTCTCTCTCTCTCTCTCTCAAACCCGATCGTTTTGATCTCTGCGCTCGGATCTCTTGTCAAAAAAAAAGCAATAAGACATTGAAAAATGAATGTTTAGATGTATTATGTCCGCTCTCTTTGAGGATTTGTGTAGACTTTTGATAACTTCTAATAAAGATGAATATTGTACAAGTGGAAAATGTAGAACTGGACAAAATACTCGGGTAATTTGCGGCAAGCGAGCGGCAAGTTGCTACGGGCAGCATGGGGTGAGCATGTGTCACGCACGGATCCGGCATCGCATCAGCATGAGTGGGATGGGAGAGAAGCAAGGTTTTTGAGCGGCACGGGAGCAGCAACGGTAGCAAGGAAGTGGCACGGAATCGGCACCCTTACAGCAATTTGCCGCGGAAAACGGCACGGATGCCGATTCATGCGGCAACTTGCCGAAAATAACCTGAGTATGGGCGTCTAGCACTTGGCTCTCTAGGTTTTCTAGGACGTTTGTCATGTCTGTGAGCAATTAGGATCAAACTTAACGTAATCTTTTGATCTCTTTTTGATCGCTTCAAGACCTAACTTACTCAAATTCACCAACACGCGGTACAAACAAAAACATTTATGAGCTCCCAGAAAGAATTGTGTTCTACTTTTGGCATTCGCTCGAACAAGTATGCGTCTCGATCGATTTGATCGAATCGGAAAAGGAGGGGGACGAGGAAAAGGAGTCGGAATCGCTTCTTCTTCTTCTTTCTCTTCTTGTCGACTCCTTCTCCTTCTCCACATGCTTCGGATGATCCATCACTCTGAAATTGACAATCCATGAGCATATTCTCTAAACGAATCTTACTCGCTGAGCTTGATCATGGCCGCCGAGCAGAAGAGCTGAAGGACGACGGAGATCACAATTGCGAGAATGACAATAGCGATGACGATGCTGAGAACGACTGGAAATTGGGTTTTGGAGGTTGGTCAGTAGAACGGATATTGTACTTTTCGAGATGTTCGTATTGCTCGACATCCCCGGCGCTCGGAACAGAGTGACGAGGACGACGACGATCTGTGCGAGCACCGAAACGAAAGCGAGACAGCCGCACACCAAGAACAGCCGTTTCGAGTTGATCTCGAGCGTTGTGGCGATGACGAACACGTTGGCGAGCTGAAAAAGAACGCGTGCAAACAAAACCACCTCAATTCTCTTACCATGTAAATGACAAACGTGTGATTTGTCGTCGTCTTGTCGCCAGCGCCATTGATCGCCAAAACCAGCGTGATGCAGAGGAAGATGATGGAGGTTTTGCGGAGGAATTCCTGAAAGCGTACTGTAGGATTAGTGGGTAGAAACGCGTTGAGTTGAGCTACTCCAAGAGTGTTGTAGAGGACAAACGGTCTCGTCTGGTTCGCCGTGTCGCTTCGCATGGCGGTGAGTGAGTTGAGCGTACTGAGCGGGGAGGAATTGGCGAAAAGGTAGAGGCCGAGGTCAACGTCAAAGTCATAGACACCCTGACTTCTTGACCGCGCGACCTTACCCCACTCCACTAGCCTCGCGAACCCTTTCCAACCATTCAATCGAACCAGCAGTGTCAAGACGATGACGAGCGACAAAGCGAATCAGAGCCGACCGTTTGTTCTCTACAACACTTTTGGAGTAAGCCAGCTATTGTACCGCACGGTCTCTTCAGAGCTGACAATATGGGCGCGTGGCCGCGGCGGCCAAATCGCGTTTTCATGAATTGAGCACGTTTTCTCTGATTTTTGTGGTCAAAGGCGATGAAAAATGATTGTTCGACATGAAAACACACTAATTCTCTGAATTAATGACGTTTTGCGCATTTTTCGCGGACTTTGCTTTTTCGCCTTCTCATTTTGCGCTTTCTTGACCGTTTTCCGACAGAATTGGTTTTGAGAATGATAAATCACGTAAATACAAGCATTTTGAGCGCTCGAACCGCGAAAATTACCGAAAAGCAATTGAAATTCACGCAGTTTTAGCCAAAAACGTTCAAACGGATAAATGTGATTTGCGATTTGGCCAAATTTGACGCTCTTGCGCTTAAAAAATTCGTAATAGCCTATAAAATCGGTCTATCGAGAGAAAAATGAGAAATTATCGATTTTTCGTGGCTAATCTGGCAAAAACACAAAATTTGCTGTTAAAATTTGAATTTCGCGCTAATGTATCGCTCTGTTGGGCGGGGCGCACTTGCGCGCCCATTGTCAGCTCTGAGGAGACCGTGTACCGTCGCTTTTTAGGAATTCCTGCGAAGCTCCGCCCTCTTCTTCCTCTCCATCGCCCTGATTTGTGCGTGTTTCGGCACGACGGGCCTCAACAATGCGATCGTCATTCATATGGTTCGGATGCATTTGAAAAGTGGAACGCCATCGAAAACAGGTTCCATTTAGATCATCAACGCGTTGGTCATCTACCTGACACTGGAATTCAACTCGAAAACGGTGTTCTTCGTTTTCGGCTGTCTCACTTTCATCTCTGTGATCGGACAGATCGCCGCCGTCTTCCTAGTGCTGCTGAGCATGAGAGGAGTCTCGACCGCCGGCACGTCTAAAAGTACAACACCGTGTTTCTACGCTTTCTAAACCCTCACTCACCCGATTTCCAGCGGTCATCAGTCTCGTCGCCGCTTTTTTCATCATCTTCATCGTTCTCCTCGTCGTCCTTCAGCTCTTCTGCTCGGCGGCCATGATCAAGCTCAGCGAGTAAGATTCGCTTTGAGAATATGCGCATGGATTGTCAATTTCAGAGTGATAGATGATCCGAAGCATGTGGAGAAGGAGAAGGCGTCGACAAGAAGAGAAAGAAGAAGAAGAAGCGACTCCGACTCCTTTTCCTCGTCCCCCTCCTCTTCCGAATCGATCAAATCGATCGAGGAGACGCATACTTGTTCGAGCGAATGCTAAAAGTGGAACACAATTCTTTCTGAAAGCTCATAAATGTTTTTGTTTGTAATGCTAAATTGAGCGCCGCGTTAAAACGGAGTGTCGTTGAAATTTCCGGGATTTTTTCTCCGAAAACCCGAAATTTTATCCCAAAATGAGAAAAATTGGGTAAAACAGGGATTGTCAGAATAGTTGATGACAGCTGTGATCTGAAATTAGCGTTTTGCGCACAAGAAAGCGCGCATTTTTTTTTCATTTTTCTGTTAATTTCAATTTCTCCGTCATTTTTGCATTTTATGGGCTTGTCTTTGTGCTCAAAATGACCGCCTGCGTCTGCTGAACAATCGTGAGGCAACTGCAGTTGCAGGCAACTGCAGAAGCATGCTTTCTCAAAATTTCCGAAAGTTTGTTTTTTCCGGCCAAATTTAAAAAAAAAACGAAATTACTATTCGAATTTTCATTTTTACACGAGCACTCTGTGATCATTTTGTAGCTATCGGTCATATGAACCGACGTGAGGCAAAAGTTTTAAAGGAAAACTGTGCATAACCCCCAAAAACTCGGCAAAACATCATTTTCAGTTGAAAACCCGTTTCCCGTAAATCGACACTGAGAGCCGCACGCAAAAAAGCGCGCGAAAATTTTTTTTTCGCCGAAGGGGAGACAATGTAAGTCGGAGTAAACGTTTGGTGGTGTGCGAGATGCGGAAAAGTAAGGGAACGAAGGAAAAATCAATAATCGGCAGAGAGGACCACTCTCAACACGAGTATTTGCGCGGTCCGTTCACATTCACTGAAAAATCGATAGGCGGCAGAATCGCGTTGCGTTGCGCGCACGCGTCCATTTTGCATTCCTCACTCTTTCTTCTTTTCCTTACAACCATCGACGATTTGTTTTCAGGTACAGTGGTATGTCCGACCAGAAAAGAGTGCCGCGGAAATGTACGGACCCGGACGCGCTCGTCAACCTGTACCGAGAAATGATAGAAGAGTGCGAGCACGAGCACACGCACTGGCAGGCCATTTCGAACCTGACGCGTACCCGCGGGATCACCCTCGACATGATCCTCAAGTACGGCATCGACAAACTCGCCGCCCGCATCGCTCACACGCCAGCACGACACGCCCTTCTCGGACTGATCGACGGACTCTACCGGAAAGAGGGAAAAGCGGTGCCGGCGAGGCGTGAGGAGGAGCAGGAGGAGCCGAAGAAGAGGATGCCGTTTTCGGCGAGATGGAGGCAGGAAATTCGGCAGAAGCGGGAGGAGGAACGACTGCAGAGGAGCATGGATCTGCTGAGCGTCCGCGAGGGAGCCACCGTCGAGCACATCGATTGAGAAGCGGTGTTTTAATATTATTTGGTCCATTTTTGATTAATAAACATGTTTTACCTCGAAAAAGTCAGTCCCCGAATGTATTGTCAATCCATTATGGGGCTATTCAGCGTATGTTTGTTTTCCGTTTTTTTACACCGCTGAATTGGGTTTTTGACGTAAAAAACGAATAAAAAGGAAAGAAATCATTTTTTCACAGCCTGAATAACCCCATTATGAACGAGAATCCGGAAAATCCAGTGTAATTATCAAATGCCGGTGATGCGCCTTTAAAACCATTGTACGATGGATTTTTATAAACTTTTGACAGAAAATACCAGAATTTAAAGGCGCATGACAGAAATTGGATAAATGTTCGGACCCCCTACGCACGAAGCCCGTCAATTTCCGCCGCTTGGCTCACTTGCCTAATTGGTAGGACGGATTGGATTGTTGATGCAATTTGCAATACGGGCCGGATTATTATTATTATTATTATTTCACTCGGCGGGATTATCTTTGGGCGGTGCGGCGAAACCTTTGCATTTCCACCTGCCGAGACTAATGAACACAATTTTCGACGTTTTTCTCGCTTTCCAACGACATTTTCTTCGTTTTCTCACGTTCTAGAATGTTCTCACCGGTGAGAATTCGCGAGAAAGTGATTTTTTCTCCCCTAAAAACACTATTCCAGTTGAGAATGTCCGCGAAAATCATCTCAATCGACGATTGGATTCGTAACGCCACTTCCGAGCAATTCGAGCCGAAAAGTCATCGCATTTTCGATGTTTTCATGCGATTTTTCGTCTTTTACGTGGCAATCGCCTACGTTTACGTGGTCAGTTTGGGTCTCGCCACGAAAATCGAGTTTTTCCGATTTTTTACATGTTTTCTTCGAAGAACCGAAAGAAAATCGAGCTAGCGCAGATTACTGTACATTTTAAAGGCGCAGCACTGATTTTCAACGCAAAAATTGCACTTTTTCAGACAATTCGATACATTCACGATCTCTACACCATGCTCATCATGAAATTCGGCCTGAATATTACGCGACAACCGAAACAATTCGCCGGAAATTCGGAAAATTCCTACAATTGGCTCGTCACCGAAAATCAACAAATCGGCCTGAATTGTGCCGACCATTATCGATCGATTGCCACAAAGAACTTGCGTGCCGCCCAAAAATTTATCGATAAACTTCTGGGAGATGAGATTTTTCGTGTGCCCGCCTTTGCAACTACCGTATCCGTGGCCGCTCGCGCATTTTCGGTCGGCTCGAATTGCCACGAATTTTTGCCGTTTTCCGAGAATTCAAGCGATTTTCATACGTTCCAATTGATCACAGAAAATATTCAAGTGACGTGGCACAATTCGAACGGGCTACGGTATCTGGCCGGTTACTGTATTCACCTGGAAAACGTGGAAGCGAATTTGAAACGGGAATTGCGGAAATTCAAAAAGTTTCTACACAAACAGCCGGTTTTTCAGGAATGTGACGAGAAAATTTATGTTAAAATTGAGAATTGTTATTGATTTTTATTCTATTCTCATTTTTTAAATGAATATTGCCATGTTTATTGTCGATAAATCTGTAAATAAATTATATCTAAATTCAAATTGGAAACTCCCGCCAATTTTCCGTCACAACGACACTCCGAAATAACGCCTGTCTACGGTTTATTTTCCAGCGAAAATTCATCATTTTTTCAGCGATTTTTTTGCATTTGCAGCCAATTTCAGACATTTTCAGCATGGCGGGACGCGACCGGCTCATGGAAATGAAGGAATTGGCCGGATTGGAGCAGGGAAGGGCCCACGAGTCACCGAATCGCGTAAGCTTTTCAAGATTTTAATTTCCGGTAAAACATCGCCGAAACGACATGAAAACATTAAAATCTATGCAAAAAATTGAGAGAATTCAATTTTTCCCGGCGAAACGCTCAAATTTGCAGCCAAACCCGCGGCAATCCCGAGAATCGTTCGAGATTTTTATGGCGAACGTCGACGAACTCCGCCACGTGATGATGACGTTGAGCATGGATCGGGAAGCGATTCGCAAAGAGCAGGTACCTACGAAATTCCGAAAATCGGATTTTCCGCCCAATTTCACCGATAATTTCAAATTTACAGGTGGAATCGCTGGCGAGCGGCGCGTCGGATTCGGCGAAGAGCCGCCAGCTCAAGGAGCACGTCGATCGATTTATTCGACAGGCAAGAGCGCTCAAGGAACGGCTCGCACACGCGAATTCCGAAGTTTCCAAGTGCGCCGACACCGGACACGGATCCGGAAGGGCCCGCAGAGAGCAGGTTCGGTGGGGGACCGATTTTCTATTGGCTAACACTTTGGGCTCATTTCGTAGCGATTTTTCGAGAGACAAGCTGAAAAATTGAGCATGTGTTCCGAAAATTCTAAAATATCGTTCAGATCCGCGTGCTGAACATGTCGTTCGAGTCGATAATGATCAAATTCAACGAGGAGCAGACCGAGTACAAAAGACGGGCGGCGCAGAAGATCGGCGACTATCTGCGAAAGCAGAACATTGAAGTTTCGGACGCGCAGATCGACGAGGCGATCGAGTCGGGCAGTCTGTTCCAGCTGACACGCAACGTCCATCTCGGCGTCCACCAGAAGAGGTCCCTTTTCGAGGACGTCAAGGAACGCGCCACCGATATCATGCTCATCGAGCAGCAGATCCGCGAGATCGCCGACCTCTTCCAGGACCTGCAGCTCATGATTTCGCAGCAAGGTCCGCATTTTTAGGCCTTTGAGAGCAAATTTTATTCAAAAAACGTTTGCAGGCGAGACGCTGGAACGAATCGACACATCGGTGTCGGGAACGCGAGAATATGTGGCAAAAGGCGAGCGCCAAGTGAAGGCGGCGGTCGTTTCGCACCGCCGCAATCGAAAAATGAAGATCTTCGTCGTGATCGCCCTCATTCTGCTCGTGTTCGTCCTCCTCGTCCTCCTCAAAATATTCATGCCCTTCTAATTCCTCTCTTCTTCGCTTCCTTGGCCCACTTTTATCCGTTAATTTGACCAGAATCTCTATGTTTCAACTATTCTCAAAATGATATTCTTTGCGCGTAAGGTTCGGTGTACAGTACGCAGAGCGCGAAAATTCATTCAAAAACCGGAATGATTCCGATGTCATTCTTAACACGGTGATTTCTCTTTGGGGTCTCGCGGAGGTTTCTAGTCCGCGACCCCGCGACCCTGGCCGCGGGTTCACGCCGTTCTACTAGGCCAAAACAGGTTTTCCAGATTTTTCTCAAAAACTGGACCGTACAATTCTTAATCATCCGCATACTTTTCTTCTAAATTAAAAGAGCTTTTTTAAATAAAAAAGAACAGCAAAAAAAAGTTGGTCCCGACCAGTTTACTTTTGGTCCCAAAACATGGCCGAACGGCAGAAGGTCGTCCACGAAGGCTCCGATGCAGCGTTCCAGGGACTTTAGATGCGTGCCGCCGGAGAAATACTTATTCATCTTATTCATTGTCATAGTGAATGCGTTCATTACGATCAAAACTAACAAAGAGCAACAAAAACTCGCAAAAATGTCTATAGGCCGCTGGGAAAATAGCTTTTTTCGAAAAATGGCAGCTCGTGCGTGCTTTTTGTGTCTCTTTGTTAGTTTACATCATAATGAACACGTTCTCAAAAAAGCAAGTGAAATTAATCAGTATTCGTCCGACGGCACGCATCTGAAGTTACGGCGCACAGAAGAAGGCTTGGAGAGCGCGCCGCCGTCCGCCGCCCGCGCGCTCCTCGGCTGTTCTGAGACTTCAGATGCGTGCCGTCGGATGAATACTGATTCATTTCACTTGATTTTTTGAGAACGTGTTCATTATGATGTAAACTAACAAAGAGACACAAAAAGCACGCACGAGCAGTCATATTTCGAACAAAAACAGTTTTGGCAGTCACCCCTAGACATTTCTGCGAGTTTCTCGTTGCTGCCTGCGGGTTTCTCGTCGCTGCTAGCGAGTTTTAATCATAATGAACTCGTTCCCAAAAAATTAGGAAAAATGAATGAGTATTCTTCGAACAGCACGCATCAGAAGTTTTGGCGCGCGGAAAAATGCTTGGGGAGCGTGCCACCGGCCGGCGAAATCAGCAGCCGACAGTTCACGGGACGACGGCCGAACTTTCTTCCTCTCTCCACTGCACCCCAAGAAAAAATCACCGTGCTTAAACGATCTTTCACAATCAAAAATGTGTTTACACTGTCACTTCTATCAGCGTCACGCTTCAAAAATTGATAAGAATAGGCAAACACTCGGTTCGGTCTCGACTCAGTTTATTTTTCCTCCACACATATATACCATTCTTCCTTAGTGAAAAAGTGTTCTTCACTCAAAATGGAAGTGGTGACCATAGTCGGAGGCGTCACTGCCGTCACCCTCATTCCGAAACTCATCGATTGGTCGCTGGACAAGTATCGTATGCTCAAAGCGGTCCGCAAGTTCCACACTAACCGAGCGCTCACTTCAACACCATCGCCACCGCCGAAGAGGATAATGGATCGAGCAGTCGCGTGGGAACAAGGACCCGACGGTTGGGTCGGCTTCACGTTGGGCCCCGAAAATGCGCAAGTGGCGAATGCGGAGAGTCTCGTCTTCATTCAGGATTTTCTCGCAAAACGCAACACGAAGAACCGAGCGCCGGTGCCGAAGAACACGTTGGCCGTTTCGATGGCACAGGCGAACTTTAATGTCGGCTCGAGAGCCGGAGAGTTTGTGCCGACGAGAGGAACGGACGACGACGAGGGACACAGTTGTGTCAGCTATCAAATGCTGTCGGAGCACGTCCAGGCCACGTATTTCCATCAGAACGGAGTCCGGTTTCTGGCTGGCCTCTGCTTTTACCTATATCCGGTCAGTTTTCACTTTTGCGCCACCGGCGACCAAAAGTGTTCATAATGCTAAACACAGTGCGCTCGTAAATTGCGGAGTGTCGTTGTAACTTTTTAAAATTTGTAGGCCTAAAAATGCAGTTCAATTCAAGTTTACGACCATTCTTTCTATCTTTTTGACTTGAAAAACGTCTAGAAAACAATATTTTATGGGGCTATTCAGCGTATGTTTGTTTTCCGTTTTTTTTCGTTTTTTACACCGCTGAATTGGGTTTTTCGACGCAAAAAAACGAAAAAAAAAACGGAACTCCCGTTGAAAATTAATTAATCGGCCGCCTGTTGCAAGTGCGCCCCATTGAAATCATTCGCGCTGTGGAAGACCGTGAGACGCGTTTTTCTGAAAATTGCCGCAATTCCAGCACACTTTTCCGCCATTTTTGTGTTTGATATCGACGAAAGAAGAGACATTAAAGAGAGAAAACATTGAAATTTTCGTGAAAACTCCGCGTTTGAGACGTTTTTGACATATTTCGCAATACGCCCTCCGCGGCCAATCGCCGCCGCAATTTCGGAATTTTCATATCGGCCCATTTGGATAGTTTTGAGACGAAGTGAGTGTCGGAAGTGATTAAGCACGTTAATACAAGTATTTTAAGCGTTCAAACAGCAAAAAGTATCGGCGAATGACTGAAATTCGCGCATTTTCAGCACAAAACTTGAAAATCGATTGAATTGATTCATTCTCCGAATGAAACCTGCTCGTTTTAAGCTCAAAAAATGCGCGATGATAAGTTTAACAAAGTTATGCAATTAAATCGTACAAAATTTGGCTAATTTTTGACGAAAAACATGAAAAATAGGTGGTTAAATTTTGAATTTCGCGCTAAAATGGTGACAAACCGTGCACGCTAGGGTCGCCGTGTGAAAGCGCTTCTGCTTTATTATTTCAGACACAAAAGTCTGGCAATTGCGCCCCCATTGCCAAAAATGTTCAAATGCTACTATCCTTTTCCTTGACAGTTTTAAAAAACAGTTCCAGATTCCAGATCGGCTCCAAAACAATGCTCCTTTACAACGAAGAGCAGACGATGCGAGAGGCGTTCATGATGGCCGAACCGTTTCCACTTCAAGATCGCCACAAAAATGTGTACAATCGCAACTACAACCGCTACGGACGCTACTGTAAACGAAGCGCAAAGCGAGTAATTGTGTTCGCAGAGCCCGGAAAACCGGCCAAACATCAGCAATACGACCATCTTCGCACGAGAAGAGTCTACATGGATTGTGAGGAATGCGATCGCGATGCCGGCGAGTACACGTTCGTTGAGGATCGGACAATGCGGCACGATTGTGACAAGTATCATTGCTTTGCATTCGATCCGTCCCATTTCGATTCTAACAAATCACTTGCGACTGTTACGCTTTCCCAATGAAATTTATTACGAAAACAATTCAGCTCGGCCAGACATTGTTGTTATTCACAGTATTCGACGCCTCGAAATCGAAAACAATTAGTCGGGTGGCACGGCCCAATACACAATAAATTAGATTATCCACACTGTGCATCGCCCCGCTTTTTTTCTTCATTCACCACTTGACAGTCCCCCCAAGTGTCTTGAAAATGAGAATCTTCGAAGTGCTCTCCGGTTGGTTCGAATCCATGTTTGTGAGTTTCTCCTTCACTTTACAATTTCCGCGGCCGTGGCCTAGCAAATTCTAGCGTTGAAACTCTTCCCTTTGCACTGTGTGGCTAGTAGAGAATCCGGAAGTCATCACATGGCCGAGAATTTTTCTAGGCCACGACATTGAGTGTAGAAAAATTGTAGGATTCCAAGGTGGTGTCCAACGTGACATACAACATATTTTTAAAATAAACTTCGAAGTAGGCCGGCCATTCACGTTCCCAAAGTTCCGAATTACGAAAAAAAATTCCCCGATTTTTAAGATTTTTTTTCAAAAAAGTTAATGGTATCGAGAGAAGTGGTGCACGACGAATTGGAAGAGCTGGCCGAGATTTTTCTAGTCCCCCCGGATGGAATTCCCCTTTCTTCCGATTTTTTTCCGTTTTCGTGCAAATTTCTTAAATTTTCAATTGTTTTTACACTGAACACACTTATTTGCAATATTTAAAAAAAATTTCGTTTTTTTCTGTGCCGTGACGCCAAAAAAATCGACAACTGAATTTCTGAATTTTGAAAGTTTCAGATTATCGATTTTTTTGGCGTCACGGCACAGAAAAAAACATGAATTTTTTAAAATATTGCAACTAAGTGTGTTCAGTGTAAAAACGATTGAAAATTTAAGAAAATTGCACGAAAACCGAAAAAAATCGAAAGAAAGGGGAATTCCATCCGGGGGGACTAGGAAAATCTAGGCCAGCTCTTCCATCTCTCGGTACGATTAACTTTTTTGAAAAAAATCTTAAAAATCGGGGAATTTTTTCCGTAATTCGGGACTTTGGGAAAGTGAATGGCCCACTTTGAAGTTTATTTTAAAAATATGTTGTATGTCACGTTGGACACCACCTTTAAAAGTGTTGCAGCGTCCGGTGCCGAGTGCGACTCCGCCCGTGGCCGTCGCTCCGTCGCCACCGACGCCTCAACAAACGTTCCCGCGAAGAAACGCGCCGATCAACCCGAACCGCCTGCCGAGCGTTTACTCGCAATCCACGTTCGGCGACCCTCTGATCGGCCTCGGCGGCATCTTCTACTTTACGAAATGCGAGCACAGCGGCGACAGTTCGGTCAAGTTGAAAAGGGGCAAAGAGGTGTGCAAACACTACTTCTATTGTCCAATTCTCGAAACGTGGCGCGACATTGGCTGCTTCGATTGTGACGGAGTCGTCGAGGATGTCGTGAGTCGTGCTGCCAATGCAAATTTCATCGAAAAACGATGGTTTCAGCAACTGACTTCCGACGAGGAGTACACGCCGTACCCGGTGTACCGCCCGGATCCGAGTCTCGACATCCACGCCACATTCTACTTCAAAAAGTGCGCGTACTCGGGCAAAACCGTGCTGATCCTCAAAAAAGGCCAACGAATGTCGAAACACTATTTCTATTGCGAGATTTCGAAGCGCTGGCGAGCGGTCGTCTGCTACGACTGCGACGAACAGGACCGTCCCGATTTTGAGACGAAACGGAAGAGCCGGAAGGAGAAGAAGAGAGGTACAATCGGCTTTTTAGTGTTGGATTCATGGCTTTGCGATTTTCAGTCGTCGCCAAGAAACAACGTGCTCCGAAAGCTCGGGAAACTGCCGTCCCATCCACCTCCGCCGCCGCCGCCGCCGAAGACTCTGACTATTATGATTTTGCCAATTAAGATACTCATCTGTGTGATCTTCGCTTGATTGTAGACTTGAAAAAGTGTTGCCTACCGATCAATAAACTTGTTCTTTATGCCGCGTCCAAAGTCTCGGAAACGCCGCAAATCTCGCGCACTTTGCACTCCAAAGTCGGCAGAAATTTGCGGGAAATCCGGGGTGCGCACAGCTGAACGAGTGTTACCGTACACCATAAAACTACGGTATTTTTTTGAAAAATTTACCCAAGAAATTTGAAAAACATTGTAAATATTTTCGAGAAATTTTTAATTTTTTTCAAAAAAAATACCGTTGAAAAATTTACCCAAGAAATTTGAAAAAAATTGCAAATATTGTCGAGAAATATAAATTTTTTTCAAAAAAATGCCGTTGAAAAATTTACCCAAGAAATTTGAAAAAAATTTCAAATATTCTCGAGAAATTTGAATTTTTTTCAAAAAAATACCTTTGAAAAATTTACCCAAGAAATTTGAAAATTTTTCAAATATTGTCGAGAAATTTAATTTTTTTCAAAAAAAATACCGTTGAAAAATTTACCCAAGAAATTTGAAAAAAATTGCAAATATTGTGGAGGAATATAAATTTTTTTCAAAAAAAATACCGTTGAAAAATTTACCCAAGAAATTTGAAAAAAATTTCAAATATTCTCGAGAAATTTAAATTTTTTTCAAAAAAAATACCGTTGAAAAATTTACCCAAGAAATTTGAAAAAAATTTCAAATATTGTCGAGAAATATAAATTTTTTTCAAAAAAATGCCGTTGAAAAATTTACCCAAGAAATTTGAAAAAAATTTCAAATATTCTCGAGAAATTTGAATTTTTTTCAAAAAAATACCTTTGAAAATTTACCCAAGAAATTTGAAAAATTTTTCAAATATTGTCGAGAAATTTAATTTTTTTCAAAAAAAATACCGTTGAAAAATTTACCCAAGAAATTTGAAAAAAATTTCAAATATTGTCGAGAAATTTAAATTTTTTTCAAAAAAATACCGTTGAAAAATTTACCCAAGAAATTTGAAAAAAATTTCAAATATTCTCGAGAAATTTAAATTTTTTTCAAAAAAATACCGTTGAAAATTTACCCAAGAAATTTGAAAAAAATTTCAAATATTCTCGAGAAATTTGAATTTTTTTCAAAAAAATACCTTTGAAAAATTTACCCAAGAAATTTGAAAAATTTTTCAAATATTGTCGAGAAATTTAATTTTTTTCAAAAAAATACCGTTGAAAAATTTACCCAAGAAATTTGAAAAAAATTGCAAATATTGTCGAGAAATATAAATTTTTTTCAAAAAAATGCCGTTGAAAAATTTACCCAAGAAATTTGAAAAAAATTTCAAATATTCTCGAGAAATTTGAATTTTTTTCAAAAAAATACCTTTGAAAAATTTACCCAAGAAATTTGAAAATTTTCAAATATTGTCGAGAAATTTAATTTTTTTCAAAAAAATACCGTTGAAAAATTTACCCAAGAAATTTGAAAAAAATTGCAAATATTGTGGAGGAATATAAATTTTTTTCAAAAAAATACCGTTGAAAAATTTACCCAAGAAATTTGAAAAAAATTTCAAATATTGTCGAGAAATTTAAATTTTTTTCAAAAAAATACCGTTGAAAATTTACCCAAGAAATTTGAAAAAAATTTCAAATATTCTCGAGAAATTTAAATTTTTTTCAAAAAAATACCGTTGAAAAATTTACCCAAGAAATTTGAAAAAAATTTCAAATATTCTCGAGAAATTTGAATTTTTTTCAAAAAAATACCTTTGAAAAATTTACCCAAGAAATTTGAAAAATTTTTCAAATATTGTCGAGAAATTTAATTTTTCAAAAAAAATACCGTTGAAAAATTTACCCAAGAAATTTGAAAAAAATTGCAAATATTGTGGAGGAATATAAATTTTTTTCAAAAAAATACCGTTGAAAAATTTACCCAAGAAATTTGAAAAAAATTTCAAATATTGTCGAGAAATTTAAATTTTTTTCAAAAAAATACCGTTGAAAAATTTACCCAAGAAATTTGAAAAAAATTTCAAATATTCTCGAGAAATTTAAATTTTTTTCAAAAAAATACCGTTGAAAAATTTATCCAAGAAATTTGAAATATTGCAAATATTGTCGAGAAATTTAAATTTTTTCAAAAAAATACCTTTGAAAAATTTACCCAAATATTGTCGAGAAATTTAATTTTTCAAAAAAATACCGTTGAAAAATTTACCCAAGAAATTTGAAAAAAATTGCAAATATTGTGGAGGAATATAAATTTTTTTCAAAAAAATACCGTTGAAAAATTTACCCAAGAAATTTGAAAAAAATTTCAAATATTGTCGAGAAATTTAAATTTGTTAAAATGGTGTACGGTAACACTCGTTCAGCTGTGCGCGCACCCCGGATTTCCCGCAAATTTCTGCCGACTTTGGACTGCAAAGTGCGCGAGATTTGCGGGTTTTCTGAGACTTTGAGAATACGAATACTTCTCGACTATCATGTGGTGTCTAGCGTTGCGAAAAAGCTTGGCAAAATGCCAAACTCACTAATTGGCGACTTCCGGCTCATGGCCCGTAAGCTCGTGGGGACCACCTGCTCTCTTCTCCTTCTTTCTCTCTCTCTCTCTCTCTCTCGCTCTCTCGCTCTCTCTCTTGTTTGCTGCGTTCCCGCTTGCACTAATGAAAGAGAAGACCAGCCGGCCGGTCCCGTCCGCCCGAATAATCCCCGCTACCCTCACAATTATGCTGAGGGCGGAGGAAGGGCGAGAGAGAGAGAGAGAGAGCGAGAGAGCGAGAGAGAGAAGCTTCTTGTTCCCTCTTTCTAACATTTTGACTTTCTTCGCTTTCCTTCCTTTCAAACGCGCACATCTCTGTCATTTTTAAACACTTTTCGTTACGCTAAAAAATGAATCGATAGAGAATTTCATGCTCGAGAAGCATTTCTACCGACATATTGTCATTTTGCATAAAATTACTGACCTAACACATTTCAGAATGTTGGACCCAGTCATGTGCGCTTTCGTTGGTGCGGCGATCGTCACTTTCGGCCTGGTCAGTAGTGCATTCTTTTTTTTGACAACAAAACAAATGCAGACACTTTTCCTATTCTTCTTCGTGGCACCCGAAGAGGAGGAAATGCGGCAAAACGAGCGGCGGCAGAGTGCGGAGACACGGAAACACGACAAAGTGTCGAGGAGAATCGTGACGAAATTGAGGAAGAAGTTGGCGAAATTGACGGAAACGTTGGATGATGAACACGCGGCGGAACGTGTGGACGTGGCAAAACTCGCCGACATGATCGACGAATTGGATTTGGCGAGAGTGAAAAAGGAGCTGATGAGGATTGCCGTTTCGGGCGAAGACGGCTGGGAGACGCTCGACTGAAACGCGCCGCTCGCAACTTGTTTGTGTGTAATTGTAATTGTGACATGTACTCATTTTCAAAGCAATAAAACGTCAAGTCTACTCGTCGATTGCGTCTTTTTTGATGATTCCTCAAATCTGAAGAGAACGTTTGATCAGAACGTTGAGAAAAAAGTTGATTCTAAAAGCCATGACAATTTGCTCAATTTGCTCGTTGCTCGAGCAAGTTGCTCAATTTAATAAATGTGTAGAAAACCCAGTTTAGCCTTCAAAAACCGTCCTTTTCAGCCGATTCTTGTCACATTTTTGACGGCGAAAAGGTCTGAGACATCGGCGCGTCGCCGGTCTTCTCACCGGCCTGCCGACCCGGATCAAAATGTGTCCGTTGTGGTCTAGTGGTTAGGATTTATGGCTCTCACCCATAAGGCCGGGGTTCGATTCCCCGCAACGGAATTAGATGTTTTTTTCTTTTCTGAAACAGCTTTAAAGATATGCTTTAAAGATATCATCACTTCACCGCTCCTGCCCCCTGAGAAAAGCCCGCGAAGTTCAAATGGGGACCCGCACGCAGTTTTCGCAACGCTGCCGCACGCGTTTCGCTTTTCAGTTCGACAGTCAAAAAACAAGTGAAAAAACATTCGTTGTCGGTTTTTAGCGCTTTTTTTCCGAAAAGAAGATCCAACAAGGCGACAGAATAGGTTTTGATAGCAAAAAAAAATAATTTTCTGCATTAATTAAAAAACTGCGCGCGCTACTTGCAAGAATTGAACGCTGAAGGGGAACTGATGATAACTGGAATTTGCTCATTACGCAGTCCGCTGTGCGTTTCGAATTCAGCCAGCGCATTCCTTCCACTTGCTCATTTAAATCTCTCACATGACCGACCACCTTCTCTTCGTGCTCCACTGCTCTTTCTTCAAAAAGGTTGTTTACTGATATGTCCACCCCGCCGCCGCCGCCGCGTACTTCTCCATGGCAACGAGGCAAATTAGAGGGGTGCGGTCTCTCTCTCCGCCTTCGGGTTTATCACGACGAGTACTGGCCGCCTTCTTTATTCATTCCCCTCAAAATGAAATGGTGCCTGCCGGACCGCTTCAATCGCCTTCTCGCCCGCTTTTGCTGTTGTTGTAAGAAGAGCGCGGAAGAGGAAAGTGCAGCACAAACCGCAATTCGGATGATTCCCCGCCCGCAACAAGTGCTCCTCTATCCGACGCACTTTAAAGCGCTCGACATAACCGCCAAGTTCAAAGCCGAAGGCAGAGTGGGATTCAATTGTGCGTCGGGCGCGGAGCGTCAATGCTTGGCCGAAGACTTTCTGCAAGCACAGGCAATGTTCAGGCGGGTGTTTGGTGAGTCGCTGCACGGCTACGTGGTGCCGGTGAACGCGTTGAGCGTCTCAATCGCCGCTGAGAACTTCAACGTCGGCAAGAACTGCTTCGAGTTCGTGCCCGACCAGGGCTCCACACCCGACAGCTTCCTCAGCTATCAATTGCTGTCCGAGCGCGTGCACGCCACGTACTACAACGAGAACGGCGTCGAGTACCTGGCTGGCATCACGTACTTTATGCAGCTGAGCGGCGAGCATCCGTGCCTTTTCGAGCAGGCGTCGTTCGACATCGCGTGGTGCATTCGCCGCCGATTTCCCGACGAGCATGTGGCGCACGACGAGCCGCTGTTCGGCAGGGATTGCGAGACGATCGAGAGGCGCGCTCTTGTGGGCTACAGCGAAGAAAGTGCGCAACTGATGCACTACAGCCTCGACTACGCAATCGAAATGCAAATGATGCAGTACTGCTTCACGTGTGCAACGGATAAGGACGTTGCGTCGAGGCCCGTTGGTGAGTGGAGTGTGCCGGTAGCAGAGATGTTGGGAATTCCGTGTTCCGTGTTCCGTGTTCCGTGTTCCGCGTTTTTTTTCAATATTTTTTCCGTGTTCCGTGTTCCGTAAAAAAAAAATTTCCGTTTTCCGTGTTCCGTGTTCCGTAGAGTAAAATTTTTATTCCCAACATCTCTGGCCGGTAGGACGGTTGCTAATTTTAAGTTGTACCATGTTGGCAACATGATGTTGCAGCCGAAATACTCAAATCACGCGGGGCGGCATTGTGGCCCAGAATGCGGTTCATGAAAGAGATTGCAGTCAAAGGTACACGGTTCTCACTTTTTCGAATTAGACAATAAAAAAAACATTCCAGAAGAATCTGCTGGCGCTTCCACCTCTGCTGAAATCGATAATAGCGATTCGGATGTTGAGATGGAGATTGTCGAGCTGAAAGACGAGGATGTCGCACTTTTTCAAACTTCTTAACCGTCTTTCGATTCGATTATTATGTCGCTTTCTCAATTCAATAAATGTATACAAAAACCCGCGTTTTGCCTTCAAAAACCGGCATTTTCAGCCGATTCTTGTCACGTTTTTGGCGGCGAAAAGGTCGCGTCGCCGGCTGTGTTGAGCGGAATTCCGTCTTCCGTCTTCCGTCTTCCGTCTTCCGTCTTCCGTCTTCCGTCTTCCGTCTTCCGTGATTTTTTTTGTTCCGTCTTCCGTCTTCCGGGATTTTTTCTTTTTACCGTAAAAGAGTAATAGCTTTTCAGAAGCCATTTACTAGATCCAAAATGAATTTATTTTATTTTTACGGATCCGTACAAACGCAGCAAATTTACGGTTTCAAAAAGCCCTAAAATCCGTAAATTCCGTAAGATCTGTAAAATCCATGAAGCGTACTCTGTTTTTGTCTAAAGAAATGAAAACTAGCGTACAATTCAATATAATTATAACTTTTCTATAGTCCCTATCGTTTTCTGAACGTTTTGATGCACTTTTATTGTTCCGTTTCCCCTCTTTCCTCCACCTCTTCATCAGGAAATCGGAAATCGGAAATCCTTCAATTCCTTATCACTCTTTTTCCGAATCCTCTTGGCACGGTGCCAATCCCAATCGTTCTTTCCCATCGGCGTCCTTATCACTAATCTCCGTCTGTAATTAAAGGACCAGGGAACCCAAAAATTTTTTGATTTTTTTGTGAAATGTTTTTGTGACTGTTTGAATTGTCTCTTATTGCCTCATACACTGGTGAAATGCTGCCTCTCAAAAATCCCAATGAACGAAACGGCATGCAGTTGAAGTCGTGGCCGTGGCCTAGCGCCAATAGCCGAAAAATATATAAAAATATATGCGCTTCTCGGCCATTTTATTTTTTCCGCTTTTTAACCGGTTTTTTCCAAAAATTCACGGTTTCTCCCATTTTTCAGTTGATTGACATTTGTTCGGCACTTACTTATTTTTCACTGCTAAAAAATTGTTTTCATTCAGTCGATATGAAGTGCCAAAATGGGAGAAACCGTGAATTTTTTTGGAAAAAAACCGGTAAAAAAAGCGGAAAAAATAAAATGGCCGAGAAGCGCATATATTTTTATATATTTTTCGGCCATTGGCGCTAGGCCACGGCCACAACTTCAACTGCATGCCGTTTCGTTCATTGGCATTTTTGAGAGGCAGCATGTCACCAGTGTATGAGGCAATAAGAGACAATTCAAACAGTCACAAAAACATTTCACAAAAAAATCAAAAAATTTTTGGGTTCCCTGGTCCTTTAAGCCGGCTTCTTTGAAACTTGGGGTTCGATTCCCCGCCACGGAATTGACTTTTTTAATTTTCTTCGGTGGTCTTCTTTCTTTCTCCAGTTTTTCCAGACTTGCAACGGGCCGGGCCGGGCCAAAATTGGAAATTTTCCGGCCTGGCCCGGCCCGGCCCGGTCGGCCCGGGAGGATGCACCTAAAAATTCAAAGCGAACTGGAACTTCGAAACGAACATAATTTTATAGACTTAAAATTGCAACAAATCAGTCAAATTTGGACCACGAAGAAATGAGATGTTATAGCATAAAAACCTGTTAAAAAATAGAAATTGCTGTTTAAAGTCGCAAAATTTTCACAAAAATTACGAAAATTTTCTCAAGAGTGGGCGGAGCGATTGATTGGCACGCCATTTTAGCAATTTTGCCGCACGCGTTTTCCTCTTCCCTCATATTTTTTTTGCACATTTTTTTTGAGGTCTAACTTCCGGGCCGACGATTTGCTGGCCCGGCCCGGGATTTGGCAAGTCTGAGTTTTTCTATTCCGCCTGGTGCGGAATGAGGAACACTTCTTTTTTCGCTTTTTTTCTTTGCGGAATGCGGAATTCCGTGCTCAGAAGCCGTCGCCGCGCAAAAACATTGCCCATTTTTCCATGTGTCTGCCCGTCTGCGTCTCGCTTTCTCTCTCTCACTCTGGCACCGCTCCCTTCCTTCTTCCTCTTTCCTCCCCATTTTTCCATTCATTTCAAAACACTACTCTTTTACTCGTTTCCCTTCCACTTCTTTACGCTCCGGCAGTTCCTTTCTGCTTTTGTTCCGGTCGAATATGGGCGGCGGAAGCGGTCTTCTGATCAATTCGAATCGACGTGGCGGCGGCGGATCGGATTTCGGATGCGACGGATGGTTTTGTGATGTGCTCAACGCGGCGATGACCGTTCTCGTCATTTTGGTAAGTGGCGGCCTAGAAAACTCTGCAAGTACACGTGGCCTAGCATTTTCAAAAAGTTAAATCATGTTTTCATTGTCTAGAAATTTCTGGCCACCTCTAATTTTTACAATTTTTACACACTTGCAACTTCCTTTCTTCTGCCTTTTCGGCTCTCCAGCCGGATGGCCTAACTTTCCCAGGCCATCTCATCCAATTGTTTCGCAGATTTTTGCCACCGCGTTCCTCGGCTGTTTCCGATCGTGCTTCAAAAAGACGCGACGAGAAGGCCGTTCGAAGTCGAGAAGAGCATCCTCATCGGAAGTGCCGGGCGCTCCGGAAGCCGTTGCGCAGCTCGTTTCGGCGCCGTGCCACGTTTCGGTCGAGAGTCCGCCCGACTACAACGAATCCGACAACTTGCCGCCCACGTACTCGTCACTCAGGTTTCTATTATAGTCCACGGAACCCCAGCTTTCCAATAAAAAATTCCCTTGGCGCAATTCAGGTGCGCTAAACAAGGCGCGTAACGCGTAATTTCGGAGCGTCGTTGTAGAGTTTCTCATTTCAATTTTCCCTTTTTTTGCATTATTCCCATCTTTTCAGAACGAATCAGTGTCAAAACTTATGATAATGATTGGAAATGAATAAAAAATGAAATTTTAACTGCTTCGTCGTCAATTTCGAAACGTTTTATGTGAAAATTACATAATTTTTTTCCTGTTGGAATCGAAAATTTGCCTCAATTATCTCAATTCTGTATATTTTTCGACGGTTGAGCGCTTAAAAGATGCGCAATAAACTCCTTGTTGAGTGTCCGAACTCGATTCGGCAAATGATCGTTAAAACTCTGTTTTTTTTCAGTATTTTTCGACAAAATCCCTCAATTTGGTCAATTCTGAACGAATCTGCTCCGTTTCGCACTTAAATCGATGATTTTAACTCACACAATCGCCCCACGGTTCGCAAAGAACTAAATTTGAGTGTTTATTAAGAGAAAAACGAAAGAATTCTGGGTTTTAATTGAAAAAAGAAACTCCGAGCCGACGGTGGATGAAAGCGCGCCCCATTGACAACTTGCTTGCGCATTGGAATGCTGGGGTTGCGTGTAGTCCTCACCTTTGAACACTACTATTGTTTCTCCCATACTTTTTTTCAGACTCGACCAACTTCCTTGACGTTCTCGCACAAATAAAATGGGTTTATTCGCGTTCAATTGTTCACATATGAACTTGACCAAATATGTTTTGTTTCGTTAAAAATACGCTCTTTACGGATTTACAAAAACAATGGTGGTAACCGGTGACAAATGACAAAAATATCGGAACACTAACAACTACAGTAGAGTCTGGTATGGTAGTCTTTACACAAAAACGAAAACAACTACAGTAATGCAAAAATAGTCGATAAGTAACATTATTCAATGGCTTTGGACAAAATTCAACATAAAAACGTGTGTGTGTGTGTGTTGGTGTGTGCGTGTTTTTTTTTTGCACAATGGAATGGTTGCCGGGATTGGAATGGGTATTTTGGGAGCGAATACTGTAGGATTACGGTAGGCGGCGCTTTTCAAATTCGGACCGCTCCGCCGGCGTCGTCGCTGTCGTCGGTGGCCGACGAAAACGATTCGTCGATGCGTTGGTGGATGAGCGCTTGCGGGTTCTGCAAGAAATGTGTTGGGTTACGGCAGGAGGAGGAGAGTGCAAGTTGCGCAAAAGTTGCGCAAAAGTTGCACAAAAGTTGCAGACAACACTCACCGAATGTGTCCTCCGATGCGTTTTGATGCTGTGCTTCACCGCCTGCACCCGGCGCTCGTTGTCGCTGAGCCCGTCGGATCGGGCGGCGCCCAACTCCAGGCTCCGCTCCAACGAGCTCATCATCGTACTCTGCGACGTGTCGATTCGGTACCGAAGACGGTGTTCGTCGTCGGATCGCGAGTCCATCGAAGTGTTCAGAATGTTGCCGTTGTCCTCTTCCTCTTCCTCTTCCTCTTCTTCTTCTTCAGTACTGCTCTCAACGTCGGCGTCATCGGCTCGGGACCGTCTCGAGTCCATCGACGACGTCAAATCCATCTCATTCGCGTTTTCTTCGGCCACCGGCTCGACAATCGTCTCGCCGATCGGATTACTGTAGGTGGTGATCGGCGACACGTAGATCGGATTTCCGAACGACATCGGCATCGCCACGTCGGCGTTCTCCTCCTCGTGTCCGCCGATCGATTTGAGCGCCTCGTCGTACGACGTCGATTCGGGCATCAGGTTGACGACGTCGAGCAGTTCCGGCTGGTTGTCGTAGGGCGTCGGCGAGCGGCAGCGCGTGCTCGTCGCTCCGATCGCGACGCTTTTCGCGCGCGCCGATCGGGTACTCGAGCAGTTGTTGCAGCAGTAGAAGTCGTCGGAGTGCGTGGGCGGATTCCGCGACGGATACGAGGAACGATTCAGTTTCGAGCTTGAGCGCGCTGCAAATGACGCGTATGAACATTTGATAAATTCGTTGTGAAAGTGAATGTGAGGGAAGAGAGTGAGTAGGCTAGCGAACGATCATGCTTTTGTGAAAAAAACAATATATCTCAGTTGCGGGTGGAGATTTCAACAAGTGGTCAACTGATAAAATGCGCACAATTTTATACTGAACATTTCATCAGTTGAACACTTTTTGCCATCTCCACCGGCAGCTGAGATCTGGCCGTCCGAAATGAACGGTCAAAGAGTGTCCCCGTATTATTCAAAACCAGGTGAATAGAGGGGGTAAAGAATCGCGAAAAAAAAAAACCATGCACATACGAGAATAAACGACAGCACCATGTGGAACACGGGACGGACTGTCCCTCTGGAAGAAGACGGTGCTCGGCGACGACGTCTTCGCCGCGGAGTTCTTCACCGAGTTGGAGACGCGTCTACGCGATGCGATGCGTCCGTCCGACCAGCGACCGTCCGTGTTGCGGTAGATTGTTTGAACGTAGGCCACCTGTAACAAATTTGTGCAAAATTCGATGCGCCGGACGTTTTGCCCAGTTGCAAAGCGTCAGTTCCCGTTACAGTTGTTCTCACTTTGCCAAACTTTGTATTGACTTTGAAATACTTTGCAACTACTAGAACAAAGAGAGAGCGAAACGGCCCCCGGTTGCAAAGTGTCCTTCCCTGCCTCCACTTACATGCTGTCCTCCTCCTCCTCCTCCTCCACAAGCGCCAGTTCCATTGATCGCCATACAACTGGCGGCGGCGCTTCCCAATCCCGAGTCCTGCGAGTATCCGGATCCTCTGGCCGGGCTGCCACGTGCTCCGAGCGTCTCCCAGTACGACGACGAGTGCCGCATATTGTCGCTTCTCAGGATCTCTGCAAAAACACGGGCTTCTCGTGGCGGTCGCCGCAATGATTTCAATGGGGCGCACTTGCAACAGACGGGCTGTGTCGATTTACGCGGCGGCGGCGGCCGATTAATTAATTTTCAACGGGACGTCGCGCGTTATTTCCATGTTTTCTGTACAATACACCTATTTTTTGTGCGCCTGGAACCTGGCGTCGAATAATTAGAACACTAGTTACGTTTTGGTAACAGAAATCTCACATATCGTTGAGAATTAGCCGAGTTATTTCGATTTGAACGTTTTGGCCTGGATTTTGATGTTTTTCGAATAGTTTTCAAAAACTGCTCAAGAAAACTAGCCGCCGGAACCTGAATTTTGTGAAGAAAGATTCAGCGAACATTTTTATCGTTCGTTGGGCTCATGAAATGCAAAATTGGCTGAAATATAAAGGTTTGAAGTTTTGACGAAATGCGAAAAAGATGAAAAACTCGAAATTCTGTAAAGAACGGTTTCCAATCAGTAAAATATTGTTTTCTAGACGTTTTTCAAGTCAAAAAGAAAGAAAACTGCATTTTTAGACGTGAAAATTTTCAAAAAAGTTACAACGACACTCCGCAATTTACGAGCGCACTGTGTTTAGCATTAGCGCCCTGGCAGACCGTGCCGCCCCTCTGGATGTGCACTCACTGCTCGGCATCTGCACGGCTCCCTCGCTGCGTCTCGTCATTCCGGCGGAGCTTCGGCACGAGCTCTGCCGCGAGAACGGTCCCGACGACGAGCTGCTCGTGTTGGAGCATCGGTACGGCGATCCCCGCTGGTAGCCGATTTGATTCTGATTGCGCGCCTCCTCGTCGGACGAGAATCCCTCGTAGCCGTCGTTCGGATAGAAGTTGCCGCGCGCGTGTCTCGCTCCTCCCCGCGGCGACACTTGCATCGATTCGCGTTCGGTCAGATCGCGCTCCCACTCGGCCAGCGCGTTCTCCTTCAGTTTCAGCTCGCTGAAACAGCCTTGCAACTTGTCGTACATCTTGTTCGTGCGCTTCAACTTCAGCTCGTACATGTTGCGAATGTCCTTGATGTGCTTCAGCTGCTCGTGCCGTCGCTTCTGAATCTCCTCCTCCATCGCGAACGCGCTTTTCGGCCCGCCGTGATCTTTGGTGACTGTCGACGGGTACTGGATGGCTTTGGCGAACTCGCGGTACGAGTCCCAGCTCGACTGCCACTCCTCTTCGCTCATCTCGAACAGTTCCGGCTTGAAGATCTCCCAGTGCTGACGAATGTGCGAGAACGACGGACGGTTTCGGCCTTTTTGCGACAGACACTGCTTGATGAGAAGCACCAGTCCGCGGGGCGCTTCTTCGGGAATCGGCAGCGAGAGGATGCTGGAAGACGAAGAAATAGATTAATGTGGCGCGTGGCGTCGGCGGCCAAATGGCGTTTTCATGAATTGAGCACGTTTTCTATGATTTTTGTGGTCAAATGCGATGAAAAATGATTATTCCGCATGAAAACACACTAATTCTCAGAATTAATGACGTTTTGGCGCATTTTTCGCGGATTTCGCTTTTTCGCCGTCTCATTTTGCGCTTTCTTGACCGTTTTCCAACAAAATTGGTTTTGAGAATGGTAAATCACGTAAATACAAGCATTTTGAGCGCTCGAACCGCGAAAATTACCGAAAAGCAACTGAAATTCACGCAGTTTTAGCCAAAAACCTTCAAACGGATAAATGTGATTTGCGATTTGACCAAATTTGATGCTCTTGCGCTTAAAAAATTCGTAATAGCCTATACAATCGGTCTATCGAGAGAAAAATGAGAAATTGGCGGTTTTTCGTGGTCAAAGGCGATGAAAAATGCATGTTCGACATGAAAACACACTAATTCTCAGAATTAATGACATTTTGGCGCATTTTTCGGCGGACTTTGCTTTTTCGCCTTCTCATTTTGCGCTTTCTTGACCGTTTTCCGACAAAAATGGTTTTGAGAATGATAAATCACGTAAATACAAGCATTTTGAGCGCTCGAACCGCGAAAATTACCGAAAAGCAACTGAAATTCACGCAGTTTTAGCGAAAAACCTTTAAGCGGATACATTTGATTTGCGATTTGACCAAATTTGACGCTCTTGCGCTTAAAAAATTCGTAATAGCCTATAAAATCGGTCTATCGAGAGAAAAATGCGAAATTATCGATTTTTCGTGGCTAATCTGGCAAAAAACACAAATTTTGCTGTTAAAATTTGAATTTCGCGCCAATGTATCGTCCAGCTCCACTCGACTCACTTAGTGCCGACTCCGAAAATGATGGCCATCTGAGCAATGTTCGCGTAGGGCGTCTCGCGCGTGAGCATCTCCCAAAGGACGACTCCGAACGAGTAGACGTCGACTTTCTCGTTGCACGGCTCCTTTTTTATCATCTCCGGAGCCATCCAGCTGAAATTACACGCATTTTTCCAGTCGACTTTGCAAATATCTTACCTGACCGTACCGCAGAACGACATCATCGTGCTGTCGGTCTTCTTTTGCAAATGGCTCGTGCCAAAGTCGCAAATTTTGATGCCATCGTCGGCGCAAATCAAAATGTTCGGCGATTTGAGATCGCGATGGATCACCTTGTTCACGTGCAAATAGTGCATTCCGTCGGCGATCTCCTTGACCCAGCGCGAAAATGTTTCGCGCGTGATCGGCGCCTTCGACTTGAGCACCGTGCACAACTGTCCCTTCGAGCAGTACTCCATGACGATGCAATAGCACGGACTCTTCGAGCACACGCCCAGAAACTCGATGATGTTCTGGTGGCGGAGGTGCCGCAGATGCTTGATTTCCGTCTCTTTCAGCTGATTCACCTTCTTGAACGCGACCGTGCGGCCTTCGAAGTGGCCGCGGAACACGGCTCCCTGACTGCCCGAGCCGACCCATTCCACTTCGGAGATCGCGTCGAACGGAATCTCCCACTCTTCGTCCTCTGATTTTTTGCTGCAAAAAGAGCACACGTTCTCTGGGCAATTCGTTAATAATCTAATTAGAAAGTTACCGATCTAAACGCGACCTAATTAGATTCGAGACTACTTTTTTTCTTGGCGCAATCGAAATTTGAGCCAGCAGACGGACGGTTGGCGTGAAACTTGATTTGAGTTTCACTTTCCCGAATTCTCGAATTACGAAAAAAATTCCCCGATTTTTAACATTTTTTTCAAAAAAGTTAATGGTACCGAGAGAAGTGGTGCACGGCGAAATGGAAGAGCTGGCCTAGATTTTTCTAGTCCCCCCGGATGGAATTCCCCTTTCTTCCGATTTTTTTCCGTTTCAATCGTTTTTTTCACTAAACTCACTTATTTGCAATATTTAAAAAAAATGTGTGTTTTTTCTGTGCTGTGACGCTAAAAAAAATCGATACTCGGAAACTTTAAAAATTCTGACAAAATTCTGACAAAATTCTGAAATTCAGAAAAAATCAGCCACTTTTTGTAATACCGAAAATGGGAAGTTTTGGATTTTTCGCATTACTTTGAAAAATATAACTTTCTGTAATTCGCAAATTTTAAATAAGACTCAGGAAATGATTGAGCGATCTCGTTCTATTTACTTTTCAGCGCGCAAACCGAAGATTGAGCGAAACCCCGGAAAAACCAAAAAAAAGTTTTAGATTATCGATTTTTTTGACGTCACGGCACAGAAAAAAACATAAATTTCGTTAAATATTGCAAATAAGTGTGTTCTGTGAAAAAAACGATTGAAAATTTAAGAAATTTGCACGAAAACCGAAAAAAATCGAAAGAAAGGGGAATTCCATCCGGGGGGACTAGAAAAATCTCGGCCAGCTCTTCCATTTCGCCGTGTACTTCTCTCGGTACCATTAACTTTTTTGAAAAAAATGTTAAAAATCGGGGAATTTTTTTCGTAATTCGGGATTTTGGGAAAGTGAATGCCCCACTTAAAAGTTTATTTTAAAAATATGTTGTATGTCACGATGGACACCACCTTTAATAACGAAATGCCAGAGAAATGATGGAAGTCTCCAGGATCCAACTTTTTGCTCTAACAAACCACATACATTTCGGCTGGCGCCTTGCCAAAATAACCGAACACGGGTCGGAAGCACGAGAAAAGTCCCTCGCGGATTTGTCCGAATCCGTCGGCGTAGAAGCTGAGCGCCGGTTTTTGCTGCTGACCGCCCGTCGCCATCATGTTCGACGGAGATGCTGAAAATTGAAGTGAAATGCTCTCGGTGTTGACACGCTTCTCGTGCTTTTGGCGCGTTTCTTGACGACTTGACGAGAGAGGCACGGCACCCAGAAAAAAAAAAGAAAAAAAAGAGAAACCTTTACTACAGTGGTGTACCGTGCACAAATTGCCCATTTTTCGTCGAGACCATCACACTGTTATCACTTTTTCGGCGGAGGAGGATGGCGCCGCTGACTGATCGAATCGATATGAAGAGGAAGAGGAAGAGAGAGAGAGAAAGAGTGATAAAAGTGGAAACGCGACAGAGAAAGAGACAATATACGGACAGAAGGGGGGTGTACTTTGAGGAGGAAGCACATGGAATGTTGACGGAACGTCGGGGCGCGAAAAACTAGAGAAGAACTTTCCCTGTCTAGAGCTACTACAGGGTTTGCACCGGAAAAGCGCCAAGGCACTAGCGATGCGTCGAACCACGTGCTAGAACTTTAAAAGAGCTTGTCAAAAACGCTCTAAACACTGAAAACGCGTCAGTGCACCAAAAATGCGTCAAGCGCAATTCGAAGCGCTTCAACGTCGTCATCCAATATTGTACGCTCAACGAACAAGAGAATTACCTTCTTTGCCGAACTCGGCGTTCGCGTGTTCTCTGTGCTGAATGGGCGTGCTGGGCGCACTCTGCGTGACGAGTTGATCCGAGAGCACGACGGTCGAAAAGTCTGCGGCGGATCCTTGAGCTCCTCCTGCAGCGGATCCTCCGACGATGGCAGTGGGTCCTCGATCTTCTGCAAACAAACAAACTCCTATAATAATCACAGGGTTTTTTGAGGAGGAGCGCGGGAAGCGGGGCCAACTGAAACGAGGGCGCAGAGAAACGAGAGTGAGTGGTCGGGTGGCGCCACTTTATTTTCTTTCACTCCACACTGACTCATTTCGAGGTTGAAAGTTTTGGAGAGCAGACAGACTGGAGTTGGGCGCGGTTTTGGGGAAGCAAATCGGCAATAGCGGCTTGATAACACGGGTCGTGTTAGAGTGAGCAAGTTAGAAAAGGAATTTCCAACATTTTTCCTGTTGACCACTTTTTCGCGTAGTCAATAGTTGTCGAAGTCGTCTCAAAAACGACTAGACGCAATCATTTTAATTTGGATTCCTAGTGTGCGTGGCCTAGTTTTCCAGAAGGATATTTCTAGGCGACAAGCCAAATACAATCGCTATTGTAGGTTTCGGTGTCTCGGAAAACCCGCAAATCTCGCGGATTTTGCAGTCCAGAAATTTGCGGGAAATCCGAGGTGCGCACAGCTGAACGAGTGTTACCGTACACCATAAAAACTATGGTATTTTTTTGAAAAATTTACCCAAGAAATTTTTAAAAAAATTTCAAATATTCTCGAGAAATTTAAATTTTTTTCAAAAAAATACCGTTGAAAAATTTACCCAAGAAATTTGAAAAAAATTTCAAATATTGTCAAGAAATTTAAATTTTTTCAAAAAATACCGTTGAAAATTTACCCAAGAAATTTGAAAAATTTCAAATATTGTCAAGAAATTTGAAATTTTTTCAAAAAATACCATTGAAAATTTACCCAAGAAATTTGAAAATTTTCAAATTCTCGAGAAATTTAAATTTTTTCAAAAAATACCGTAGTTTTATGGTGTACGGTAACACTCGTTCAGCTGTGCGCACCCCGGATTTCCCGCAATTTTCTGCCGACTTTTGACTGCAAAATCCGCGAGATTTGCGGGTTTTCCGAGACTTTGGACGCGGTAAACTGACGTATCTCGTCTCCGCGGTCATTTTTATTCCAATGTCTTATCACTTAAACCCCATCACTCTTCTTTTCTCTCCTCCTCCAAACCAAATTCCTTCCTATCCGCCGTGTTTATCACTGTTCCAACTTGGAGCACAACTATTTCGTAATACTCTTTGTGCTCCTGAAGCCGTGTTTGAGCTGCTCTGACTCAGTCGCGAGCTGGAGAAAACAGCTCACGGAAGAAGCGGTGCCGGTCGGATGACGTCAATGGAAGAGAGAGAGAGAGAGAGAGAGAGAGAGAGAGAGGGGAAGCGGCTAGGGACCGAAATAGGCAAACGGGAAGGAGGGAAGAGGCACAGACTTTATGCGGTTCTCTGGGGAACGCGTCAACTTTGGAGGAAACGTTGAAAATTGCATTTGACCCACTACGAAACGCGACGAATATTGTGCGTTCCCACACAAATACGCTCTTATCACTCTCTCTCTATCTCTCTCTCTCTTTCTGTTTCTGTGTACATACTCGGACGGCCGACGAAAAACTTCCACGTGGCTTACGCGACGTCGACTTCTAGAGGAGCGAGCGAGAAAGAGAGAGAGAGAGAGAGAGAGAGAGAGAGAGAGAGAGAGAGAGAATGAGAGAGAGAGAGAGAGAGAGAGAGAGAAAGAAAGAGAGAGAGAGAGAGATATTGTCCGTTTCCATATAAAAAGCGACACGTACCTGTTGGTGTGACCAAGTCGAGAGTGGTTAAGATCGTCGTGGTCGTCATCTGCAACACAAGGATTGAAAATGAGCCGAGGACACTTTCGCGCGGAAACACACAATATTAATCAGCATGTGAACCGGGTGACATCGGCATCCAAAAATCGGCAAAAAAATCGACAGCGATAAGGGACAAAACTGGCGAAAAAGTGACATGGCCATTCTTTTCGCAAAAAGGGTAAGGAGGAAGAGAGAGAGAGAGAGAGAGAGAGAGAGAGAGAGAGAGAGAGAGAGAGAGAGAGAGAGAGAGAGAGAGAGAGAACGGACGGCGCCGCGGGATGCGGGCGGAATCGCAGCGGTTAGTTCGGTTGAGAGGATGTGTACGGTCGGACAAATTGGGGGGAGAAGAAGAAGAAGAAGAAGAAGAGAGAGAAAGTGAAAGCAATTTGTGAAGGCCATTTAGGTAGGAAAGGACGAGTCTTATTCGTCAAATCTACAAAAAAAGAGGTGAGCCTTGGCTCGGTGAGCTCACTGGGCTCTTCGTCGTGGCGCCACTCGTTGCCAGGCTACGCGCGCGTTTCCCCCAACAACACAAAAACACGCAAAAATCTCCCCCTCAGAAAAGTGGTCGGAAAAGCGGAAATTGCGGGCGAAATAATTGAGGCGAAAGGTTTTTTTTTTCTCCGAGTTTTCCGGCGCGAAAAACCCTAGTTGAGAAGGCTCTGAAGAGAAAAAAGTAAACTTTTATACCCGCTCCTTCGCCTCCAATTACCCCCCTCGACTCTTCAATTATTTCGTTTGCGTCACACACACATTTTTGATAGCGAAAATGAATTTTTGAAATGCGTGACGGTGGGCGGGCACTCAAAACTGTTAATATTGGCGCAAAAAGTCATCCGCAGGCTTTTCGTCCTCAAAATTTCGCGGCAAAAAGTGAAAAGGAACACGTGAAAAGGGGCAATTTTCGGTTTTTTTGCCGTCTTCTTCTCTCTCTCTCTCTCTCTCTCTCTCTCTCTCTCTCTCT